TCATTGGGCCAAGAACAGATCCTTGTGGTATTATGTCAGACCTTATTGAATGGTTATCTGAGCTTATCTAAGGTTATCAGCTGATGAGCTGAAATCTCATTATTGAAGAGTCTTTCTTATGACGTCACATACTCTGTGGGCTTATTCTTCTTTACCATGGCTCTCTCTGAAGCCGAACTATAGGTATTGGTATTACTTTGCGGTCTAAAAGGCTGGCATAATTCTACATAGCAACATTTTCTCTAGTATAAGTAGTATAATCTCATAGAGATTCCTATAACCTGTTTTATTGACATAAATAGGAAAATGACACTTTCGCATTTAATAAGTCTGTTATAGTTACACTAACCAACTTTGTAAAATATAATTTTATTATTCCAATAAATAAATCCTTACTAATATTATAAATGCGAAAGTAACTCTGTCTGTCTGTCTGTCTGTCTGTCTGTCTGTCTCGCTTTCACGCCAAAACTACTGAACCGATTTAAATGAAATTTAGTACGCAGATAGTCTAGACGCCGAGGATGGACATAGGCTACTTTTTAATGCGAAAAAAGGGTTGTAAGGGGTTCAAAATGGAAATACAAGGTTATCTTTATGCGGTTGAATCCTTATTCGTCATATTTTCATTTCACTAGCTAACAACCAATCAACACATCGCGTGCGTTTGCGCCATTCGCCATCTTTTCATTTCACTAGCTAACAACCAATCAACACATCGCGTGCGTTTGCGCCAATAAGGTATCCATCACAGAGAACAAAACCACAGATAACATAATGTAAAACGAAAGATCTTGCCGGAAACATGACGTTGACGTTTAGTGAAAATATTGTTTTTGACACTTTTTTATGATAAAATCGTATATCGTGTGTATGTGTTTTTTCTTTAAACCTGAAATTGGCCGATTGCGAGACAAATTTGGCGATTTTTTTTATCAATTTGTTTTACGGCTCTGGATACAAGCCCAGTTTAGCCCAACTTAAAGTTTTACAATATAAATTACAAAAATTAAAGTCAGTATCCAATGTTAAATAATAATAAATGTCAAATGTTGTTTCCCTGTTCTGAACAACTTAAAAAAAAACTATTAAGTTTTCTTTTTAAGTTGTTCAGTACAATCACAATTTCTTCAAATTTTATTATTTACATTTTTTAAAGAATGTTGTGGTGTGGCACTATCCGAAATTAAATTATTTACCCATTTTTGTAGGTTATACAGAAATAATGTGTGGGTGTTTATTTAAAAAGCATTAACACAAAATTAATAAAGTATAGGTATTAATAAATATATGGTTGTTGTATCAAAATAGAATTTTCTTATTTTTCACTAAAATAAAAACTAACTGTCTTTTTTATAAAATAAATGACCTTTTCATTATGCCATATATTATGGAACTATTTAAATTATTTAGCTGATTGTAAGAAACAAAATGTTGGTTTGTAGATTAATACTGTAAAATTATTATTTGTACGGAAACGAAAAAAATATATTTTTGTTCTGCGACAAAAACTAATATTATAAATGTGAAAGTAACTCTGTCTGTCTGTCTCGCTTTCACGCCAAAACTACTAAACCGATTTGAATGAAATTTGGTATACAGATAGTCTAGACCCTGAGAACGGACATAGGCTACTTTTTAATGCGAAAAAAGGGGCGTAAGAGGTTAAAAGGGTGGATGAAAGATTGTATGGAAGAATCGTCATTTGTTGTCATCGTCGTGAAGCTAGAAGCTTGAAACTTATTTTTGAGACTGTTGATTAAATATAAATAAAAATGACATTCAATGTTTGTAAAAAATTACCCTTAAGGGGGTAAAATAAAATAGGGGATGCAAGTTTTTATGTAAATTCGTCATTTTTGAAGCTAGAAGCTTGAAACTTATTTTTGAGGCTGTTGATTAAATATAAATACATATGACATTCATTGTTTGTAAAAAAATTACCCTCAAGGGGGTAAAATAAAATAGGGGATGCAAGTTTTTATGTAAACACGTCATTTTTGAAGCTAGAAGCTTGAATCTTATTGTTGAGACTGTTGATTAAATATAAATACATTGACATTCATTGTTTGTAAAAAAAATACCCTTAAGGGGGTAAAATAAAATAGGGGATGCAAGTTTTTATGTAAAATCGTCATTTTAGAAGCTAGAAGCTTGAAACTTATTTTTAGGCTGTTGATTAAATATAAATACATATGACATTCATTGTTTGTAAAAAAATTACCCTCAAGGGGGTAAAATAAAATAGGGGATGCAAGTTTTTATGTAAACACGTCATTTTTGAAGCTAGAAACTTGAATCTTATTGTTGAGACTGTTGATTAAATATAAATACTTATGACATTCATTGTTTGTAAAAACAAATACCCTTAAGGGGGTAAAATAAAATAGGAGATGCAAGTTTTTATGTAAAATCGTCATTTTTGAAGCTAGAAGCTTGAAACTTATTTTTGAGGCTGTTGATTAAATATAAATAAATATGACATTCATTGTTTGTAAAAAAATTACCCTTAAGGGGGTAAAATAAAGTAGGGGATGATAGTTATTATGTAAATTCGTAATTTTTGAAACTAGAACGATGAAACTATTGTCATTGGTTCTTTTGGGGTAGATTTTTAAAAACCCCACTAATGTTATAACTGTGAAAGTAACTCTGTTTGTCTTTCTGTCAGTCTTACGCTCCAAAACAAAATAAAAATTTAAATGAAATTTGGTACACAGTTAGTTTACACCCGGACAAAGAATATAGGGTACTTTTGAATGTGAAAAAAGGATTGTATGTTAAGGAAGGTTGCAATGGTAGGCTGTATGGAAGAATCGTCATTTTTTAAAACTAGAAGTTTGAGACTCATTTTTAGGCTGTTGTTTAAATATCAATAAATATGATATTCAATGTTTGTAAAATGTTTACTCTTAGGGGGTGGGGGGGGGGGGTAGTAAAATAAAATAGAGAATGAAAGTTATTGTGGAAATTTGCTGTTTGTGTGGTTGTGGAAGCTAGAATGATTAAACTTTTTTCTTTGTCTTTTTAGGGTTAGTTTATTAAATACCTTACTGATATTATAAATGTGAAAGTAACTTTATCTGTTTGTCTCGCTTACACGCCAAAAATACTGAACCGATTTAAATTGAAATTTGAAACAGACATAGATAGACTAGATCCTGAGAAAGGACATAGGTTACTTTTTAATGTGAAAAAGGGTTGCAAGAGGATTAAAAGGGTAGATCCAAGGTTATATAGATGTATCGTCATATTTAAAGCTAGAAGTTTGAAATTTATTTTTTAGCCTATTGATTAAATATTTATTTTTACTTTTTATCATTTTTGAAGCTAAAACGATGAAACTTATTTATTTGACTTATATTGTGTTAATTGAGTTAAATATTTTTTCATACAGCTAGTATTATATAAAAGAATAATATGTAAGTATATGCATTCATAAGTTAGGTACATATGTATGTATATGTATAATAGTATATGTCATTGGTTAGTAGATATTGTATGTCCATCCCTTGAAGGTCTATCTGAATTCTAACATATATTTAATCAGAAATTTGTCATTTTTATTATAATAATATTTAAAATGCAAAATACCTAATTCTAATCTATATTTAAATACCTATCTTGGAAAACCAATTTGTATTTTATTGCAGAAACATTAGAACTTGTTTTGTATATGAAAATGTAATTTTTTTTTTAAATTTGTTAAAAAAAATTCAATCCAATCATATGCATTTATGCTTCCATAAGGATAGCTAATTTTTAAGGATGTTTTTTTGATAACACTAGATAGAATCTATTATTCTTTCTGCAAAAAAATATAATCTACTAATATTTGTATTTGTAGGTGTATAATCTGTACAAATTTCATCACAATTTAATAAATTAATGTCGAGAACTTACATTTTGGAACAAAATCTTAGTTTTTGTCCTTTGAAGATATTTCTAAAACTAGAACAAGTAAAGCAATATTTCTTAAGTACAAAATCAAATAATGTTTATTTATATTATAAGACCTTTAGCCTCATATGCATATAGTAGATAAATACTTTAATTGAGAAATAGGCTAGCTACTTCAGTTGAGAAGAACTGGTACATTTTCTTATGGTATTTTTACTTTAATCAATTTCAATCTTTGAAAAAAAAACAGTGAGTCTATTTTGTATTAAAATATAAAAAATCCTTTATATAGTAAAGTACTGTCTTTTGACCTTAATATATTATTACAAATATTAAATGATAAATATACAGGTGTATAAAAACATAGGTAACAAAAGAAACTATTACTGTAATTAGTCATTTCAATAATAGTTTCTTTTTCATTTTAACATAATATTGTTTTAATAATGTAATCTAAATTAATGCTTTAATATGTGAAACTATATGTAAAATTATAATTTTATGTTACATGGCTTACAAGCCACCACAGACTCACAGCAGGAAAGCAGGAAAATGTCTGTGTCTGAGAGTTCCATGGAAAGCAATGTTAAACAGCAATTGTCCCAAATCAGCAGCTTGGGAAACAATTGAATGAAGTTGTAGAAGGCCTTTGCCAAATTAGAGCAAATAGCTATAGCTGTCATTGTCCATATACTTATCTATTTTGTAACCTAATTTATCAAAAGGTTATAAAATTTTATATATATCAAATTTAAACTATTTATAATTAAAACTAAATGACTGTAAATCTATATATGTTGACTATAATATTCAATTATTTATTGGTTACTAATTTTTCGTTTTTAATCATCAATTAGTACAGTCTATTATCATTTTAGATGGCTAATCTTTCAGATATACCTATACCCAGAAAGGCCTGAGTGGTTGTGATCTTCATTTTATTATGCCTGCCTGACTCATGTTTAGAAATCAAACCATGTGTTTGCCTAGTAGTATAAACTGTCGTCATTTAATCAATTTGAATATAGTATGTAGGCAGGCGAGTCTTCATGAATAATTCTAATCGCTCGCATAATTTTAATTGTAAATCATGTACGTACCCTCTCTGGCTTTCAAGTAGACAGTGTTGGCAACGATGTTCTCCAATTCCATCAGTTCCAGTGTGGCGGATTTTAACGTAAGCCCTCCAGGAAGTTAGACCCCGCCGGTGCGGCTCCGTTGCCGCCTTCCGTGTGATATTACAGCCCATCAATGTACGTCCGATATCCACAAATTAAGCACTGCACACCATTAGCTGAGCTAACTTTCTCACAACACAGCACAACATTCACAGAAGCACAGATTCAGGCCAGCCACCAGCCTGGAATACGGTCTAACATATAAACACTTAAATGCTCGGGTGTGGTAAAAACGACAATCGCATTATTGATCTAGAAAAAGTAACAAGGTAAACACTTTTAGACCTCACTAACACGTTTGAAAGACCTGTTTCTTTCAATTCACGCGTAAATCAAGTACACGCCCGAATTACGCTAGTTATCGATGACGGAAACTGACGGAGAACAACCAACCAATACGCTATAAAAACTGCTACTATATGGTAGAATTTAGAATCCAATTGCCTACATCCAGTTATATAAACTACTATTTACAAACGAATAATATTTGAGGATTACAGTTTTGTTGAGTTTTATATATATTATGTAGTAATTCTTTTAGAATTTAGAGCATAATTTAATCTCCACATTAACGTTGTCACTTTATTATTAATACCTGTGAGGCAACGTTACGCCGATTACGCCGACCCCAAATAAATAGAATAAGCAAGAAGCATTATAATGATATGAAGAAGATGATAATGATATGTGAGGCCACGTATATAAACAAACGTAAACGTATATAATGAATTAAACTAGGGTCTGATTAGAATATAGTCCTTTTGCAATTAATTATTTTGCCTACATCTGATTAACTACATTTTTTTAAATATCATTGAATGTCAAGTTACATGCAAAGAGAGAAACAAGAAGATGTACTTTCTCTTTAACATATTGGGCCAACGATTATTCTGTCTGCACAGTAGTGGAAAAGATCCTTGACAGACATTTTCCTAGGCAATCTTAGCAAGAGACTAGAAAGCTCGATATCCTGATGAAAGACAGGTCAATCTCTTGTCAATCTAGAACTCTTGAAGGACCTGGAAGGGGAATTATAACAAAGTCGGAAGTCGGTGACAGATGCAGCTCTTGCATCGGGATCGTCTAGCGCTAAGCAAATCCGCCACCTATGGGTGAGATGAAAAAAAGTTCGTAATTGCTAACTTTTTAAAATTTTTCAAAAGCAAACATTTTTAAAAGTCAACAAATACGAAATTTTTTTACGAAGTACCAAATTTTGCGTCTCCTTAAGGAAAAGTAAAACCGGCATCGCTATTTTAGATGGTGATTAATCAATCTTTAGGTGGTGTTAATTAATCTTTAGGTGGTGGGTTTCGGATACTCAGGGCAACCTGAGTGCCGCCACACTTAGGTACTTTACACATTGGTACAGTCTCTCAGGAGTGAATTCTCCAGCAACGTAGTCATTGGTACCACCCTGAGATAAAATATATCTTTTGTATCATGGTAAAGTAAAAAAGGGGTGTGTAGGGAACAAAATAAGGAGAGGTTTAAGGGGGAGGGGAAAGGGCGTCAGACACCTCAACTCACACTAAACACGAAAATGCCTAACGTCGGAATCCTGCAGAGATGTGGATGTGTATTCCCTGGTCCATTCGTGCTGCAACATGTGGTCATAAACAGTGTACTCTACCACTTAAAAAAATAGTTTTATTTCTTTTCTTTTAGCTTCGGCTATATGTGTTGATAAAACTGATTAGTTGTAGGAGTTCAATAACAAATTAATATGAGTCGGGAATGGGGGTTTTAAAGGTGCTAAGACATTGTACAATAACGAATGGCCGTACAAAAGAAAGACAGACAAGAAAAGAAAAATATGGCTCAAGTCTCCGATATCAGTTCTACAGTCACAGATGGCACTATCTACTACATATATGAAATCTAGCAGGATGTACTGGCTGGAATTTCATTTAAAAAAAACATGGTTTATTAGGTATATTGGTTTGAATATAACTATATATTCTACATTTCGATCTATTGTGTAGAGATCATTCCAAGTGTCTTTAAGGATATCTCCAGGCAAAGACAGGAAGAGAATAATTTTTAATAGGAATAAGATCGCCAGAAACGAGTGCTTCATTAGCAGAATGATGTGCTCTTTCATTCTCTCTTATATGTCAGTGGCTCGGGATCTACAATAGATTATATAAAAGTAAAAAAATTCTCAATAATTTTCAAATGATGATTAAACTTTTATATATCTATGGTTACTTTTAAAAGATCAAACACTATTTTGATTGACGGCAACAATATCTAAACCGTTTTATTTAGGGCTACTAAAAATACTTAATTTATGGGAAAACTATTATAAATTTAACTAGTAACACCAAAAAATTCTATGCCGTTATGTAATGTTATCTGTATCATATTTTTAATGCACAAAAAATATACAAGAGAGCTTTCTTGAGTATTTTTTGAATTTGCAAATTTAGCAAGTATTTTCAACTATGGTTGGTTTGGTACTTATCTTATCTGTGGTACCGCTAACATTTTAGAATGTGTTCCTTTGTACCAGCCAGTGGAAAGAACATGAGTGATACAAGTTGTAGCTATGTACATATTTATATTGTACAAGTAGATAGTTTAGATGACAAAAACAATACAATAATGGGAACTAATATCTTATTACTACCAATGTCTGTTAGGTCACATCCATGCGGTTCTCCCTGGAAACCATATATTATATATTGGTTAATTCCTGGGCAATTCGCCATGATAGACCATTGACTTCATACTTATTTTATTATCTACCACTAGTGCCTTGCCAGCGTAAACTATCAATGCAGGCGGAACCACCATACATTAAAATCTGAGGGGAAAGGAATTGTTAGTAATGAATACTAATGACCCCACTACTAGAATTATACTGTGTCAGGTTGACCTCCACGCGGTCCCCCTTAGAAACCTTCGTGATAAAATCCTGGTGAATTTCTTAAAAAATTAAAAAAAATATCCATAAAAAAAAACGCTGCTGAAAAACTTTGTTTCCAGATCAGTGCACGTCAGAGAATAAGTACGTTTATTTATTTTCTAAAAATTTGTTGTTTTGTGCACTGCAACTTTATTTGAAAATTTGATACGTAGAATTGTCAATTTAGAGTCTGTTAAAAAAACTTCATAGTTTGTGTGGAACACGGTACACCTTTTTCTGCATCTTCATCCCCTACGAGAGTGCAGAACACCAAGGTCTCTGTACCTGTTTTCTGTATATTTGAATTTTAAAAATATGTTATGGAAACTTGTTCTTAAACTCTAAAATAAAAAAAATACGATTCAGCAAATGCGATACCGTGCAACTACTCCGCTACATCTGGTAACATTATTTGAAAAATTGACATTCACACATGTAAATTTAAGTGTCCGTTTAAAAAACAATAATATAGTCTGGAACGCAGTACACCTTTTTATGTAAAAATTACAGTTAGTAATTTTTCACTATTGTGTATATATAATAATTTAACATTATTTTATTGTATTCATACCAATATGGATGTTAATCCCTGTACTGTGTGTGGTAGTACAGATTTAAATCTCATCGATGGTTATTATTATTGTGTTGAATGCGGTACTCAAGATTCTAATGTAAGGGAGACTATGTTTGAAGATAGATACTTAGAAGATGGCGGCAATTTATTTGTCCAGAAGAGAACTAAAATTAAGATAATTAAAGAAGACGTCAAAAGTAAGTTTTGGGAATTATCAACTTTGAGGTTATTCTGTGGTGGACACTATAATAAAAAGCAGTAACTAAATATGTTTAGGTTTACATACAATTGATTATTATTATATATATATAATTAATACTATAATTGTTAGATAGATGATGATAGATAGATTTCATGCTTTTAGTGTGCGGAGAATGGCACAAATGGCATGCATATAACTGTATTTTGGCTGGATTAACAGAGGAATTGATCTCAATTGGAGCTAAACCAAGTATCAAAACGAAAGTACTTTGGTTATGGTCTTTGTATATGAAAAAGTATCAGAATAAAAAGGAATTAGGGTATGTATATGTTATTATTATTTATTATACTATTGCACAAATTTTAATTTGTCCCTATATTGTATAAATATGTTTGTGTTTCGTGCATATATACCATACAAGACTCCTTGCATTCAAGTTGGCTGGCACCACATATTTTTTAAGATATATTAATTAGAGTAAGACTACAACTATTTATCACAACTGTAAAATTAAATGAATTTTGCCTACATACTCAGTTTCCATTTTGGTTGAAATTGAAATTTCTAATGATGTATCTCATTGTTATGGAAAAATTAAAATAAATATTGTTGTTGTATCTTCAGTGTTGTATAACAGATGTGACTAAGATTTACAAAATAATTGTTGAAATGAAAATGATTTAGACATTTGGAAAAGTTTAATAAATATGTAAACAATAATAAACATAATATTAGTTTGTCACTCTTATGCAAAGAATCGAACCCATGATGATCGGAAGTGAGGGGTATGTCAATTTGTGAACATATGATAGGAATGCGAATATTGATTCACTGTATTACCATTTAAAATAAAAAATATAATTTCAGGTTAGGAGTAGAAGATATTCAGAATGATACAAGTACTAGTCAAGATATAGACAATGTTGATATTAGAGGAATAAAACGGAAAATCCCTTTAGGAAATGATGTATCTTTTGTATGTACTCGATTGTTACTTACAATCCTATATTTGGCACTTCATTTTGACTGTAGTGATATACAATTAACCCATTTGCTAAGATATGTTCAGGAGGGTAAACTTAGCTTCCATACTTGTACCAAATATCTACCCATAGACATTGATGTGTCTTTATTTAGTGTATACAATCGGTCACTTTGTTTATATTATGTTCCTTCAATGCAATTAATGCGTTTCCATGCTATGTCTTTCATAAAAACATTTTCATTGGAGGCACCTGTACTACAAAATGTAACAAATCTTGTTGATCAATATATAAGAGAATTATGTCTTCCTAATGACTTTAAAAGACTTGTTTATTCTTTAATGCATTATTTCTCTCCAAATAAATTTCTCATAATTGACCATGCTAAAAAAAAAACCAATACACAAATGCCTTTTTACGAATGTACTGTAATGTCATATATTTTATTTGCACTAAAAATGTGCTTTGGTTTAGATGATGTTTATGATGTAAAATTGTCAGAGATAGTTGATAATATCAATCAAGAGAATGCTTATATGAAATCATATAAATTGGGAGGCTCTTCTGAATCATCTGACAGATTATTTTCTTTTCATGAATGGTGTAATTTTCTACAATTCAGAAAAATAATACTATGTAAATATTGTTGTTCCCTTGCTGAGTTATATTACATTGATACAGATGACTATGTTTTTATGGAACAGAGAAAAGTAAAGATACCATGTAGAAAAAAACCATCATTTAGTGATAAAACTACCATGAACATTTTAGATAACATTCCAGTAAAAACAGAATTTGAAGTGATTCCTAAGAGTAAGTTTGTCCCTACTTTAACACCTCTAACAACTTATACCGACATTGTACTACAGTATTATAAAGATCCTGAATTAAGGTTGTTACTGAGTGAAGATTTTACTCAATACTCTATAAAATATGCTTGTTCCGACTTAAAGCTGTATTCACAAGATTCTAATAATGCTGTTGTAGGCATCAATATTATCGATCAAAATATAAAATCAGGAATCCTTGGCCTATTAAAAGGTAAAGTTTATGATACAGAAATGGTTTTTATAAGACACTGTGATAACAAAAATTGGACAAAAACGAATAGGCCAACATTAAAACACATAAAGAAAGTAAACAATTATGAAAGCGATAAAGAAAGTGTTTATACTAATGATTCTACCGAAAATATCGTAGTAACCGATTTTAAGACGGCTAGGAAATCAGGTGATACACAAATTACAGAAGATCATAGAGAAATTGAAGATACTATTATTGAAGAAGATAAAGATGTAAATATTTTTGATGATAATTTTCTAGATTTTGAAAAAGAAATAAAAACAGAATTTCCTGAAGTAGCTCCAGGTGTAGAAAATTCTTTTGAAAACACTGTACAGTATAATGATTCACGCAATGAAGATGAATTAAATATTGAAATAGAAAATATAAGCTCCAAAAGCACGCAAGTTTCTGATGCTGATTATTTTTACAATCCAGATACTTTTGATAGAGAAAAAACTATTGATGATATAATATTATTTACATGCAAAAAATATAAAATACCCATACCCTTAAAAGAATCTAAACCAAAGGAACCTAGAAAAAGAAAACCGAAGTTTATTAATGATGAAGGAGATGTAAGCAAAGCTAAAAGAACAAAGAGATCAACTAACCATAAAGACGTTCAAAAACAAATTAATGATTTACTTTTTGCTTATTATAGTAATTTACAAAAAGATAAATTAAATACAGTATCTGCAAACCTTAAGAATTTAATTCAAACGTATGACGACGATAAAATAGAAGATGACTTAGTAGCCAATGAATTAAATGCAGGTTATAAAGCCAATGAAGTAATTACTGATACCCAATTCATTAATGAACATCAACAAAATTCTGAGGTTCAATCAATCACTGAAGTCACGGACATAAACCAAACTGGAAATTCAGATATATTAGATATTCCTGAGACTAATGATAATAACTCCTTGTCGTCAAATTGTAATGATTTTATAACTGATCCTAAATTTGATGAGGAGGTTTATGATGTTAAACAACTATATGTGAAAGTACCTCATGTAGAAGAAACTGATTTAGAAAATGTATTTAATACCCATGGGGATCCCAATTTAGAAAATATTTTAGACAAAAAAATCAAAGAAGGCTTGAACATTCATACTGAAAAATTAAAATCTGACGTAGATAGCTTTTGTTCGGAAGATGAAATTCCTTTAAGTGTAATTAAGAATCAGAAGAAAATGAGAGCTGAATTAAAATCTAAAACTCTTAATTTTTTAATAAAAAATAGAGAAGAAATAAAAACGTTTAATTATTGGACACGATCCTATCCAAGAGTAGTGTCAAAAACAGGAGACTTAAACAATAGATTTATTGCGGAATTACATGAGAATTTTCCAAAAAGTTTTGCATTTATAATGGAGGAGTGTGCTGGTATTCTGGGATGTTCTTCAGCTAATTTATATAGAAGTTTCAACGCATTAGAGCAGTCTTTATTGCCTAGTAAATATTAAGCACATTGTGGTAACAACTAATTATTGTCTATTTATTGAAATTATGTGAGTGTTATTGTGATTTATTTACCGCTTTATTGACTCTAAAGCACAAATATAGCCAACATTCTTCGTATGTGAATTTATGTACCTGACTATCCAGTGTTGGACACACCAATTACAAACCTATAGTTACCCATTGATATGTAAGTTATACATGTTGTTGTTAAAATTAGAGTATAACTTCGATGATTGTAGATGTTTGTGAGGTTTCTTTTTGTTACTCATAACACGGAGTTTTCACTAAAAATGTTTTGTATCAAGTAAAAGCTAATCCACATTCTTATATATGTACCTACTTATATGAAAATCTAGCGTCACGATATTAGTGCGGGGGTATTATTATTATTAATAAAAAATAGTCCGGTCCTGTAACTCCTAATGTTGACTGAGAACCATATTTTGTATCTTAAGTTTAACCTGCAAATCGTCCTTATCTTATCACTTTTACCTTAGAATAAATTAGTTAAAAAATGTTGAATGATAAAAAAGCATATAAGATTCTAAAGTAAATTTAGATTTTGTAGTGGTCTAAAATGTAATCAAATGAATCGGTAGCTTACCTTTTTAGACACTGACAATTAATTTTTCTTTTGTCGGGTTACGTCGTCAGCCTAAAAATAAAAGCCAATACCTATTTAATCACAACTTCTCAAAGGACGTATCTAATAAACAAAATGTTTGGAGTTGCAAACAAATATAGGGCTGTTATGCAAGCAATTGGTCGTCCTATGTTTATTGCTCCTAACCGAAAGGCGACCCAAGTGGGCATGATAATTTCTACTCCGCCAAGGATTCCTGTATCGAAGGGAGTAAGTTTATTTTTAGATTTTTTTCCAAGACAAAGTAGATGACATAGTATATTGCCAGCTAAAGGTTCTAGCGTATGGCGATAAATTCCCTGTCGACATCGAGTTGTTATTTGTCGGTAAGATCCCATATATTCTAGACACTACGGCGGGAAGTGTCTAGAAAATATGGGATTTTACCCACTAATGGATTATGAATAATGTTGGTGGAGATTTTCCTTACATTAAGAATAAGGCTTCTATAATATAGCAATATAATATGGTCGATGTGGAGAAGTGTGATATTCATAGATCCGTATGTACACGTGGCCTCTGTATTAACCACACATCACCTTTTTGACATTCGTAAGTATATCCACATATATAATTAACCTTGTCGGATTGTAGTAATGCTTGCCATATGCAATTTATGGGTGCATAAGCTATAAAGAACCTATACCTACACTTAAGTTTGCGTAGCAGACGTGTCCAGGCTGTTTTCTGTAACTGATCTTTGCTGACAACTTCATTTCAAACGTTGAAATCTACTATTATGCATTAGTGTGTGAGGGGGGGGGTCTTTTTTTTTTGTGAATGATAATGGAATGGTGCACCCGCCTGCGCTAACGGTTTACGCTGGCGGGGCACCAGTGGAGGATGATAAGATGAGCATGAGGTCAGGTTAGTTAGCCCATCGTGACAAATTCACCAGGAATTTAACACGGTGGTTTCCAGGGGGAACCGCGTGGAGGTCGACCTGACATGGTACATTGCTAGCAATGGGGTTATCAATCTACATTACTAATAATCCCCTTCCCCCCTAGGGTAGGGGGGGGGGTCTATGAGTTTTAGTCTGCACAATTTTGTGACAAATAAATATGCACCTTGGTAATTTTTAATGGTGAAAATCATATGGTTTGTTTTAGTTAATGTGTTTGATATTAACCAAACACTTACTGTATCTAAGCCCTTTTGAGCCATTGCGCAATTGCGAACCGTACAACTTTTGTAACTGTTTTTTTCAAATAGTTTATAAAAATAAACAAATATTTTGCAGGAACAAATGGTACATGTTTTATTCATTTTAATGGTTTGGTTGAGTCCTATGGCTTACTTTTTAAGTCAGTTGAAAGTTTGGCGTCGTGAATACCTTCAAGATTAATTTTTTTATTAAAATAAATATTCTCTAACCGTTTATATTTTTATTCTATTTTATACGACATCCAGTACTGCTATAGATACCTTCAGTTACATGTGTATAATCTTTGCCATATAAAAGGAAAAATGAAAACGGTTATTGTAGGTACGTCGACGTGGAGAATTAGTGGATGTACGTCGGAACCTGATGGATTTTCAAATTTCATAACTAATAATAGTAGGATTTAGGAAAACTAGATTATAAAGTGGAGTATGCTTTCTTTTATCAGGGATTATTACATTACCTAGTGTACCTACACTATTGAACACTATTAAAAAATAGGTACACTATCAGTAGAACTACTTTAATTGAAGTTAATAGGAATATTCGCGAATAGTTATATACCTATTCAACAAATATAGTTCCGAGGATTTTTAGGAAATTAAGATTTGTGATTTCAAACCAAAAGGGCGGTACTGCGGACCGATAGAGATTAGTCGCACAAATATGAATGCGTGAAGTTTTATTTTTTGGTTACTAACAAAATGTGAAAGTTTCAATTTTCATTCACTTGATATCACACGAGAAGTTACCTGTACTTGCAACAACTGCTACTAATACTACAAATTATATAATTAAACGATTAATCAAGTGTACATAATATAAATTAGACTAGTCCTTATGAATATAATTATAGTAAAATTAAATTGCGTTTTAAGCTTTCCCGGCAAAAGTGATCTCTTTCTGATATGTGGTATCGACTCAAAACGGCCATCACACCATCGAACATAATACTTTGTAGCAAAGAATTGCAAAGAATATACTACTCAAGATCTCTAGTCTGTTTTTTAATCCAGGAGACAAATTTGACAGTACTCATGTTACCAGGTTTTTGCAATTTTTAAATAGGGTTGAGGCAATTAATAATAACTACCCATTTTTATTGTTACTTAAAAATAGTGTGCAGGTGTTTGTATAAAACGCAATAACACATTTTTTTATCCTTTTTATGGCTTGGTAACACAAAATTAATAAAGTATAGGTATTGTTAAATATAGGGTTGTTGTATCAAAATAGCTTTATTATTTTTCACTAAAATAAAGTATTTGTATAAAAACTGCCGTTTTTATAAATCAAATGGTTTATAGCTTAATACTGCAAAAAATTACTGTAAGTACGGAAAACCTCAAAAATGTATTTTTGTGTTGTATAATACATCGACAGTAAAGGATACGCTAGGAAAAATGTTGTGGAAATTTAAACCTTTAAAAGTAATATGTTAAAATAAAAAAATTATCATCAAAATAGTTATCGCAGGTCGCAGCACTAACCCGCTATAGGTGGATTTTTTAAATTTGACATATACATCTGTCAATTTAGTCTTCACTTTCTTGTCATTATCACACAGAGTACCGCTGTATCACAGATATACGTATTTTGTTTTGTTTGTGTATGCGGCATTGCGACCATCAACTAAATATTTTGATTACGTTAACTGAACTTCTTGCTCGTCTTATAATCTCGAATTTATATTATTTTCTATGAGTTTATATTAGTTGGTTTGTTCTCACTTACTAGCTTTTGCTTCCTCGCCGCCGAATGCCTGATATGTATTCCACCCTGCTTTTTGTTGTTATAGTCGCGGTTTTAATAAACATATAAAACAACATTGTCAATTTCTAGTATAAATTACTAATCATGAAAGAAGCAAAACAAACGCCTATAGAAGACCTAGCTGATTTAAGAACGTACTTTGCTTCTCATAATGTTATTAGAGAACACATAGCTCACAGTTCGAAGGTTCATTCTGTAGGCTGGTCCTGTGATGGTAAACGCCTTGCTTCAGGGTCATATGATAAAAGTGTTGTTACATTCACACTTGAAAGAAACAGACTGGTAAGTGAATAGTTTCATATTAGAGTTTAGGTTAGGTTAGTCCGCGTGGAATTTAACTTTATCTTTCTAAAATAAAAGTAGCTTAAGTTACTCCTTATTACATCACCTACTTGCTAAAGAAAGTCCCGTCAAAATCGGCCCAGCCATTTCAAAGATTATCCTAAATAAACAGACAGATAGACAAAAATTGTAAAATAAATTCTTTTTGTGTATGTACTGATTTATATTCATATGCATGTAGTAAAAAACGGTTATTTCAATATTACAAACAGACACTCTAAATTTATTTATATGTATAGATTAGTTTGTATTCATATAACTTTTTACTTAAAATTGTAAAGTGTTTAAAAAAAACAGCAGTACTTGCATATTTTTCTTATATGAAATTGTAATCCAAATTAGTAGCAATTAATATTAGTGAAATTGAATATTAATGGAAATTATTTCCATTTTATTCCACTCTTAAGGTTCAGACAATATATAGACATTGTATTTCATGAGTTTATCTTTAATATTAAAGTTATATTTAAATTGGGTTACACACTTAAACACACAGGATCAGTGGACCAATTGTGTTGGCATGCTTCGCACCCTGACTTATTAAGCACAGCTAGTGGCGACAAATCTGTTAGGATATGGGATACAAGGTAAATAATGTATACTATTATTATTACGAAGCATATAAATAATCTATAAAAGTTCTAAAAATCCATGATTATCAAAGAAAATAGAAATATAACAATTTCAGTTTCTTAGACAAACAGAGAATTCCAAAGAAATGGATTGAGACTAGTAACCATTGCTGACGAACATGAATGACTATACAAGATATATATAGATGACATCTTACTCAGATTGGCTTTGCTGTTTCCGTGGATCAGGGTTTTATGCCTTGAAACTCATCTTATTCTGCAATTTCAATACCTGATCTGACCCTACAACTAAAACAGCTTACAAAGCAAGCTGCTTGGCAAGACATAGATACCCATACAGAGGACTTTATGTGATCCATCCTGATGAATGGTGTTAAAGTATCCTATATACAATTTATAGTCTGTATCAATGCATAGAGTATGTTAACACTGTTAGTATCTATGATTATAAGAAAAAGTAAAAACTCAGCAGTTGTCCGCATAAATATGGTGTGTATTGAGTATGCTAGATACAATATAATTATTATTAAATTAGTTAGCAGAGTTTCAGCTTTTATTAAGGGGCTTAATATGGATTTTTGTGTTCACATTGAGTGACTAGTACTTAAATTAACATTATTTATTATAGATCCCACAAATGTGCAGCCACAATAGCAACAAAGGGTGAGAATATCAACATAGCATGGTCACCCAATGGGAGCACTATAGCTGTGGGGAACAAAGAGGACTTGGTCTCTTTCATTGACACAAAGACATATAAAGTGGTTTGTAATGTATATTAATTTTTAGTATCGGTTACATAACAGTATCACTTCTCTTCATCCTAAGGTTGCCTGGAAGAGATAGCTTTTTAGTCATAAGGCCGCTGTTGTTGCCTCTTTGTCTTGTTATTATAGCCCAAAAGCCCACGACGGCCAGACATACGTCATTTTAGTAAACGTGAAAGTTCTTGTATGTGTGACCCCAACACAGGTAAGAACGATCCCCAAACATGAAACCTGGATCGTGGTTCCTTTGGCAGGTAAATGTACGGCCAATATACGGTTTCAATGAGTCTGGTAGGATAAGGAACCAAGAAAACTGTCTGGCAATTTTAATAGTTCTCTCAATAATATATATAAAGTTCAGCTTTATTAAAATGACATAAGTTTATTTATAAAAAACAATGATACAGGAGCACAAAAACTACACATTACAGCGAAAATTAGAGGCACTGACGCCTACTGTTTCTACAGATTACTCATTATGGAAATATACGAAATCATTTAAAAGACCACAACAAACCAAGCCTCCCATAAGAACAGAAAACAATATCTGGGCTAGAACAAGTAGAGAAAAGGCCAATATTTTTGCCAAACACCTATCTGAGGTATTCATCCCGAATCACGTACCTAATGAGGGATTTGAGAACAATGTGAATTCAGTCCTAAACCAAGATCTACAATTAGACCTCCCACCAAAGCCTGTAACAGTACGAGAGCTTTGGAGGACCATAAAGTCTCTTAAAGATAAAAAGGCTCCTGGTTTTGATCTTCTCACCAAAGAAGTGCTATGCCAATTGCCAAGAAAAGCTGTAATTTTCCTAACCATTCTGTTTAATGGTATTATAAGAGTTCAGCACTTTCCAGAGCTATGGAAGGTCTCAACCATCACCATGATACACAAACCTGGAAAACCTTCTCAGGAAGCCGCATCCTATAGACCCATTAGCCTCCTTCCAATCTTGTCCAAGCTTTTTGAGAAGATACTTCTGCGAAGAATCCATTCTCAACTTGCACAAAAAAAAATTATTCCTGATCACCAGTTCGGTTTCCGGCATCAACATTCAACTGTGGAACAGGTTCACAGGGTCTGTGATAGAATTCGAATGACTCTCGAAAACAAAGAATACTGTTCGGCTGCTTTTCTTGACATACAGCAAGCGTTCGATCGGGTATGGCATGAGGGACTACTATATAAAATCAGGAATAACCTGTCACACAGTTATTACCTCCTACTACGATCTTACCTGCTACAAAGACTCTTTCAGGTAAGGGAATCTGGAGAAACATCATCATTCTATGAGATCAAAGCTGGAGTGCCACAGGGGTCAATTCTCGGTCCTATGTTATACCTCATATATACAGCGGACATTCCGGAAGTGAAAGGTGTCACTATAGCCACCTTTGCGGATGATACTGCATTGCTAGCTAGTAATAAAACACCTGACATGGCTTCAACCATTCTCCAGAATGGCCTGGATCACATCTATAGGTGGTTGCAAAGATGGAAAGTCAAGACCAGCATTACAAAATCTGTCCAAGTCACCTTTACTCTAAAACGTGGAAATTGTCCACCAGTAAGATTGGGAGATTATGCTCTACCACATAAGGACAATGTTAAGTATCTTGGAGTACACCTTGAACATATTAAAACCAAGAGAGAATGCTTAATGATTCGCTTTAAAAACCTTTACTGGCTTCGACCCATCGAAATACAAAACTGTCTATTGACAATAAACTACTGATTTATAAGTCCATTCTAAAACCTGTATGGACATACGGCTTACAACTTTGGGGAAGTGCGTCAAAGTCAAATGTTAACATCATTCAAAGGGCCCAAAATATTATACTGAGAACAATATCGGGTGTCCCTTGGTACATCACCAACAACGAAATTCACAAGGAACTTGGCGTACTGACAGTAAAGGAGGAGATCCTCAATTGTAAAGAAAAATATAAAAAGCGACTATGTGACCACCCGAATCAACTGGCTGCTCAATTACTACAAATACTTTACCCCAAGCGACTAAAAAGAAGCGACATTGTGTAATGTTTGCAGCATGCTTAAGGAGTAGATTCGCCCGCTGGGGTGGACACTCCATTCTTAGATCCCACACCCAAAAAATCTGCTCATAGTTCCGGGACTGATTGCAGATAAGAAAAGAAAAAAAAAAATTTTTTTAAAAAAGTATAGTTTAGGGGGGTCCGGCGGGGGGTTGGAACCACACTAAGGGTCTGGCAACGAGCAGAGCAAGTTATAATACTGTTACGAGCAATATGGGAAAAAATGGAGCATCTTAAAATAACGAATTTGATATGAAATTGTGTAGGCCGTTGTTACCCAATATATGGTTTCAATGAGTCTGGTAGTATAAGGAACCAAGAAAACTGTCTGGCAATTTAGGAAACTCAGTTTAATAGTTCTCTCAATAATATATATAAAGTTCAGCTTTATTAAAATGACGTAAGTTTATTTATAAAATAGTATAATTTAGGGGGGTCCGGCGGGGGGTTGGATACCACACTAAGGGTCTGGCAACGAGCAGAGCAAGTTATAATACTGTTTCGAGCAATATGTGAAAAAATGGAGCATCTTAAAATAACGAATTTGATATGAAATTGTGTAGGCCGTTGTTACCCAATATACCGTTTCAATGAGTCTGGTAGGATAAGGAACCAAGAAAACTGTCTGGCAATTTAGGAAACACAGTTTAATAGTTCTCTCAATAATATATATAAAGTTCAGCTTTATTAAAATGACGTAAGTTTATTTATAAAATAGTATAATTTAGGGGGTTCCGGCGGGGGGTTGGAACCACACTAAGGGTCTGGCAATGAGCAGAGCAAATTATAATACTGTTACGAGCAATATGTGAAAAAATGGAGCATCTTAAAATAACGAATTTGATATGAAATTGTATACACCGTTGTTACCCAATATACGGTTTCAATGAGTCTGGTAGGATAAGGAACCAAGAAAACTGTCTGGCAATTTAGGAAACTCAGTTTGAGAGAACTCGCAATAATAAAGTTCAGCTTTATTAAAATGACGTAAGTTTATTTATAAAATAGTATAATTTAGGGGGGTCGGAACCACACTAAGTGTCTGGCAATGAGCAGCGCAAGTTATAATAATGCTACGAACAATATATGAAAATATGGAGCTTTTTAAAATAACGAATTTGATATGAAATTTTTTACACCTTTGTTACCTGTTTCCTGCCAAAGGAACCACGATATCCAGGTTTCATGTTTGGGGATCGTTTTTACCTGTGTTGGGGTCACACATACAAGAACTTTCACGTTTACTAAAATGACGTATGTCTGGCCGTCGTGGGCTCTTGCTCTACTAGTATTTATATCATTTTAAACATAATTGTGTAGTTTCATTCATAATTAAATAACATAATTAAAACAGATTCTCTGTAAAGTATCAGAGAAAAATGTTGTTATGATAAGACAAAGTATTTCAAAAACTGAACATGAGGTGAATGTAATTTTTTAACAGACATACAATTAAAGTGTCACTGTACACTGTCTGTAATGAAATGTATATAAGAAAATAAATATATTTTTTCCTTTATGATCATGAAAACCATAAATGAAAAACTGACATTTCAAATATGTTTTCTATTTATAGGTTGTCGAAGAGCAATTCAACTTTGAAGTAAATGAAATCTCATGGAATAACACATCAGATCTCTTCTATTTGACTAATGGACTTGGCTGTGTTCATATATTGACGTAAGAAATATATTATCATATGTAATGTTTAATTGTATATTAGTAAGCTGTTTTTGTCATCAAAAAGCCTTTATAAACATAAAAATACAAATAAAATCTACAATATATTAAACGTATCAATATCTATTGTTGTAGGTACCTGGTACATAGTAAAATCACAGTAAATTGGATATGCTGCATATTTCCATTTAACTAAATAATTCAATACGATCATAGACTATTCTTTATATATTCCTGTACTCTCTTACTCATGTATTTTGCATAATAATATCCCTATTGGACTATTTTTTTTTTCATTTTATTTCCAATGTTTCAGTTATCCATCGTTGGAACTGCAAACTGTTTTGAAGGCGCATCCAGGCACGTGTATCTGCATCGAGCACGACCCCACTGGTCGGTATTTTGCAACAGGCTCAGCGGACGCGCTTGTCTCTTTATGGGATGTCAACGAGCTTGCATGCTTAAGAGTTTTTTCAAGGTTTGTTATGTGAATTTATCATCAACTTAATTTATTACCTGGAGAGCATTTACTACCTCTATACAAGAATTGTTTATTTTGAAAATCATCATCATATGCTTCTTCGTTATCCCATTTATTTAGGGCTGGTGTAATATTTATGTCTTCCATTTATACCTGTTCTCAGTTATCTCGTTACTTACTTCCCTTCTTATCATCTTTCACACAGTCCATCCATCTCCTCTTCGACCTTTCCTTTTCCAAAATATAATTAAAGAATCTGGTTTAAACTCATAGTGTTCATAAATAGTGAGATCCTGTATTGACATTTATTCAATTTAAAATACAAATATTTAAATGTACAAGCTGTACTGTTAAAAGTAAAGAATACACAAACTGTACTCAAAAACCTAAGTTGTGGACTTAGGTCACACATAATATATAACTAAAATAATCTGGTGATAAATAGGAAAATATTAATATTTATAACCACTGCTTTGAACATAAAAAATAACGTTAAAGGTTAGAATGGCCGGTGCGTACACTATCGTTTAGTTTCGATGGTCGTCTGCTAGCATCAGGAAGCGAAGATCACATAATAGACATTGGAGACACAGAGACGGGTATGTAGAAGAAATTATTTAAAATTTTACTAATATATTTATTTATTTTATTTATTATTCTTTATTGCACCATAATAACAAAAAACAAATATACAAAAGAAAACAATATTTACTATATGGGTACGCTTATGCGATCTCTTCCAGACAACCGTTGGGTAAGTAGGAGAAAAGTAATATATCTAATTTAACCCATATAGATATACTAATAATATCTTGATCTCTCTAGTAATATTATCTAACACACTTGTTTGTCATTTATAATAATATATAATAGAAATAAAATTGGAGTGTCTGTTTGTAATATTGAAATAAGCGTTTTTTACTACATGCATATAGATACGGTACATACACCAAAATAACATTTCTTACTATTTTTGTCTGTCTGTTTGTTCCGGCTAATCTCTGAAATGGCTGAACCGATTTTGACGGGACTTTTTTTACAAGGTAGCTGATGTAATAAAGAGTAACTTAGGTTACTTTTATTTTAGAAAAATAAAGTTAAGTTCCACGCGGACGAAGTCGCGGGTAGTAATAAATATATTGCTAGCGTTTGTTTGTTCATGCAACATTAATTTTAATGTTCGTCCAGTTTTTTTTATTAGTCAATTCATTCATAAATATTGTAAATAGCGGAATTAAGAACTCTCTCTCTAAATTTTAGAAATTTGCGGATTTAAAAGGAAATATAACAACCATATTACATATTTAACATAAACAAATTAGGTTTCGGTTAATTTATTATTGGTATCGTAAGTCATAACCATACCGAACGTCCAAATTTGTGCCAGAGTTAGAACTAATTTTAAATTTTTTATATGACATTAATTTTTAGGAGAGAAAGTAGCCGAGATACCGGTGTTAGCGTCGACATTCACAGTGGCGTGGCATCCGTCCCGTTACCTGGTGGCCTTTGCGTGCGAAGATAAGGAGCTACCAGAGAGGAAGAGGGATGCTGGAAATCTTAAACTGTGGGGATTACCCAATAACAGCTAGACAAAACTTCCTGGGTATTGTTATGGTGAAATCAATCCATGTGGTCTATGTTATTATAAATTTACTACATACTTATAAAAACTGCTACACGGTCTTTACTAGTAAAATTACATGAAACTATTAATTAAAAACTAATTTAAAACATTAAAATTGTTTTCATCTGACTTAGGTTTTGCTTACCTAAATATTCTTTTACTATTAAATTCCCGGTAACATTACTTTTTTATTTAAATTTTGCTTTATTTTCCAATGAAACATCTGTCTATGATATGTCTATTTTTGGAATCTAAAGTATTACATTAATTTCATATTATTAAATAGTTTATTAAATAATATTAATTTAATTTAATTTAACTATATTTATTTCCTAGAAGTTCACTGCATTCATTAATCACCAAGTTTCACATTGAAATCGCCCATCTTGCTCCATATTCTTCAACATTTTCTTGGCATCATCATTATGAAGGCCGCCAGATTCAAAAACTAATAAAAGAGCTTCGCGCACATTGTCAGGCATACTTTTAGCATTACCAGATATATATATACTAGCTTTGTTCGTATCTATAAAGCGCCATAAGTCTTTTTTGTGTTCCATTATTTTGTGTTGCACATATCTGTAAAGATTAAAAGATGTATATGAATAAATGGATTTACCATTTATCCTTCGATCGAATCGGGTACGATTGTCACTAGGCTGTTGTTATATTCTGAATACCACGGAGTAACAAGTCGTGGGTTAAGTTAGTTAACAACTATAATTCTAGGCCTGACTACCCTAAAGGCAATAGCAAACTATTGGCATTGTAATTACTGGCGTGTCTAGCTCTTGATAAGCATATTTAAAGCCAACATGGCACAGGCAGTTACATTTCCACCCAACCATGACCATTTTAAGCAAATAGATCCTGCACTCTAACAAAACAGGACCATATTTTAGGAGGCAGGTTAAAGCATTTGACTCAACCCTTTTTTATATCATGTGGAAAAATGTTCAAATGAACGTCTACCTGGCAGAGGGACGAGTATGTTCTTACTTACCTATTAAAAAACTATATGGTGTACCTACGACCGCTATTCCCGGAGTCGTGAAGTCGCGTTAGCAATCTACCGCGACTCTGGTGGCATTGGCCTGCCTTGTAGATGGTTTAGGGCGGACCTCGTATCGTTGTTAGGAAGACCTATTTCGCCCTACTCAATTATGGAAACGTGGGGGTAGACGCTCACGCCTCCGATGCCATTTAAATGGGGCACAGCCTATTGCCGGCTAGTTAGGTGACAGTTGACACATCCCATCAGAAGTGTTATACGTTTATTTTTAACAGTTGTTTTAAAACTATATTATACTAACATTTTATCGTCATGGTCTCTTGAGAATGCGCAGTACAAACTTAATTTTCCGTCAGCTGCCCACTTTTCTAATTCATTCTTGCAGTGATAATCTTTGTTTTTGTATCGACAGCCAAAGAAAAGGTGTACTGCGTGTTTACTGAGTGTATTTTGTACATCGCGTTCTTGTATCAAACTTCTGAAAGGTGCTAGTCCTGTGCCCGGGCCAATTAATATATTTGGTATATTCTGTAATAAATAAAAATATCTTAATAAAGACGCCCGTTTCATTGCTACCGGCGCCGATATCCATAGACAGCATCACATACATAACGTCATTATGTGAAAGCCTGCTTCCTATTCTTGTCAAGTATTCGGCCTTTATAATTTCATACCCATATCTCAGGTTTCCAACTGAAGAACATTTTATTATAAAACAAGCTACTTGCGGCAGAAAGTAATGAGACAATACCCACAGACAACTTAGTTCTGAGTGTAGCTCGGTTTGGCAGACCGTTTCTATTACTCCTATGCATAAATTCAATGACTCAATAACGCTCGATTAAATAATAATCATCTTTATTTGTATCAAATAATAAACGATTAGGTACAATTGCTGCTTATAATAAAATTAAGGTGTATTAATCGAGACAAAATTGTTTATACCTCAAGAGAGGGCAGTGAATTTATATCCTCTGCTATTCCATAATAAGCTTATACATACCTTGTCATTGGGAAACGTAAAGGTCCCTTTCTTAATCCAAGCATAAACTTTATCTCCTACATTTAATCCGGCCAGCCAGTTGGAACACAAACCATGACGTACCTTTTTCATGTTTGTGTAATATTTAACAACAGCTATTAGTATATCTACATTACGTCCACTGCTAGGGAGGCAGCTGCTGGCAATTGAGAATGAGCGAGGTTTTATTGTGGAGAATAACTCGAATATTGTGTCTATTGTCAATCCAGAGGCTGATCTATGGAAATCGTGTAGAACCTGCCAAAAATAAAAGGACTTTAAAGCGTGTGCAAAAATTTTGAACCTAATAGGCATAAACACATAAACATTTTGATGAAATTAATATTATTTAATTTTTAAAGTGCGGAATCCTCAATTTGTGTTTCTAAAATAAATCTTTGTATATGTGTAAAGATTGTAACACATTCATAAACTGTTTAATTGGAAATCCACTATGTCTATTTATTTATTGGCATACGACTTATTTTGAATTTTATGTACCATATACATATATTGTATAACGGCAACATGACAATGTACTAGTTCGTAAATAAATTGTAGGTACATAGCCTAGCCTATGGCCGGCTTCGTGATAGTCCACACAAAAATTACATTAAAGATCCGTTTATTCTTTTATAGGACATGAAGTGGTAACAAAGACACTTCAAATCATAATATTAATATGTATTTACAAAATAACATTTATCTTAGATTATCAGTTGTTTAGTTCCTATAAGACAAGCTCAGCATTGTTTGGGACTTGATAGTGTTGTGTCATATTCTGGTTATTTATTTATACATTTATAGGGCACCTCAAGTATTGTCCTCTTCGGTCTTCTACTATAGTTAAGCCAATCTTCCTGTCCCTGGGGAGAGCCAAGATCCTTACATTTGTCCTTTTCTAATTTATCATTTGATACTAGTGCTAGAAGAGAGAAGACATACTGCGTAGGAAATGCCCGTAGATCCCAATACTGTTCAGCAATGTCGTACAATGTTAGTGGAATACGAAGGAATTCTGGAACTGGCATGTCTGCAAAAAATGTATCTACATTTAGACTTATATCACCTAAGACTAAAAATGAATATGTACTTAATTATAATTGAGTAGGGCACCTACAAATTTTCTGGTTGTGCAAATACAGTGATTGGTGTTGCCCTCATGGAAATGAAATTTATTCTTAATATAATCAGGAGAATTTGGATCGTATAGAATGGAATAGAGTACAAAGCATACGTATATTCCTACGATAGCTGATAGGTAGCCATTTAAGCTGTGAACGATAAGAAGAGATATGATCGGATTTGTAGAGATTAAAAATAAATAAATAAATTTATGTCCTGCTGTGAGCATCATCATTATTGTGTTGTGATGTGCGATTGTAATAAATATTATTCTATTCTATTTCTTTATGTATAATATATTTGTCGTGACGTAGGGAGAGAAGTCCATTTGTATTAAGGTGTTACGTTAAAAAAAGGCAAAGGAAATGTGGGTCAACTTACAGGCTAAAGAAATCTAAAATAATATATTCTAATTATAAGTTATCAACAATTCATTCTTATATTTATTTATTATTTTTATCCTTCCATTATGGTTTATAGATTACATTACATGCAGATGTTGTCTTGGGTACCAAACAGTTATAGGAATAATATTGGAATGTTAAATAAAATACATTTTAATATGTACAAATATATATTTATTCATCTTCCTGTTGCCAGCCGTCGTCGTCGCTCAAGAAGCGACGTTTCGCGGCTGTGTTCATATAAGGACGCAGCGCCCACTCCGTGTCTGCCGCGTCTAGGGCCTCCAGCGTGCCCAATTTTATCTCGTACAGCTTCATTTGGAAACGGGGACCGATCTCTGATAAGTTGATATCTTTTCCTTTCTAAAAAAAAAATAACTTTTATTCTTTTTAGTGCTCTAATAATAATAGTCATGTCAGTGACAAAGTAGAATAAAGGATAAAACAAATTACAGAAGTAATAAACATAGTAGAGCAATGCAATTGCAAATGATACTGTCTTAGCTCCTATTGTATTTGTTAGGATTGTAATTTATTACACATTTATATAATTATTGATTTATAATGACTTTCGATATTTTCATTTATATACAGACAGAGCAACTTCAATTAGTTGGCAACTTTCTACTTCCCGGCTCTTTCCTTTGGGAGTTATTCCGATCTTATAAAAAAAATATAGATACATAAATAAAAAAATATTATACTTGCCTTCCTGTATGTGTGTTGTCTGAAGCAAACATAGTCATCATGATTTGCGAATGTGATCACACGCTTTGAGTCTGGCTTAGGCACTGGGAATAGGTATTTAAGTATACTCATTGTCCTTAAACCTGAAAAATTAAAGTTTTTATAATATTAAATTTTTAAAACAGTGCCAATGATTTAAAGTCTAAACTACTGTGTCATCGTGATTTAATGGTGTAGCACCCTGACTGACAACCAATAAATTGTGAGTTCAAATCTGTAAACACGATAAATTTTCGTGTTTAGTTATTTCGTTTTTATTGTGTGTTAATCTTGGTTTAAATGTTCCATCTCTGCAGAAATAAAAAATCAAATAAACCAAAAAATAATCCAAGAGATGACGGTAGGCTTATTTCACATTGGACGTGTCAAGTATTGTTATCACCACACCATCTGGAATAACTGTTTAGCGCCTCACGTGAAAAACAAGTAAAACAACTTCTCATGCATGAGGAATTAGGAGACCGCCGCCCATCTCAATTTTTGAGACATTTACAAAGTCTCGCAGGACCCAACGTTCCAGAAGACTGCATCAAGACTATCTGGACAAGCAGACTACCACACAGCGTACAAACGGTGATAGCCGCTCAACCCACAGCGTAGCTGTATCATCCGCTTCAGTTCCATCATATTTACCTAGTTCAGATTTGAAGTTGTGGAATACTAGATGAGGGTATTGTTCGCTCATAGGTCCGATATCTGGAATATCATGCCTCATCACAACACCAGACAGGGTGAATGAAGCTGTTGGACCATGTGGTAAGTGGCATATCACCTGAAACATACCAATATATTTTCACTGGGTAATCCCACAAAGTACCATTTGGCATGGAGATTAGAGGCCTATGACAAATTATAATAAGTGTTAAATCCTGTTACAGAAGTCAAGGATAAATGATGTGAAAGAGATGTCTTGATTTTATAGCAATATATTCAGATTTAATAACTATTTACCAATGTTGAAACATATTTCTCAGTCACAAAACTTACTTAAACAACACAGTGTCTTTATATACTAAACATGAACATACCAAACTATCTGGTACTCCTCTATGTTCATGCACCACAATAAAGTCAGTGACTTCATTAGCTCTACAAGCATGTATCAATTGTGACATCTCATAACCACCTCGATTCATACGCTGACTGTTTGGGAATATTAATCTGAAATAAAGAAACATTGACAGTACTTTGCAGTTAACAAACTGAAACATTTGGAAAGTATATATTGCACTAGTGTGAATAAACATAGTGAATAGTGGAACAAATTTTATCAATCTTCAAACAAAATTCCTTACAGAGTACTTAAAGTACTAAATAATTTAGTTAAATACATTTTATATTATTATTATATTAATTTAAATGTACTTAACTAAATTATTTAGTACTTTACACACTAATTTATTACAACCACAGATTGCCAAACATATGATTTCACATCTATTAATTATCAGATTGTTATTAAGGAAAAATATAAGCTAAGGGGGAGAGGGGAACACCAAGGCACAGTTACATCAAGCAAATTAAGGACGAATTTGAACTGGTGTTGAAACAACACTTAAATGGAATGATGGAAGATTGTGTCAAGTCTCAAAAGCTTTATTGAATGCATATAAAATTAAATTAGATAAGCGTTTGCGCGCAACTTAAATATGTCAAGTCTCAAGCAGACTGTGTCAACTGTGGACCCCTTTAACTTATAAATTGATGAATAAGTGTTTATTTTATTCATTACAAGTAGCTATTCAATGTGTTTATTTTAAGGTTTACATTTTATACATAATTATTTTAAAATATAGAATAAATATATCTGCATGTACCTTAGTTCTTTTACAAACATTTTGAGCCTAGCACTAGGTTCTCTAGATGTAGTGATCATAATTTTTGGATCTTCAACTCCAGCATATCTATATTCATCATCCTGTGAGTTAAGTGTATTGGTGCCACCACTGAAGCCACCAATTACAGCAGCCCGCTCTGGCCCTATAATGAAGATTATTGCAGATAACATATAATGTACTATGGACTCTATAGTGTCCTCCTACCCTCTCATAATGTGAACATATACTATGTAAAAAATTGTTAACTAGTATCTAAAGAAGTACTCCGACCACCTATGGAAAGTGGTAACTGTGGTTTGTATACACAATTGCTATTTGGACAATACAAAATCTATTAAAAAACCTGTGACAGTTCTATATTAGTTGTGATATTACTAAATCCTTGACGATAAACTTGAAGAATGTTTATTGCTCTATTACAGTATGCAACCTTAAGACAGCTGAAATTACTGAGACCATCTTTCTCCATCTATTCAGAAAGAGAAAAATGGATAATATAAATAATAAAAGTATTTGTGTTATTAAGAGACGAATGAAAGTCATCCATAAGGATAAAGTACTAAAACAATATCAAAATTCTAGGTTATGTTGTATGTTACTAACCTTTATCTTCATATTCAATTTTTTTCTGTAAAGCAAGGGCTTCTTTTCTTAAATCACCGTGTATAGGAATGTTTTCTTCTAAACTTCTTTTCAATTGGTCCTTTTTAGCTTGAATACTTTTTTGTTTATCTTCCACTGACTTTCTGTATAAATATTCGCGACGCAAACGCGCCTGTCGTCGTAACATTATTATTTTTGTAAAATGTTTAACATTCAAGGACCTTAATATTCAAGTATTATATCGCAACATGCTTTATTGTACATATTGAAAACATAAACAAAATACATGTGGTCGAAGAAGTGTTCTTCATGTACGTTTTTTTGTTACATTTTATGGCTTTGGATAAATTGCCATAAGCTTATTATCAGTATTGCCAGTAAAAATTAGAATAAAGGACGATAGTTAATAGGAAAGCACAGGACCGCTATAAAACATGATACACATATTTTTATCAAAAAAGTGTATATAAATATTTATTGTTTTTGTCGATTCTTGATAAAAGTCATGTTGTAACTTTTCCACATACAACTTGAAAAGTCAAGGAGATATAAACTTCTGTGATCGTATACAAAGTTATGAACATAAACCATATTGAACGCTTTGTAATTAAAGATGTTTTGTATAAAATCGAAACTTGACAATTTAATCTATCTAAAATTATACAAATTGCAACATAGTTACAAAATAAATATGTACTTTACGAGAAAACCCTGGATTGTCCCATGTTTCTCTTTAGGTATTTAAACAATAAGAAATTACGATGCTTTGAACTCATTGCAATTCTAAAAGCATCAAAATACGCTGCAGTTTTGAATTGGCACAAAGCGTGATCTGTTCTGACAGTAAGAGCGCAACTCAACATTCGGGTCGATGCGCATTTCGGTACAAAGGTGTTTCGATAGCTTTTACTCGCTCAGATTTATAAGTTTTGTTTCCGCAACAACTTTGTAAAATTGCAAGGGATTCCTGCACGTATTGGTATAAAGGAGAACGAAGTTAGCGACAATGTAAAACTAGAGCTTTTTTTATTAAATGTTTTACCTACCTGGAAATTTCTCATCAGGCAAATAATTACCAATACTAGAGCTTGCCAAGTGTTGCCTAAATAATAAAAATATTCCAGCTACAACGGAAAGAAACTTTGATGAGAGTTTAAAAATGAAAGGTAACTAGAAAATGCCTAATGGCATCACAAATTGCCGGAGCCAACAGAACAGAAAAGAAATGAAAAGTATTTGGTACAAAACAATCTAGTGTAATAATAGTAATCTAATTTAATAGATTAAACTGATGTTATTATTTAGAATCTGACCCAGTCAAGAAACCGGATATTTAATGAAAAAAGAAAATTTAACTCATGGTGTTGTATGTAAAAAAATCGAAGATATCCAGTACCTATTAATGGATTGTGATAGGAATTGAGCAGAGAGAGAACTATTAATAAATAATTAATAATATTAATTTTAACACATCTTAATTAAATTGATATCTTAGTGTCCACAGATAAATCTTTACACTAACTATATTTATGGTAAAAACTAGGAACAATGTATCCTTAAGAAAAAACTGGGTTTTTATGTGACATTAATTTTATGAGTGTGTAGTTAATCCAAAAACAGATTTGATAGCCATTTGATAGATAGATACTACTAATTTCCATAAGATTTTTAAATTTACAGAATATCTGCATAAATTTTACAGATAAAGGAATATTTTTTGGCTTACCTTCGTGAAGTTCTTCTAATAACAATCTGTAATTAGGTTGTAAGTCAATTCCATGAGATTTAAAAATATTGAAAAGGTCATCTATGTCCTCCTTGCTATTCCGTGGTCTTATGCAGAAGACATCACCTGGTGCATAGTTCAATGTACTACCAACTGTATTGAAAGTCATTAATCTCACATCCTGAAAAATATTTTTTTGAATAAGGTATTTATTTTTAAAAAAAAATTCTTTCAAGTAACACAACACACAAATTGGTCTGCTATAAAGCTGATACCCCACACTACTAGGTATGTACTCACTACTCAGGGAGTAGAGAGTACAACCCATACCTCCATGCTAACATAATTTAGAAATAAATGATTCGTAAATAAATTGACTGCATATAAAGTTCAGAATACTGTTATATACATAAATAACATTCAGAGTTTGATATAAGTATCAATTAAATTACAAATGTGATGTCTGTGGTGTAATTATATAGTCAATAATTGCCACTACCATCAGGAGCAGCATCTGATTTTTACCATTCCAGTTACATACAAAAAAAAAACTATGCAAGTGACCTAAGAAGACTCATAGTAACAAAGTTTGGAGGAAATTAAAAATTCCAAATAAGTACCTACTTGAAAATGAGATTCATCAGTGGTTCTAACATTACTTTCCAATTCGAAGAGTGTACTGTCCAAAAATTTGTCCCTATTCCCTTTAGCATAGTATATGTCTTCATTCATACTATGTGTTAACAATGTGTGGTCATCCTTTATTAGACTGGCTTTCCATCTTGGTACAAACTTGATATCTAGGTTGTCTGTCTGTATGTTTGGATAGTATTCTTTGAGAATTGAGTAAAAGTTTTCCATCCAAGGTATTATTATAGCATCATGACCCAAGTCATGTTGATAATCACAAAGACCTGAAAAGGTTTATGCCATTAAATATGATTTTATTAAGTTATTTATTATAAATAATAATATATTGTTCAAATGCTTAGAATATGCTGTTGTAGAAAATTTATATATAAAATCACATTTACTCATATTTCATTTGGAATATTTATTTAAAAACTGTGGCCAGTGTTGTGCAATATTATTTAATAACTGGCCAGTATTATTCAAACTACTAGTATGAAAATTGTTGTGTTAATGAATATTGTTGCTGTTATATGAAATTTGTAATTTAATAAATTTTGGTAAATATATTTGAGTGCCTAACCTAAGTTGCACTATGATCAGATAGTTTACAATAAGATTGTTCTAAAATATTCATCATAGGTCCTTTAATGTACATGTAAACAAACCTATATCAAGTAACGGTGTTGCTCCTAATTGCATTAAACGTTTATGGAGCTTTTTACCAACAAAATTGAACTTGGAATATGAGGAATCCCCCAAGCCTAAAACTCCATATTTGAGATTTAATAAAGAATTTGATGGTAAATTTTTCCTTAATAAAAACTTCCAAAACCTTTTCATATTATCAGGCTCTTCGCCTTGACCAGTTGTGGCGCATATAAATATAGCAAATTTCTCATGTATAAGCTTTGAAATAGGGTAATCATCCATGGCTTGGACTGGACCTCGAAAACCTAATACTTTTAGTGACCTCCATATTCTTTCTGCTATTTCTTGAGCAGTGAAAGTCTGAGTTGCGTAAAGAACGAGAATTCTCCCAGTGTCACTCATGTTGATTAAATGTTTTTATTATTAATATCTATATTATGAATTGTTCAAGCAACCATCCGATCAAGAATATACTACTCAAGAGCATCCGATCAAAATAAGAAAAAAGAGTAAGAAACATCTGTCAATGAATGAACTGTCAAAACTGTCAGTATTGACAGTTCACCATAGTGAAAGAGTAAATGACACCAAAGACAATGGCTTTCCTATAAGGATAAATAAAACAAAAAAAAAAGTGAAATAGTGCTGCACAGTGTTGCTAGGTCCTATTAATTTGAGACGTCACAGATATGAGAATATCACAGTTACCAGCCTTAAAACAGTAACTACACTTCTTTCCATCTTCAATGCGGTATAGTTTTATGCATAATAGTTAGCGACACGGATCGATCAATTTAGTAGTCTTGGGTATAATAGTTCGTGACTGGATCGTTAAATTTAGTGTACATCTTTCGTGTGAACTAGTTCTTCTTTAATTTTGTTTGTTCCCAACTAGAGTCCGAAACTAGCAGTAGGGTGGTCCATCTATGCTATGCTTATCAGTATTAGTTTCCGCAAATGTTAGTTACTGTTTATTTTATCAAACGTACTAAAGCGCGAAAGATCTGTTATTAGTACCCGTAGTTCGTCTTCGAAACGTTTTTCCGAACTAGTTCTAATAACTGCCCTGCGGTTTAGTTTGCAGCTGTCTTCCGAATTAGTTTGCTCGCTCACGCCTGAGTCAAAGCCATGAGGTTCTTCATTGTCTAACTCCAAATGTGAGTGTTCTATCCAGCAAAGTGCACCTGGTTTTTTTTTTTTAGAATATTGGCGATATATATTCTAATGTTATGTTGTTTATGTTATGTTACAAAATCGAAATATCTGTAAACTAGCTCACATAGTTCGCCTTTGGGAAGATTCTTCCGAAAGTTCGGTTTGTATATACACAAACAGAACTTGCAGTTGGTAGTTTAGAATTTAGCAGTATCGATAATGCATTAATAATTTATTCGAAATATAAATTTGTCTAATGGTCTCGATTAATATAATGACTATTGACTGTTTTTTATTCTGTAATATGTATATTATATTTTGACGGATTCGGTGGTCACATCGCCTTACTTCCGAAGGTAGCGGGTTCGATTCCTCGCACGGCACAAACAGTTATATTCATGTGTATGAATGTTTATATCGGTCTGGGAGATTTCCATGCATATATTTACAAAAAAATAAACTATGCAATTGTATAATTTATCTAGTACCCATAACACCAGCTTTAGCTAGCTTAACTTGGTTATTATTATTATACATATACAATTTTTATGTTACACTAACTAATTAAGCAATGACCTTCGATTTTTATATCGTCCATTTTATTGAACATTTATTACATTTATTATGGATGAACTGATATCTGTATTTAAAATAAAAAAGGAAAAAGTAACCCTGTTTTCCCACCCCTGGCGTTCAATACATTCATATGTTTTTCTCTTTACACATAAGCAAAGGCGATCTCCCTTCTCATTCAAAATTGGCGCACGGCAGTCTCGTAGCCCGAGTTGGCGGGCTTAGTCGTTCTACCGCAAAAAGGCGGGAAAATATATATCTGTGTAGTGTTTTATAACACAAACATTTAATTAAATATTATATTAGTGATTATAGGAGGTCAATAAATAAATCACAAAATGTAAGTATAATTAATTTGTATATTATTACACGTTTTGTTCTTTATTCTCATGCTTAATGAGAATAATTATATATTTTTGGCGAAATTCGTGCGTATGTATTCTCTAATAAAATGATATATTTAATAAAATATTTTGTATTATAATAAATTCTAACATAATACTGATTTTATTACTATTATTTTTTTTGTGCGAGCGACTACTCTGATTTTTAATAAAAGTAAATATTACAAAGTACCTACCTAATTTAATTTATGTTGGCCTATAATAAAATTAAGTTTTTAATATATTATTTCCATATTTCATTTATTGCCGGAAACTGGTTTTTACATTGCTCAAGCTCTTATAAAATGTTTTAAATGAGATTATTAGAACATGACATTGACATTTTGTCATGCTAAGCAGACTTCCTGTTTTATGATATTATTTTGAAATTTAGTAAATCAATTAACTAATTTAAACAGAAATAAAAAATAATGCTAGTATAGAATACCTACATAAATTTATTTATTCACATCTCGGATTTTCATCTCACAATCACACCTATACTATATATTCTTTACCTACATCGCGAAGTACAGTGTTATTAGGCAATTTTTTTACCCTAGATTGCTTATAAAGGTGTGTACATACGACACTATTTGGTTCTAATACACGTAGTATTCATCCATATTTTTATATTTTACACAGATTGTATACATATAATATATGACTATAAAATGTATGTACAAATCTTCTGAAAAATTAAAATGTATATACCTAAGTGTAAACGATATTATAATAAACTTTAGAAATTCCGCTGCGTGGTTGAAGTAAACGCAGAAACAACGCGAACTGCGTCCATGCTACGAGTATTAACATCTTTTTAAATACTAGAAATTAAAATATCGTGCCGTATCGAGTCATAACGAACTGTGAATCTGTGACCGACCAATCCGCCACGCACCGTTCCGAAACATTAAGTTTTCTGAATATTTATCTATCAATCATCGATGAACCACAAAACAATCAGGTTTCTATCAGACGAAGTGTCTTAGTACGAAGTTTGATTGTGAATTTGTAAATATAATGAAATATATCGCATTTTAAAAATTATCATACTGACGCAAACCTTCACCTTTGAAAAGTAAGGAACTGCAGAGAATACTTGAACTCTAGAGATGACGACTCCATCGTGTGGTAGATTCTGTGGGCACGATATATATTGTGTGGATGGTTAAGGCTCAAGATTAATAATACCATAGCAGATATGCGCTGTTTTTCATATATCGTTACAATAACAAAATTAACTACATACAACTGCAACGAAATAAAACTGTTATTTAAGTATAGAAATATGGAAGAAAAGCATCGTTCAATGTTCTTTTTATTCCTTCTTCTTTGAATATCTATATTATTTAACAACTTTAATATGTACAATGTAATATTGTTTATATTTGTTTTTATAGTATACTGGTACACTGACTTATCGCTAGACTCTCTTTTAACTAACTTTCGTAAATTCAATAAATTTTTAATCCAATTCAAAGATAGATTAGGTACCTATACGTAGGTAATCCTAATTTCTTAATTCTAAACAACACGTAGGGACTGCTGCTGCTGCACTATTAGAGACTGTAGAGGAAGAAGGCAAAATCATGTTAGACATTGGTGAATTTTTTAAATAGGCTATAATCACAACAGTATGGGCAGAAGTAGAATACTTACTAGACAGCGACCTTCATAAATTCAAGAGCGGTGGTCTACAAATACTGCTTTACATGAATCATAATATTGTTTGATATTAATGGACTAGTATACAACAGTAACAAACAAATTCGATTATTACCCATGGTTCTATTTAAGTTACTACGTGGAAGCACGATTTCGCTATATTTCAGTTTAGAAAGACAATACCATTCTCAATATTTTTTCAGGAGCCATATGTGAAGGCATATGTAAAACACAGGCGTTTGTTTAGCAGTGAAACAAATGAATGAAGCAAATAGTTACACACTTAATATAATGAGTTTTACACTTTACCTAAATGTCTATGCAATAATACAGTCGGTTGACGAAAATGTTTAAATTGCTCTCCAGACTGCGATATGAGAAATCAGGAAACGTTTGACGATTGCATTAGCGCAGATACAAATGAGGTCCGAAGTTTACTTTGAAATAAGTGTATGTAGATAAAATATCACAATAACTATTTCAATATGTTAGTAGATGCCGTTTCCTAATGATTTATGCTACTAATAGGTATACTATATAAAAATTGAAAGAATAAAGTCCTTCCAGGATTAATATCTTCGGTGACATTTATTTCTGAATCCACGTTGTATTGCAACTAAATTAATACAAGAGATCCTATTTTAACTAAAATATTCCTACTGAAATGAGAATTCCAGTTCTTTGCATGTGTACCTATCTGACAGCCTCATATGAAATTATTACAAAAATGAGTATTTTATTATAAATGCTCATTATACATTAATTTACATCTAAAAATATTGATCTTTAATTTATTAACTGTAAATCAGCACAGTAACTTTCCAAATAAAAAAATATATATTGACCTTATGTTTATCTTCCAAAATTTTTCAAAATAGTCCAGTTTGCGATCCACGACGGATGTTGCGTCAGACGACCACGTGGTTGCATCGATCGCCCCGTAGGTGCCACGTGGCAACGCCCGCTTGGCTTGTCTCGTCCGTGGTCTGAAATAGGGGTGTTTATCCGGGCATTGGTCCTTTCAGCCGGTTGCGTTCGGTCAATAGATTCGGTCAAAGACATCGTTGAATGAATATACTTATCTATAATATTTTAAATATGAAAAGTAATTATATTTTAATTGCATTCAATGCCTATTACATAGACACTAACCTTGGTTATTTAGTAGTTGCTAATTACTTTCAGTTTTAACTAAAACGTTATAATTATAAATACTTACATTTACTGACATGAAAAGAATAAATGGAAAAATAAATAGAGTTCATTTAATGGTTGTAAGTGATAACGAATGATGCTTTTAATTTTTATAGATCTTTTACATTAGTTCTGTCCTTCATGATATTGTAGATAAAGGTCTGTTTATAACTATAAATTGTTTGGATGTCGTCGTACTATTGTTTTGTTTGGATATATCTAGTAACGGAGATCGAAAAAAAGACCAGTACAGGGTACCATTTCACTATTCTTTTTACAATGTATGTAAGACAAAACACTGATTAAGTATAAGGAACAGTCACAAAAAGAAAATAGGTACATATACATAAAAATAACTTAGAACTATACGGTTTAACTGTATCTACCTATTTATACTATATTTTTAAGATCTATTCTATGTTAATATTGGAATATATATATTTTTGGTATTGTAAAATATAATCTGCATCTAATGCAGTTTTTAACTATTCTCTAAATTCTTTGTCACTAAATATTTCATCTTATATTTTTCGAATGAAGATATCTATGTAGGTATCATATAGGCACAACTTTAATTTCTAATTTAGGGCCCAAAATGAACACGTATTTATATTTTTGTTATATTTTCTACCAGCTATGTCAGACTCTCTACGCTTTAACATACAAATAAGCTATTATACGGCAGAAAATAAGCAGGGTATATGTAGAATATGGGTAAGCGCGCTACATCCTAGGTCTTGCCATCATTTACCATCAGATGAAGTAAGATAAAGCCCAATCCACTAAGCAGAGACGCCGGTATTAACCTTGGAGATGATGAATATATGTATGTATATTCCAGCCTTCAATTGTTCCAGCTTCAAATACTAAAAATATAAGTTATTACTGATTTAACTACACTTTAATTAAAGTGGTGATAATGGAATAAGTGAAAACAGGCGATAATTATCTTATTTAGAAATAAAAGAGATGGCAGGACCAACTAACAATGATGTGGTTAACATAGTACCACTAATCTCTACAAGGTCAACTAATGCAATCTATAAACAGCAACTACTCCTACTGCTGCATACAGAACAAAACTGTAATAAGTAGTCCGTACCCTATTAATTAATCAACAATAAAAGAAAATACCGAAAACACATGTTATGACGTCACGTTTCAGTTTGACGTTAATAATTAATAAATATATTAGCACATTTAAGCGTCAGTTATTTAAATAAAGATTTATCGGAATCCAACCCATTGTGGCCATATTAACAGTTTTACCGGAATTTTTATAAATCCTACTAATATTATAAACGCAAAAGCTTGTGAGTATGGATGGATGTTTGTTACGCTTTCACATAAAATTACGAAACGGATTTTGATGAAATTTTAAAGTAATATAGCTTATAGATCGGAATAACGCATAGGCTACAATTTATAAATATATTATGTAAATTGGGCGAAATATAAATGATAAATATCAAGTAAGTTTGAAACAGATGAAGTTGCGCGGCTAAGCCAATATTAGGCCTATAATTTACAAAATCGCTTCAACTACTTATTTTAACGAGTATAATTCAAAATGGATCATATTTTAAGAAAAGCAAAATAATTGCGTCAAAAACAATGAATAAAGTAATTAATAACGAGCAAAAAGTAAAGTAAGAAATCTGATGCCGGCAGCCGATATTCATCACTCACTACACTTTGTTTGCACACTTAAGCTTAACCGTGCTAAAACCAACAAAAACAACTCGCCACACAGTCAGCCTTCGTTACTATGAGTATATGGGCTGTATAAGGACACTTAGTTCATGGTCAACTCATTATGGGACGGATCGGGGTGGCAAATTATTAGACATGACATGTTCCGTTCGCATAATAATCTTATTTGCAGGAATAATTCAGGGTTTGTTAGTTCATGTCTATCAAACAAAGCATCGCAATATTGAAATAGATTTTAGGGACAACCTTTCTTAGTAATATTGTAAATCTGAAAATCCATTTATAGTAATAATGATGTCTCAGGACAAAGCACAAAACGCCATCTAGCCTCAAGCTGAACAGAGCTTGTTTTATGGGTACTAGACAATGGATATAAATACTTAGACAAAAACTTTTGTAAATGAATACATAATAAATATACAAAAAACCCAGACCGACAGAAACGACTATAGTCATGACTAAACATATTAGTAGCGTGCCAGGAATCGAACAAGCGATCACGGTGAGGCGGTGTGCTTAACTGCTAGGCCACCGAAGCAGTCAAATTCTTTTGTTTCTTGTTTGCTACCTATATTGACTGATTAGAAACTTTGAAAAAAAACATTATAAATTTCGTCCTGCACAACAAGAGCAGATCGATACCGACGATACTTATAAGGTAGTTATAATATGATATATTTAGATCCGCGCTATACACAACATAGCTGAAGGTTCTACCTCATCAAAACTGATCATACCTATCATTTTATATTTTCAATTACAAACAGAATTTATTATATAGTACAATATTTCTAAATTTGGTTTGTAACTGTAATACTAATTAGCCAACAGGTGATTTGATGCTATTCCAGTTATTTGAAAGTAGAAGATCACCTATGTAGTATAACGAAGTCACATCACTCACATCCAAAGATTATCAGTTGGGTCTCGTCATTTATTTACTCTAGTGACCTTATGATATCATTCCCGTTTACGTCGTTTTGTTTTGTTATTGACTTACATAATATCAATTTGTTGATAAAACGTAAAATTTAATAATAGATTTGAACAATGAATGGAAGACCTGCTAATTTTAAATAATTTCACGGAATTTATAAATGTAAGTTATACAAGTTAATAAGGCATGAGATATATAACGGGTATCACATGTTAACGTGATGTCCGTAGTGCTGTTCATTTTAACATCATATAGGCTGTCAGCTTGTATGCCATTCCAATTAGGTACTTGAAGTGTATACATATTTAAAGCTTCTGCATTAATAGTCACATGTATATAAGTCAGTATATTCAATGTTGATTATTTCATGTCAATGCATTTCTAAGGTCCGCATATATACGAGTAGGTACATAAACACTTTTGGCAACACACAAAAAAATTCTACCAAATGCTATAGCATAATCCAAACAATGGTGGTCCAAATACACGTCCTTGAGACACCCCTTGCCAAGACCGGTTACCGATTTCTATACACCCTTGCATTTAGTTTGAATAGGCCTGACATTGCTTTTACTTGTACTATATACCGGAGTCAGAAAATAGCAGCGTTCAGTGAGCATATAAGATTTTAAAATAAAAATAATAAACGAACAGATGCCTATTAGGAAAGTTGTCACCGACTTGCTCATAAAAAAATTATAAACAAGGCGGTGGTTCTATGCCTTGTCCTAAACAAACAAATAAATGTCCTGTAATCCTAAAGAGAGTAGTCAGAGCATTATCAACTATAGACGTAGATATATGTATATATTGTGCATGGTAGTCCTTATTATACATATTAGCTATGCAATAAAGGCTGTAGAACGAATTCCAGCGAATCGTAAAGAATTCATTTGACCCTGTTTCTTATTATTACAAATTCCGTTCGGTTACATAAAAAAAGTATTCATATATTATTCATGGCTTAAAAGATTAGAAAAAAATATATTGAGATTAGTAGATCTACTAAAAAGAAGTATGTAATTTTATAGAAATCTATTGATTTTCTTAGGTATATATATTTTACTCTATTTTGAGTTATGTGTTCTTATGTATCTTTTCCGGTATATCTTATCACAGGAAATCTGTTCTTTAATTTTATTGTATTATTATAATATTAGTAAACAATAATTATAACATACATAGTTATAATATGATAATAGTTATTAGTATGTCGTCACATTAATAAATATTATCAACAAACACATTACCTAAAATTAGAATTTAAAATACTCGTATATTTTTCGTAGTTGCTTAAGAGTTCAATAGGTCTAATATGAATAAATATTATTTGACTTTATTTCAATATAATATGTATAATACCAGAATAATTGAATAGAATTGAATGACTTTACTTTTATACGTTTATAAAATTTTGTATATTTTGTGCCTTTGAGATTTATATTTGTGAACACAAGATTTCTCGTAGACGTCTACGTAGCACTTTCTACGAGATTGTTTCACATTGACATTTGAAATATGTAGAATGTAAATAAATCTTATGTTTGACTACCTGTAAGCGCGACTTCGGCCGCGTGGAATTTAACTTTATTTTTCTAAAATAAAAGTGATAAGATGTTATAAGGAGTAACTTAGCCGAAGTTAATCATTATTACATCAGCTACCTGCCAATAAAAATCCCGTCAAAATTGGTCCAGCCATTTCAGAGATTAGCCGGAACAAACATACAGACAGACAAAAATTGTAAAAAATGTTATTTTGGTGTACGTACCATATTTATATTCATATGCGTATAGTAAAAAACGGTTATTTCAATATTAAATAAATATATAAACAGACACTCAATTTTTATTTATATGTATAGATTCATTACCTTACAATTCAAGCATTGTAACGATTTTAAATGTTACTTTGATCTGTTTAAACTGTCATTCTGAGCTCAGTATGAAGTCGACTTCTATAATTTGTTCTACCAACTATACTTGCTTACGTTTACGTAACGTACGTTATATTTAAGCTATTGTTGTCTAATTAATTTAAGGTTTTTACTAATTAAATCTAATCTTGATTTATTTAATTACCTTACCTTGCCTAAAATTAAGCATGTTGCGTGATATCAGTAATATAACTTAGCTATTACAACAGATATTGATCATGCAACATATCTTGTTAAATTTTATGTCTTGTAAATTGCCTACTTTTTCAAAATTTATAAATACACTTTTATATGAACTGATAATAGTACAGAAAATTAGTTGCTCTTCAGTTGTTATTAAAATCTATTACTAAATACGCTGTTTAAGATCAATGAGGTATGAAAGCCCTTTATGGCGGAGATGTTCTTAACGTTCGATTTACACTTAATGTATATACACTTAAATTACAGTAATTGCGAATATATACATAGAATGCGGAATTATTTTTTAGATTTTTCAGAATATTCTCGGTTTTTTAAGCGAGTAATAACTATGTATATAATAATCTAGTGTAGGTACCAACAGCTATTTTTTAGTATTACGGTTATATGAATACCATTAATAAATATATAGATAGAGACCCCAGTGCATTCGCCTCCATTCTAACAAATGCCGAAAACTTAAAATAAGAAGATATAAATGTTGATGAAGTAGTGTTTTTACATCTTTAACTATTAACGTTTTATTATATATGTATGTGACTTTTAATGTTCATTACTCAATTATGCTTGGAAAGTTGCACTAAATTCCATATTTTAGTTTTTGCCACACATAGCATCTTAATAATAAATTTATAGAGATGAATAAGATGCTCCAAATACTACTGAACCGGGTCCCAGGTAGGTTCGAGAAATCACTGAATTTATTACATGACTATATTAAAAAATTCTAATTTATTCTGATAATTTTTCTAGATGGTAAAAAACATTATCCTCACTTGCAAAACCACGGAATACAGCAATTTATATTTTTATTAGATTATTTTCATTATAAATTTGAAACTGTATTTATTACTAACATATGCGTCATAACGCACTTAGTAACATATTATCAAACATTATCCAATCAATTCCAGACGCACTGCGTCCTGGAGCATCGAACTTGTTTTTGTTTCATTTTTACTGATGGTAGAGTTTTGTGTAATTCGCCTTTATAGGAACTATACCTACTGTACCGTACCTATGGATACATAACAAGTATATACAGGTACAAATTAAGTCTGAACGGATCGACGACCACTCTCCCATGGGCTCACTACGAGTATATCTATGGTAAAGCAGCAGTGAGCGCTTTGCTCCTATAAGATAATCACTTAGTGGCAGCTCATACATACAGAGGCGTGCTGTTAGAAAAAACTATATAAACTTATCCTAAGTTTCCATGGTCTATTATTATTTATATAGGCAACATTTATCATTTATAGGTAACAATTATTATTTGTAGGTATTGTTATAAAGGACACCGTCAAATCTCATCGAATAAAAATTTAAAAATACACTTATTCTTTGTGGTATTTTTTTATCTTTACATATGAAGTGGTATTCTCAATGGTTGACCTCGGGAAGTAACGTAAATATTACTCTTCAACAGGTCCCCAAAAAGAAAAAGTAAAGAAGAAGACTGCGAAAGCGAAGCCCTTAAATCAGACCTTGAAGAGTCGGAGGGTAAAGATGGCGGTGCACTGGAAGCTAAGATGTCGCTCCTCAACGGGATCACGGTCATCGTGGGGTCGATCATCGGTAGTGGCATATTTGTATCACCGACTGGTGTACTCAAGTATACAGGGTCTGTGAACGCTAGTTTGTTGGTGTGGATCGCTTCTGGGGTATTCAGTATGGTGAGTTATTACTCTTTTGATCAAAATAAAAAAAATATTTTATTAAACACAAATGCCAATATTTTACAATTCATAGTAAGATTTTATATTCTAAAGTATTTCTTATTGTCTGTATGTCACCTTTTCACGTCTGAACGGCTGGATGGATCCATATAGATATTGAAAATATACATGAAAATAGATTGTATCACGAGGAGGGATACAGGACTGTTTTTCATCTATTAGAGACCTTGGGCACGTTAGGATAATGGGGCACCTATGACATTTGTAATAAAGTATTATTTTGTTAGAATAGACAAAGTCATTTTTGAACATGACTCTTTAGAGATGTATATGGCGATGACCTACCTTCAAAACAATCCAGGCAAAAATAATTTTAAAACGTCGTTATGTGATGAGGGGTTCTAGTTCTTGCTAGACATTTATAAAAAAATACAAAAACGAATAAATTGACTATGGCCGGTAAGAACAGTCTTAACAAATTAAGACTGGTTTTCAGGCGAGAGTAGAGTAGTTATCAGTTATCGTTTGGTAATAGAGTAGGGCCTAGACTATACTAGGGGGCCCAGTGGGAATGAGGGGCCTGGATGGATATGGACTATCTTATATGTGTCTCAAAAAGTAGACGAAGTTGCGGGTACAGCTAGTACCCACATAATTGAATCCAGTATAAATAATAATCGTATGTAATAATTGCAATAGTTAAAATAAATCAATAATATCATAAATACAGCGAGATAACCTAGCCAGCATCCTTGGAATTGGATTCCTTCTATATTTATAGATACCTACTACCATCAGAAGTAGACACATTATTAGACACACTGTCTATAAAAATATACAAACACACTTTTAAATTTATAATATTGAAATGGATTTTTAATTGTAATATTATCTCTTTTTTTTAATGAATTAAAGGCAGAGTATAATAAACATCCAACGTTTATTATCTTAAAAGTCTTTTAAATTGATCATGTTTAAGATTTTCCCAGAGGGTGTGCTTACTTTTAATACCAAAATAATGAACTCTCCTTGGTAATGTTTCTTCTCATAAATATATATTAATATCTAATAATTCTACTTTATTTTCCGAGCTTCACAGAACCATTAAATCTAATGTTCCTGTGGGTATTTTTAAAAACAAATTTGTTGCGATTCTTGAATGCTTCTTTATTTCCTTGTTATAATTATTTATTTTAGTTTTGAGCTTCTAATATAAATTAGACTCATTCTTTTTTGTTAATTTATTTGACATATTTGTACTGTGTTATATTTTTATTAATATTATAAATATGCAAGTAAATTTATTACTTTTGGGTTTTAACGGCTCGAGCATTCGCCATAACATTTATTATATTTAAGATGACATTAGGCTACCTTTTATTCCAGTCAATCTTTTATTCAGTCTTTTATCAAACCAGTACATATTTCATTAATAAAAAGGGCATTTAGTTAATATTGATGAGAAAATGTTTAAAAGATATATACATTAAAGCACCACGCCGGACAATCGTGACACATGGCTGTTGATAAGCGAACATTGATAGCATTAGCTAAACGTACAGATTAAACAAACAAATTACTATTAATAACATCTATACTATTACTAAATTGACATAATATTTGTATAAGATATTCTTTTGAATACGTAACCCTGCATCTAAACTTAAATTAGAAATATTTGGAAAGATGTTTGAGTGGTATAATCACAAAACTTCTTATTGAGGATGTAGATTATCGTTTTGTAGAAAATTTGGTATAAGATTCTATAATATATTCGCAGATTTTATAAAAGAAGGCTGTTCGATAAATATATCTATATTAATGAAATTGATGAAAAATAGATGAAAGTAGTTTCATCTATTTTTATGTATGTAGATAACAGGTTGCTCAAAAATACCTGTGCTAGATCGAAATTACCTATTAACATAATGTACGTAGTTACTCTATATAATAAGTACCTTTTTTGTTATATAGGTATTTTTACTATGCAATTGCTTTCATTAATTACCATCTTGCAAAATAAAACGAAAGCACGTAACGTTACTTATTATAATATTTATTTATATATAATAATAATATCAATAAATTAAAAAAAAGAAAGATTTATTATTTCTATTGATGACATGTTTTTGGAATCTTAGTTATTAAACAGCTCACTCCCGTATTAGTTTCATAGTAATTTTATTTCTATTACAGTTATTTTCTTTATGTGAAATAAAATGTATTGTTAAATTATATTATAACAAGTATGTTTTTTGCAGATAGGTGCATATTGCTACGCAGAACTGGGCACAATGATCCGACGCAGCGGTGCTGATTACGCGTACATAATGGAGACGTTCGGGCCGTTTGCTGCATTTATACGACTTTGGATTGAGTGCATGATAGTCAGGCCTTGTTCGCAGGTAAATGAAACAAAATTTTTAACAGATGCTAATTCAATTAAGTTATTTTAATGTTGTAGATATAATAACATACAACATTAAAATAATAGTTAAACGTTTTCGAGGTTTACATAAGAGAATGTCGTACATAAATGTTGCAAAAACGACTCTTTTATGTAGTTTGGGAGGATGAATGGATATTGTTTGTTACTGTTTCATGGACAAGTAATGTATGGATTCCAAATAAATTTGGTGGTTACATAGAAAACGTCTTAGATTATCAGTTGAATATTTTTTACCTGTATTCACGCGGGCAGAGCCGTCGCTTGCATTTAGTTTTTTATTGCATTACAACTGACCATAATATCGAGGGTGGCGCCAATTCGTCGCCTTCATTATACATGAAGGCCTCCGATTTGTACGTGGCTTAGTGTTTATCCGATAAATTTAAGCAATGCCGTCAATTTAGCAGACTTTATGTTTGGTAATTCTAAAGGTTTTGATCTGTTAATAGATAATACTTAGTTTACAATGTCCAATATTATGTTAACAACAACAGTCGAGTTCTTTTCTAGTTTTGATTTAATTAAACTATTTGATGAACTGCAGATTGAGATAAGCCTTAAGCTAAGCAGATATCGCATGATATAAATATCAGTTTCAAAATTGGTTGCCACTAGTTTAAAGCAACTAAAACTAAATAACCAACTGAAGGGTTATTTCATACTTAGATATAGTTGTGTAGTCTAAACAACACTATTTTAATCAGAGTTCTATGTTACTTCTGATAGTTGAGTCCTATGTAGATCTCCATAGATAAAGCATTTCGACTTATGTAATTTATCTTTACATGATATGCATTCTTTTTGTTTTTATACTGATTGACTTTCAGTATAAAGTCAGAAATACAAATATAAAAATACGGACGTAAAATAAATAATTTGTTTCATAGCGATATTGATTAAGTAATTACGTAAATCCTCTGAAAGCCTTTGAGCGAGTGTACTGTCTGAAATTGAAGGCATACAACCTACGTTATTTGATGTTACGAGGTCAAAACCTACGCAAATGTAAATCTTGCTAGCGTGGGTTAACGGATTTCAACGCGAGTATTGAGAAAATGTTGCTACTGAAATAAAAAGCATTTATTTTCATTGTAAATGAAATTATTATTGGCGCCCAACGTGGGATTTGTTGACAAGTATGTTTACGAACATATAAAAACTGTACCTACCTTGTCGGCCAGTAGTATTTATTTAAGTTAGTGAAGGATTATATATAGCCTTGTTTTAAATTACTTGATATTATTGACAATTTCCAATTAAGCCAGATTTATTGTATTAAAAAATACTAGCTTTTCGTACTACTGGCCCCGGCTACAGACGGATGCAATAACTTCATGTTGTAGAGATTTCAATAAAAGAAAGTCGATGGAAATATGCTACTCGGTAATATTGAAGTTTTCTATAGGTATCCTTCTCGTATAAAATTGTTTTAATAATTTTTAAGTTCATTCATAACCAAACAAAAAGAAATCCTATTTCTAATATCGGTATATATATAAATATACCTACTATAAATACTGAGGTAAAGGTAGGAATTAGTATATTGTTTCCATTTCCAAGAGACAGAAAATATTATATTCTATGAATGAATGATATTAATTTTCATTCAACAGGCAATTGTGGCGTTGACGTTCAGTGTCTACGTACTAAAGCCACTGTTTCCAGAATGCGATCCGCCTGAAGACGCCACCAGGTTACTGGCTGCTTGCTGTATATGTAAGTTTTATGGTTACTCTTTTTTTTTATAATGTTGTTAGTCATAAAAAGGCATTTAGTTTAATTTTAAAAGACGTTCAGAGTTATTTTACTAGTATAAATGGTATGATATAGTATAGAGTATATTGGAAATAATATAAAGGGGAATATTAAAGAATAAATTGGATTTTGATGGAGGGGAAGGTGGATAGGAGGAAGGCTATATAACGAGCCCTCTTATCATTTGGTACAATAAGGAATGGAATCTATAAAATCGTGTGTCCTATTCATCGCAAATAAGTGCCTATTGAAAACATTGTAGTGTATAGTGCACCAAACATATATGTAGCGCATAATCTAGTAATAATTAGTATATATCCGAACTCAGGAGTAGTCATATAATAAAGAAAAAATAAGTCGGATTTCAACAGGAAATATAAACAGAACACCATGATGGAATCAGACAATATTTAGAGCAAGAGAATTTTAGAGATGGACGCGGTTCACTTTATTCTAGAAAGAAAATGTGATCAATGTTTTTATAGATTAAGTTAGAGAAAAATTGTATGTGTTTATAGTAAGGGCACTTAAGTTGATTACAAATGCATTTTTAACATTATGACGGAATCACTGTAATTACCCTATAGGTATTAATTATTTTAAATACATTGAAACCCCTTTTAACCTTGAGAATATATTTCACTATTCAATATTGAATTAGGTTTTCATGTTATATTCCGATAGTGTTCTTTTAGTGATGTTAAAATGTCTATTTAGCTTTAAACTGTCTTTTTAATACAAATTTTATAGATAGTGGTCTAACGAAATAGTAGATTGTATGTAATAGTAGTGGATGTTAACATTTATAATATTTTAAAATTTTTATGTACGAGTATACTTTTGATTAATTTGAAACAATTTTATTTCGAATATTTTTATAAGTAATTAGAAAAATGTTTTGTCTATGATATGAAAAATATATAATTACCGACGTGGTAGGTAGTAAATATTTCAAAATAAGTTGAAACAATAATATGATTAGTGACCGAAACCAATTCGCAGAAATAGCAACTTGAACTTATCTTAACATGTGAAATGGGTTGTCGAGTTAGATTTTATTAAACTTCTAATCCTATATGCACGTTATATACTGTCGATAAAGTCGATATTACAATATAAATGCAATTTATAAATTGAGTCGGGGTGTCAATTTCTGCGCATTATATGTATAGTAATGTTTACAAATTCCATTCCATATATCTACTGATGGACTCGATAAGATTTAATTTGATGAATTCCAGGTTAAATTTAATAATATTTCTTTACAAATGAAATGTTAAGATCGTGATGTTTTATATTTATTTTATACGAGATTTTAGACTAATTTATACGAGATGAATATTGATGATATATAATATTATCTATGTGAAAAGCACAGTGAACAGTTAAAAGGAAGACAAACTTAAATCAGTCCAATTTTTCGATTTATAATATTAATACTAGTAGTTCAACTTTGGTCATTCAAGAATAGTGATACCTATTGATAAACCAATAAAGTTTTGATGTGTATAATACATAAGTAGGGGCTATTCATCTTACATTCATTAGTTTGATGTATAGGAAGTATTATGTAGTATGTAGAAGTATTATAGAATAACATGAGGTAAAACTAAATTAAGAATGTAAGATACAACATAGCTAAATATATGTATAATTGTTTTATCATTATTTAACTTTTTTTAGTTTATTACTACTTTTAATATGTTATAGACTGCATTTATTACCTACTATAGATTATGCGTTATAGATATATGTACTTATATGGTTGGTACACTGTACACTACAACATAAATACGAGTAGATAACGTTCTCAAATTGAGATGTATCTTCGTGTAATTCAAAAGTTTCTAATAGGTTGATTAATTCTATAGGTAGATTCATTTTATAAACATTTTTTTGTACTTTGCATTGATTTGATTCTTCCTCATCACATGGAGTCAATCGGCCATTGCGATATTGACTTTAGATACTAGTTATTCTTTATTGATATCGTTCGAAACAATTAATAATAGACAACGCAGACATTCCTAGATACACATTAATATTTTATTCGTATTGATCATGTGCTAAATATAATAGCCAAGCCAGTTAGGTAGGGTGCATCTGATTTCGAATAGGTAGATTTACAGGACAGTTTTGGATAACATAATAAGGATTTTACTAAGACTTTAAGCTGCGAAACACATATCACTAATATCCTAGGAATTTCATACCATCTATGAAATTCCGACCAATTACTTTGTCTAAATTTGTAATCAATAATTTCGTCTGTTCCAGTGTTGCTGACGTTTGTGAACTGTTGGTCAGTGCGCGCAGCTACCAGGGTCCAAGACTGGTTCACCTACGCCAAACTCCTAGCCCTGTTCATTATAATCGCCACTGGAATTTACCAACTTTGTAAAGGTATGTTAATTCTATAAGATAGCAGAGACAACCTAATAGCTCTACGGAGGTCATGTCGTCATGTGCTTTCCGAGGAATCCCTATACTTATGCGTTACCATTTCGAAGGACTAAAATGCCTCTGTATATCCGTAATATCATTGTTTTATCTCACACTGTAATCGAAACACGTCTTACGAAGCAAGCTGTTTGATGACTAATGTATTTGAGACAGATGACGAAGACGACTTTGTACAAAGTATATCTCGGGTACTTCCAAGGACCGAGCATACTGATTCCTTTTTATATTAAATGAGTAGTGTAGTCACAGTTTTATATAAAACTCAATAGCCAGGACAATATTACTCCTATTAGGTATTAATTAAATAAATAACCCTAGAGAATTAACACAGGGTTATCTAGTCCCACGATAAGCAGAGCTTGTGTTATGAGTACTAGACAACTGATATAAATGCTTATATTTTTTTTGTACCTACATACATCATATAGACTGAAAATACCTAGACCGATGTAAACAATCACAAACATGAATACAAATGTTTGCACCATAAGAGATTGAATCGAACCGGCGGCCATCCGAAGTAAAGCAGCGTGCTAAACCGCTAAACCACCGAGGCTGTCTTATTAACTACTAATACGAGTATTTCTTTGTATGTCCGTTCTCTTTTAATGATCGTGCATTCTGTGCTACAACGTGCATACAACGGCTATAAATACGAAAATAAAGACACGAACTAATAATAAATTGTCATATCTATATACATAAAAGATAATATGTGGCTTATATTGGTAGAAAAAATAAAGAAAACATTGTATAAACAAACGGTCGTTGAGACAAGAATCGCTGGTTTTCGTAAATTGATCTTGAAGTTCGTTTTGAGAATTCGAATCAACTACAGATGTAGCAGCTACTAGTTCCAAGTATTTGACCTATTATCGTTAAACTATTAGTCAGATGGTGTCACTATTAAAATCCATGATTCTCCATCGTGATGCAGTGATTTCTGATATATCTGTTGATCGTATCAATCTGAATTACTTTGTATTAATATTAATTTCATAGCACACCATTGCGATATAAACACATTTTAAAATTATTAATAAACCTTGAACATTTTATATCGACCTTCGTAAATTTAATTTGAACAAGTGCACTATTATAGGCTGTTATGTATGTTTCATAAACCAATAAAGAAAATGTTATATTTCATTACATAAAAATGTATACTAATGAAATTTATTCATAATAACCCAGGAGAATTAACAACAGCGCCATCTAGACCCAAGCTAAGCAGTGCTTATGTCATGGACACAAGATATCTGATGCAAATAATTAACTATATATATTTTTTTGTAAATGCATACATCAGAAATCAGTTGGTCTGAGAATCGGCTTCTATCTATTTTTCATTGGTGCTATTTTTTTATATTTTTTAATAGCGATTTTAATTTATATGGCAAAATAACGTTTGCTGGGTCAGCTAGTATTATATAGAAAAAGATAAGAGTTCTGTATAGACCCCTGAAAAGGTCGTCTAACCAATTCTTATCGTAAAACATCTGTATCTGACTGAAAAGGAACCTTAATCACCATACGCAGGCGATATAGCCAGTACATGCTACTATATCCATAAAGCTGATTGAGTATGTATAAATATAATAAGTTGTCTACTAGGTGATTATACGAATATATTAGGATGCTCAATGGAAATAGTCGTTACCTCTGATTATGATTGTGGTTTTGTGAATATTTCATAACTGAAATATCAAATCAACTTGATCGTCATCAAATACTTAAAAACAGTATCACATACACACATCATCATTTGGCGCCTAATATACCTACATCTCACTCTCCACCCGAAACATACAAATCGAACTGCTTGGCGGCTGAAATAGGTGGAACAGATATTTGTACAAATTCTATTTATAGCTTGTATTTACATATATATTGTACGGAATGAACTCGCGCTCGACAGACAATGAATAGCATAATATCGCCTACGAAGTCTGTCACTAGCAATAAAGAAAACGACCGTAAAGAGATAAGTCAATTTGTGCTGCAAATTGGATCTTCTGTCCGGGTGTCAATATCATTCGGTAGAAGCAATTGTTTGGAATAATCGAGAAATTTAGAATGCAAAGTAAAACTACTAATAAATACGTAGATAGTACAGGAGCTTTGAATAATGAATTACAACATATCTGTTGCAGATAATTAATTTGTATAATATTAATGATATAACAAATACTTAATTAGTTAAAAAAGTTAGTTAAGAATCTATATAATAAAAATATTAAATACTTCTGAAAATATGTGAAGTATCTTTCAATAATTTAATTGTTTAGCACATTGCCTTGCACTACATTACATTGAGTATGTTTGTTTGTATCGATTGGGTGTTTCTTATGTATGTTATGTATATATGCCAATATGTCAATATGCTTAAGTATTTTATATCAGTTCTTTAGTACTGAGAACACAAACTCTGCATAACTTGAGATCCGATGGCATCGCGGAAATTGTTCTATTTCTCAATTTGACATATGCGTGTGTTTCAAATACAATTTTTTTATTGATTTAATGTACTTTTTTTGCATAATTTAAAAAAAATATTCGCACTGCGCACTTCTTCCTTATATAAGCTACAGGTGTGCGAAATTTCTTTCTCCCCTATCCCCGTAATTTTCGTAAAAAGGGGTTTTCGTAAAAAAATTTTGCTACACGTACACGTATGAATTAAATTTGGTTAAATTTTGCTTAAATTTATTTTTTATCTTAAAGGTATTTAATGCGGTCTGAATTATTAGGAATAATAAGGATATCCTCGTACGTGGTGAAAATAATACTTAATTACCTATACTTAGTCAGTTATGTAACAATACCTATATTCAGTAATATATGTAGGTAACGTAACAATTTAGCATATAGCATATATACTATCATTAACCGGTACTGTTTAAACAAAAAGATGATAACTTTGTGACCACCTGATTAAATAACAAATATTCAAACAGCAGCTTAATATAATAGTATATATACGTGGTTAACAAATGTGACGTGTAAAATAGAGAAATAATATTAACGAGTTTAAAAATTTTGCCTGTTATACATGCAATTTTAGCGTTTCGTATACATTAGATAATAGTATTTTTTTAGCAACTCTCCTACATATGGCGTTAGAAGTCTGCGTACATCACAGCGATGAGTTACTGATTACTTATAGAAATCTTGTACAGAAAATTGAAAAGAACAATTTCTATTAATTATAAAGTTCTTCCACCACTTGTTCATGTCCATATAATTTTGTATGTTCGTAGAATTAGAATAAGTTAGTGCCTATGACTTTCTGAAAATAATAAAACGGTAATGATAGACTGACAAAATAATGTGTTTAACATAGGTATAAGTCCTTAGTAAATTAACAAAGGAACGTTACTGGATGTAACAATGTTATGGTGGTTCGACAAAAAAATACGTAAATTCTGTATCCCAGGATAGCCTACATGCCTTCTGAAAAAAAAATTCATTTTTTTAATAATTAAAATTGGAGATTTATTTTACGAAAACAGCATTTATTTTAAGACCTGACAGTCTATTGTTATTATGTCAGTGACCCATCACTGGTGTTAACCAGTCCCCTTATCAAACTTATCTTGTGAATGAAGTCTGCAATATACAGAACAATAACAAAAAGGCGACAAAATTCTTTAATATTTCTTTTCTATCAGATACACAAAATATTATTTGCTGTCGGCTAGGCTTGAACTCAGGACTTCTTAGGTGTATATCAGGGTAATAAACCAACATGTTTTCTTAATGTATGCATTAAAAAAATGTTCAATCTCTACTTAATAAGGGATTAAACGGAGCCCTGCATAAAGCCCTGGGTTATGATTATGATATACATACATGATATAATATCTACATACCTATCATAGACATCGCATAGATAAAACAAGTCGTATAGTGAACTATTCAGTCTACCAAATCTACATAAATCTGAGATGTAGGTAAGTGTGATGCAGAGGAAGTTGCGCGGGTCAGCTAGTTACCTATATCACAGATAACATAATATTACATACCTATATTATATTCCTAACTACATTCAAATCAGCTTCGTACTAGGATCTCACCACCCTGATGTCTGTCATATCGTAACTCTTTGTATATTAATTGAGTGTACCGCAATAAGCTATTGAGTGTTCTTAATGGAAGGAAGGCGTCGGCGGACAGACGGACAGACCGTATGTTATTAGATGATTGCACCAATCTAGCCGGCTCCGGTTACAATGCTTACCGTGTGAAAGGTTAGTCCGCATCACACGTGTATTTTGTGCATATACACATAAATATTATAGTTGATAGCATGTTTGAATGTTCATTGAAAACATGAAAATAAATATGCCGGTGGTCTAGCAGTTTAGCACACCACCTTACTACGTTCGATTCCTCGCGCGGCATAAACATTTGTATAAGTTATTTAGTACTCATAACCAAATTTTTGCTAGCTTATCTTTGCGTTCGTATCGTTGTGTGATTTGTTCTGAGTTTATTATTATTATTAAAGTAAACTATAAGTTTACCCATAGCAGAAAAGAAATAAAACTTAAAAGGTTATACGAATATTGTACATTTGCGTATGATTTTTGAACTTTGTTTTAATCAAGCTTTGTCTAACGATTACCTATTGGTAATCGTTAGACAAAGCTTATATAAGAAATAATGGTTAAAAGAAGGCAGCTTTTATGAAGTGACATCCAACTTACATAAATATATTTGGCAATTGATTTTTCTTTATATAGATCTGAAATATGTAGGTAAGTTGGTTGGTCATAGTTGACGGGTAGATAACGCCGTAAGATATTAAATCCGCCATATGTACACGTTGTTTTTGTGCATTAAAGTTAAATAAATACTACTTTTTTTCCAGGTAAAGTGGAGCACTTCTCCTTTGAGGGTACAACTAGTGATGTCACATCTATTGCTCTCTCCTTCTATTCTGGACTGTTTGCTTACAATGGATGGTAAATGAATACATTTTCGTTTTAGGGTAGTTCTAAGTATATAGATCCATTCGAATATACCCAGTGGAGTATATTCTACACTATACTACACTAGCCTACACTTCACCTACACTTCAGCAGTGTAGGGTTTTCAAATACTAATGTATTACCGCAACTGAGCAAAACATCTGACTATTCCAACTGTGATAACTGTATTATATGAAATAAGTACTAATGAAATTAATAAGAAATCTAGAATGCGGGTTGCATTCTAGGCAGGCATCACCTCAGTCACACATGGCCAGTATGCGTATAACTTAAAAACTGGGTTAAATAATATTAAACTATTGGATATCGATTAAAAATTGTGAAAATCCGTTTTTTATTACGTTTGTATATATATTGAGTGTGTTGCATGTTCTATCTATGCACAATCTATGCAGAATTGTCTCTGTTGAAATAAAATAGCGACATTAAATTTTAAACTTTTGGACGTTAACATGTATAATTATCACAAATATTTGTCCAGTATATAATATTACTTTTAGTATATTATTATTAGTTGTACAATTAGGTTATAATAATACTAGTAATAAATATTGTTTTATTATTAATATGTACATCATCATTAACTTATAAACTTTAAACATCGTGTTATAATTTCAAAGCGGAAATATGGTACGACATTAAAAAAATATGCATACAATATATTATAAAATTGTTATCAAATACATCATGGTCTATTTTCTCTAATAAATACTCAAAATATCAAATTTATAATAGTACATATTACTTTTTGTCTTGAAAACTTTATTACCTAATATTAAAAAATATCGATTTCTCCACGTAAAAGTTTTTTCTTACCGTTCAAAAAGTCAACATATTTATTACATATGTATCTATATTTACTATATATTACTTTAACAGGAATTATTTGAACTTCATAATAGAGGAATTGAAGGATCCCGTACGAAACTTGCCCCGTGCGATAGCCATCTCCTGTTCACTGGTGACCATCGTGTACACCTTCACCAATGTCGCGTTCTACACTACCTTGTCGCCTACTGAGGTAATTACACGCAATTTTTATGTAATTTGAATGGCAAATCATCTAACGGCCCACATTATAAAAGAGCACTATATTAGATTATCACGTAACTACCGTGATATGGCTAATGCGTTGCCACTCTGGAGGACATATCGTACCTCCGTACCTTACAATTTCTATGCCTATTTAAATTGTAATGTTATATAGTCTATTGTATACCGTCCTTGATAAAAGGGCCATCTAAAAGTAAAAGACTATCAAAATCGAACCAGTAGTACCTACAACATCAGTATTCTAATATTATAGAAGAACTCGTATTTTATAAATATAGACTAAACTCACAAAGTTGTGAGACCCCGCCCGAAATCGAGTCACCCCACTAATCTATGTATACATATAAATAAATTTGGAGTGCCTGTTTGTTATATTGAAATAACCGTTGTTTATTGCACGCATATGAATATAAATACGGCATATACTTACACCAAAATAAAAATTTTTTAAATTATCGTCTGTCTGTCTGTTTGTTTCGGCTAATCTCTGAAATGGCTGAATCGATTTTGATGGGACTTTTATTGGCAGTCATCATCATTGCCTTGCCTTTATCCCATTAATTGGAGGGTAGCTGATGTAATAAGGAGTAACTTAGGCTACTTTTATTTTAGAAAAATAAAGTTAAATTCCACCTGGACGAAGTCGCGGGTATAGCTAGTAAATAACTATAAAGATATGATCAGGTTGGTAATTGATATGTTTATGTTTGTTGCATCAGGTGCTGGGTTCGGCAGCGGTGGCTGTGACATTTGCCGAACGGTTATTCGGCTGGTTCGCCCTCTCTATACCTTTGTTTGTCGCTGCGTCAACTTTTGGCGCTGTCAACGGCGTACTTCTCACTTCATCACGGTAAGTACTCATATCCGTTAGGCGGGAATTACATCAGTCAGGCGAGAGTCGTATCTGTCAGGTGGGTGTTGATCTTCAGCCGTCCCATAAGACCTTCCGCGGGTTTGAAGTTCCATCTGCACTCGCCCCTTATCGTATCGAAGCTATAAAGACCAAATACGGCCAACAACATTAGAGTGGACTGGAAAAAACACGGTAAGGACATAAAATATTCAATAAATTTGTTTGAGGTTTGCATAGCTCTACTTGTGCTAAGGGAGCGTATGGGAGATTTTTTTTATTATCCATAGGTTTACAAACAGAAACAATAGATAAAAAAAGGCGTTCTTGTTGCTAACGCAATCTTTTCTAGACAACTTTAGGAAAGAGATGGTTACTAAAAATACACTTTATTGGTTAAGTGGAAATAAGTTAACCAATAAAAAAGAAAACAATAATGAACTATTTTGTAAATAAATCAGAATTAAGCGTACGGATATACACCGGAATGGGTTCAAAAAGTAATTTAATACTAATACATACTATGAATGCAAAACTAATTACAATATTTTTTTCCATGGTATGTGTGCTGCAGATTATTCTATGCGGGGGCAGCCCAAGGGCAGATGCCGGAGATGCTAACGATGGTGTCATCTCGAGCGACCCCCGCGCCCGCAGTACTTGCGGTCGCTCTACTCTCCCTTCTCTACCTCACCGTCTCTGACATCTACGCGCTCATCAATTACGTCGGCTTCGCTACATGGGTCTGTATACCATTATCGGCATCCTAAACAAGGACATCAATACATTTTATACCACTATATAAAATGTATATATATATATATGTAGTTGTATGTGTATCTGTCAGGCGGGAGTTGGCCTTCAGCCGCTCCATAAGGCCTTGCGCGGGTTTGGAGTGCCATCTGTACTCGCCCCCTATCGTCTAGTGAAACTGAAAAGACCAGTGTCCAGTCCAGCATTAGAATACTCCGAAACAAAAATCTTTCTCTAAGTTGTTTCGGTTTTAAGGGTAATTGACATAGGGCATTAAAACTATTAGGTACACAGACTAGTACCAGTTTTAAGAAATTATAATATCACGAGTGTCTCTTGAGGACATGATAACGGTGTTAGTTGCCACTTTCTACAGGTAAAGCTGAGATTTCTTTACGCTAGCTCTAAATTCTTGATATGTTAAAAATATAAACAAAATCTTAATGTATATATGTAATTCTTGTTCTGTACATGTTACGTAACTCCTAAACGGCTGGACCGATTTCAAAGAAATTATATGTGTATCAGTATAGTTTAAAAACATAATTGGACCAACTTAGTGGCATTCTTTTTGGGGGTCGAACGGTCTGTTAAGTTTTTATAACTGTATAAAGGTTCATAGTTAAACTATCTTATCTGATCTTTGTTTTGGCGACAGCTGAGTATTGGTGCGGCGGTGGTGTGTCTGCCTGTGTTGAGATACACGCAGCCCAACCTCGAGCGACCCATCAAAGTTAACCTGATTTTCCCTGGTAAGATTTTACTATTTAAATACTTATCGTTAACCACTTACTTGAAATCATTATATCAAAATCATCATTCATCATTCGTCCAATTTACTTAATATCTTTTTAAATTATAACCTATGTGATAATCTGACGTATAATCTATATTACTGTAAAGTTTCGACGAAATCCGTTCAGTACTTTTTACGTGAAAGATTAACAAACATCCATCCATACTCACAAACGATTTCGCGATTATAATATTAATAAGATTAGTTATTTTTGGTGCATTGGACGACTAGTAATGTTAAATGCGTGTGCAGCGGTGTACATAGTGTGCACGATCCTGGTGGTGGCGGTGCCGGCGGTGGCGTCTCCGGCCGAGACCGGCATCGGCTGCCTCATGATCCTCACGGCGGTGCCTATATACCTGTTGCTGCTGGAGCCCCGCACCAGGGTTCGAGGCCTCGGCTCCATTACCAGTCAGTACACAGTCACTATATCATTTCTCTTTTTACTTTTGTATACGTACATTATTTATATATTTTTAATATACTTAAGCTATAATAAGCAGCTGTTTGATACAGCTTATAAATATTCATAGTGAAATACTTTAAAATAATTTATGACCATGAATACAAGTCCTTCAGCTGAAAACTATTTTTTACAAATAATATTTTGTTTTACAAATAATTTCTCTGTTTATGCCAACATTACAATATAATAATCTACAAGATCCCATTCCTATACATCTGTAAATACACAACTTAGAAACTTATGTGGTAGTGATAAAATAAAACACTGTCACAACGACGAAAAGTCTTCCTCGATTGACACGCTATAATTTGTAAGCGTAAATGGGAGTAGAAAGAGGTAGAAAAACTCTGTTTATTTATTTGTGTGAATATCCAATTGAGAGAATTGGACGTACTCCATATTAGGGATACTATCTCATATTTGGTCACTTTCCTCTAATAATATAAAACCTATATTTATTTACAGCTGTTGCCACGCATTTAGTACAGAAGTTGACATTAGCTGTACGACCGAAAATAAAGGTACGTTCAATATTGTAACTATGATATAAATCATGTTTGTCTAATAGGGAATTACTGCATCGTTATTTCTGATAAGTAGACTTATTTTAGTTTCTTTAATGTCTATTTGTCATTTTTTCATCATTCATCAATGTATAGCATTCCTAAAAATAATTTCTAGTTAGGCAGTTTGACCAATTGTTTTCAGAAATATTATATTAAGAATTATTGTATTAATATATAACATTTTGTTTTCAGTAATCGACTATTAATGATTGACGGAATCGACAAACATATCCGACCTTTCGGTGTACACACATATATAAGGACTGTTGCTGTTTGTATGTATATTTGGTATAACTATATAATTACTCTCTGGAGTAAAAGAACCTAGTTAATATTCGTCGAATTTATTATGAACTAGCTGTACCCGCGACTTCGTATTTCTTTAGTTAGTTTTTTTTATAGTTAGTTATTTTTCAATATTACAAACAGACACTCCAATTTTATTTATATGTATAGATGATATCACTACATGCACGGCACCATATCTATTTGAGTATAATAAGAATTGTGCATCCATTGTCCATCCTTTTTACATATACGTGTTTAGGTAAATACGTCCTTACCGCCCAATCACATAACAATCGATCGATTAAGGCTGTTGATATACATTCGGTTAGTCGTTAGGTTTATAAGGAAAAGAAAAAGATACATTTGCTTGTTAGGCCCCGCTATTTTTCGAATTGCGTCAATCGGAGTCCATCACAACATATTTGACTATATATTAGCGGTCTTATTGTTTGTAGTAGACTAAATTAACAATTCAGTAACAAACCTGCTATTGAACAATTATGATAATAATGATATATCATAATTCGAAGATACGTTTCGGTTCTTAGCAAATACACTAAAGCAGTTTGTTTGCGTTCTACATTTTATACTGAATCTGTACTTTTCTACTAAATTCTTTGGCAAGCGCTGATATCTATGTATTATATTTTGTGCCCATATAGGTACCTATTTCTTTATGGAAAAAGCATATTGTCAATGAAACCTTAGTAAAAATGCCATTTCACTGAGTAGCTTGCTCTTTGTTACATTAAACTTTTTATAAGCTTCGCCCAAAAGCTCATCGAATTATTGACATAATACAGGAGTGTTATATTGTATGTATATCTTTATTATAATTGAAGCATTTTTTTGTGACCACTACGGATGCTAAAACTATTATGTCGCTAAATTCGGTGATATATCTAAGTATGTGAATCTAAAATAGTCCGTAACACTCCAAGCTAATTTTACTGTGCCTATAGTTTTTGGCAATGTCGAATGAAATTTAAGAAAACCTATCTAATATTCCCTTCATTTAAACGGGATATACCTATGTAGGTATATGCCGTTATGTAGATATTGGTATAGGTATATCTATAGACATTTACGTAGACTTGTTCATATAATTTTTTATAATTGTTCATATAATTATAACACTTCTCTTATAAAAATATGTATCAACGAATGTTTCGAATATTATATGTATGATGTTTTATAAACATATTATGGTGATTTAAAGTTGTTCTACGTAGATATATAGAATAGAATGGTGTACTTTTTAATTTAAAAAATAAATGGCTAACATATATAGACATAAGTCATTGCATTTGAGATGTGATGTTTGATTATGCGAGATGTGTACCTAATTAGGTAGTAATGTAGAAATGTGATAGGTGTCGCCCTCACATATTGTATAATACGTTGGAGAATTTTCTAAAGTTTATACCTAAGATAAGAGAAATTGCGAATAAGACCAAACCATAAAGCACAGCTTTAACGCAGGATGGATGAAGTGACGGCAGGTTACGGCGACGACGTGTTCTCTTTAAACTTAAAGGTAAAAACAAGACCATGATCCGGCCTGCTGTTTTGTATGGATCAGAGTGTTGGCCCGTAAAGGAGACGGATGAAAGACGACTGCATGCAACTGAAATGGGAATGTTGAGATGGATATGTAGTGTGACAAGTATGAATAATATAAAGAATGAATACATTACAGGAAGTATGAAAGTAGTTGAGATGTTGAAGTGTTCGAGAGGATAAGTGTGCGACATGTAATACCTACGTAAGAATGAAGATAATATTTCAAGGAAGGTGTTATATGTGAGTGAGAATGGTTATAAGTGATGAAAAAGTGATGGATGGACTGTGTGAAAGATGATATGATAAAAAAGGAAGTAAATAATGAAATGACTGCGAACAGGGATGAATGGAAGAGAAAATATATTACGCCGACCCCAAATAAATGGAATAAAGATGTAGCAGATAATGATATACCTAAGTTTTATATAAAGATTATAAACGGCTATATATCTATTATTATTTATGTAGGTGTAAACTTTACTTATTTATAATACGCCGAACGGCTTTTTTGCCCTTCGGAGATTCTTAGATAAACTGTTTAAATATCTTTTCGCCAATTAAAAATAAAATATCAATCGCATTATCTTCCTCAATTTTTTCCATTTTTGGACCGTACGGTAGTAAATAGTCCTCCGGTAATTATACTTACCTACCATAAAATAATGCTCTAGATCTGAGTTTTGTAATGTTATAATTATAATTGTGTACCTATACTGGCGCTGTTTTATAAAACTAGTACGTATTTTATATATTTAATAACATTTGATTCTGATTTATCTCAATGCCAGCGCCTAATTGCAGTAACATAACTTTTTAGCCTCTAAAATTAAAAACACATAAAAGATGAATTTACCCAAGAGTATGTAGTATGATTATTAACCGCGATGGGTGCAAGGGTATACTGCGTGGAGGTCAACCTAACCTGACAGATGTTTGCATTACTAACAATCGTCCCCGCTCCCTTCATAACGTTGCAGAAAGCAACAAGTGTTAGTACCATACCCCAAAAGACCTTGTAGAAGAAGATTTAGAAGACTCAAAATACCTATTACTCGAGTTAGTTTAACATATCCACGCTAAGCTAGAGTCATTGTTTGAAAACAAACAGCAATTTCAATACAAGGCGACAATACATTATAGGTAATTCTGTACATTAGATATATAAGCTTTTATATGCGTTAATATTCATCAGATATTATAGGTACTAGTTTTGTATTTAGGAGTTACTTTAATTTATATTAATGACTGTACCTAGTTAATGACCTCGTTGGTCTAATGGCTTAGTACCCAGTTTTAATTTCTATGGTCGCGGGTTCGATTCTGCACACGGTGCAAACGCTCAGAAATAAGGATTTGTATCAGTCTGGGTATTTTCTATGTAAATTAGGCATGTATTTAAAATATATATATAATAATTCCGTATCAATTGTCTAGTACCCATAACACAAGCTCAGCTTTACTTGGGACTAGTCCCGGCGCTGTGTGAATATGGATTATGATTATTATTATTGAAATTGAATATTAGTATATCCCTCTCATATACACATATGTATAAGAAAACTGTATGTGTAGGTAGCGATATATTTGTATTGTATTAATATATAAGTATGAAATAAGTTTTATATTGTTTTAAATATTATTACGAGGCAGTCTATAGTTCTTAAGTAAAAGTAAGCACTAAGCATAATGTACATGTACAATCGCCACAGAGCTATGACATGCTATAAGCATTTTCTGAAATGGCACATATAGGCTAAAATATTCCTTGCAGGATCTCTTCAATGGATTTCAAAGAATAGGTATAACTAGCGTAAAGCTTTTGTAAGTAATTTTTCACTATATATTTGAAGCAAACCGTCGTCTCTCTTAATAATTTGGTTTGTTATCACCGGCAGATATATATAAGTCAGAAATATAAATTACTTATGTCAAAATTAAAATTAAGTAAAGGGCTTTTTGGTGTCGGTGTCGGTCGGTGTCTTACATAGGTATTAGTTTTCGGTCTATGTTGGGGTAGCAACCATTAAGTCACGGCACTAACGCCCAACTGGCCAATCCATGACCATGATACCTATGTGTTTGTATGTTCTATGAACTAATAGAATTGTTGTATTTATATGCGACGAATACCGACTTACGACAGATGCCCACAAGTTGCCTGATAACTGAAAAATCATTCCTTAAAAATATTGAAATAATTTTAAAGTATCATGTATTCATTGTAGTATTTTGTTTATTGCGGCTGTGCTGTAAAAAGTTTCTATGACAATGTTCTTGACAGTTATAGATGTAGCTACATAATTTAGTTTTATTAATATTCATTAGTCAATAATTAGTAAGTAAATGTGTGTTTTTTAATTTTGTAAATATTTTAAATTACCCACAATCATACATTAACATTCCAAAATTGTAACTGCCAGTACCTATGTTAGAAACTTTAGAACTAGAATTATTGTATTATACTGGCGAATAACTTGACCGCTATTTTAATACCACGTGACCTATACAATTGTATAAAATCTACTGTGTAGGCTTCTTTCTCTATGATTTAATTCAAGTTATTTGTCGCGAATTGAATTATAAAAAATATATTGTGTATATTTTTATAAATTTCATTTTTATCTTAGAAATTAGATACATAACACATATATTACCAACCGACTACATTTTCTAACGATAATTTAAAAAGAAAATAAGACATGACGATTATTTCATCATCACTATAATTAGGTACTGCAAATATTCTATAAATTATTAATTGATGTGCTGTATGTAATCATATTATTGTATTGATGTATCTGTTATGCTCTTTGCTATGTCTTTGGACACAAAATGACAATAATAAATTATTGGAGGAATATTATGTTATTTTTCGTCTTCAAATTATCCCATCCTTAACATAACTAAAGTGGCTTACCAAATATTGTAAGCGGTGGAGACGGAAGCAGATACAGGTATTACACACTTGACACTGGAAGGGATCGGGCGAGTTGGTACACGACACGACACGAACACTTTAACCCTATTATTTACAATTTATAGAACACATATATGACACACATTTTTTTAGTTTTTTTGAGAGTGACAATAAACAAGGAGGGTAGCCCTAGTAACCACTCTAGTCATAGACTTTATACTAGCGCTATTCAACCTTAACAATCCTCTCTCACTGGCCCGAGAGTACCTACATACCAATGCAGGCTAATTTACTATATGACAACATCTACTATAAAAAAAGGCGTTTATGCCTTGATAATTTGAGAAAATGGGTAAAGTGACTAAGCGGTTTTGATATTTGACTTAATGTTATACACAGAAAACTTTCTGTCGACATATTTGATCGGTATTTATATGTTAATAATTATCCACTAACTTAAAGTAGCTACTAAAAAAATAATAATATATAATTTTGATATTATGATTTTTTGAAGCAGACGAGTCAGTTTCCCTCACATTCTCATTGTAGCGCAGTGGTTATCACCTCACCACTGTAGCGTTATATATATGACTACCTACCCATCCCGGCTTTGCATGCGTGTACATGTATTATATCTACCTACATATAAACCTTCCTCTTGAATCACTCTCTCTATTTAAAAAATACACCGCTTCAAAATCCGTTCCGTATTTTTAAAGATTTAAGCATACATAGACAGACAGCGACGGCGACTTTGTTTTATACTATGTCATAATAATGCGATGAGGTGTCGCTAATAATTTATTGTAGTATTTATGTAGGTAGTGAGTACCTATAGAGGTGAAATAATTGTACTATTTACTGTACATTAGTACATATATTTGATAGTTTGCTCCATGGCTTATTAATAACGCATAGATACATTTGACGAGGAATCGGGTCTAACACTGCCTGCTATAAGGAGCTCGTAGTTAGCTTCCTGAACTTATGTAAATATATATTATCAGTGGGCTAATTATGTAACACGATATGAAATTGTTTCTGTTGGAATGTAAATATATATTATCTGGAGGTGGCGTGCAGACACTAATTATAGATGGAACACGATATGAAATTGTTTCTGTTGGACGACGATTATGTCGAGAGGAACAGTCGTCAGGTTTTTAGCAGGTAGGAGTTAGTATCCATTCTTGGAAGGGAATGGTTCTCCATGATGGTTGACTAATGGAACTAGACTATATAACAAGTGAGGAGACATCATTTAAAGCCGTTAATTTGATATAGTGAAGTACATCTGGATATATACATTTTAAAAACAAATAAAATTTGTTTATTTCGGTAAAACTCGTCACAGATAGGTTCTTCTAAGAGGTATGGGCTTATTTTTTTATTTTGTATTGGCAACACTATAGATCATCTTATATATAAAATTCTCGTCACAGTTTTCGTTCCCATACTCCTCCGAAACGGCTTGACCGATTATCATGAAATTTTGTGAGCGTATTGAGTAGGTCTGAGAATCGGCCAACATCTATTTTTCATCCCCCTAAATGTTAGGGGTAGTCCACCCCTATTTTTTTTTATTTTAAGGCAAAACAACGTTTGCCGGGAAAGCTAGTATAATATTCCAGATTTTCGAGTTTCCAAATGGGCAATGCGACACTGACGTGTGATGTCACTGTAACGGACTAACATTAGACCGAACATGATCCTATTATTTATAAAGTATTAGCTGAATTTATATATTCAAATAGTATTAAAATTTAATGTAATGTGTTCCGTTTTGTATATATGTTATTTGTAAATATCATATCCTATATAATTTCCTAACCTAATCCTTATCCCTATACTATAAAATTTTCGTTGATAGATTTAAACTAATGACGTTTCCCCGTTTTGTTTTTCGCGAAATACCCTAAAATCGGGGTGAATGCCACAAGAAAAAAAAAACTTAACTGACTGTCACTGTCAGTCAAAGTTACTTAAAAAGTGTTTTTACTATTCGTGGTTTATTTCACTGAACAAGTAAACGTTTATCTATTTAACTAAAATGGTGAAACTTAGAAAAAATAAACTAAAAATTATAAATAAGATAGCTAAAAAGCATAACGCTTCTTCAAGTTCTAATACTCCAAACAAAGTTTTGAAAAAAAAATTAAATGCCGAGAAAAAAGTATCATTCCAGAAAGAAGTCTTAATAAAGGAGGCTGTGTCGGGGTCAACAAATGAAAAATTAGTCAAAAATGTTTCTCTGCAAGAAATGTTACTCAACGAGTTGTCCAAAAAACCAAAAGTTAAAAAATCGAAACCTCAGGGAGAAACATCTACACCCAAATTGAAGCCAGTAAAGAAACTAAAACAACGTCAAAAAATGAAAATTAACGACACTAACCTATTGCTAAGTCTTATGAAAAAAAAAGGTAAAATATAAGAATTAGTGTAAAATGTGTCTTTATTGTATAATACTTTATATCTTCAAAGCCAACAGAATCTCAAACAGAGGTTTTGAAAATGCACTTACCCTTTCTATTTCTAATATCCTTTTGTTTTCTATTTTCATAAAATACTTCTATATTATATGTAGAGTATCAATTTTGATTTGGCAAGAGATGTTGACATTTTAACATAAAGGAGATACTGTAAGTTATTAAGTAAGAATCAAGTGCTTTTATAATTATTATTAATTTATTTAACATACTGTGAGGTATTTAGGAATATTGTAAAGCCAGAAGTTCATTTTCATGAAAAATTTGAATAGATCAATTTGGCTTACTAAAATGATCATTATCAATTCTGGTAATACTAATAAAAATAAGTTTATTAAGTCCTTACATATGATTTTACTTGCAACCTGAATAAAAAACTTTTTATGGATACCTTTTATTACTACATTAGTTATAATATTTTATAATTTAACATCATGTTACTTAAAAATATTTGATATTCTAAAAGTATTATGCATCAAGTAGGATTACAAAATTCAAACCACTTAATTAAGAGTTAAAATCTGTATAGGTATATAATTATTACAATTTATTTCTTATGGCGGCTTGTATAATAGTACTATTACACAAGCCACTTAAGAAATAAATATAACAACCTATACAGATTCACCATTTCTTTTACCACATTGATGTATTTTTTTTATTTATAGATACTGTCTAAAGTACCTGCAACATTATTTTTATAGATAGCAGGTAAACAATATTGACATTTAGTATTTAACATTCACATATTAATATATATATAAGATTTATAGTAATGATGAATCACAAAATATTTATCAATATTTGTGTATATATTCTATTTTGAGTGTACCTACAGTATAACCCTATCGACATTTATAGAATCCACTTGTTTAGTACATATTCGGCAAATTGAGGTTTTTATAAATTTACAAGTTCAGATTATTCTTTATTCAAATAAAATTTAAATAAGCACTTTAGTAATAGACATATACATTTTATTCTACTGAAAAAGCAAAAATAAATCATTGTTTATGACAGCATATTACGGCTGGATAAGGATTTGTATTGCCTTTAAAATATATTTTTTTTATTATTAATATAATTAAAACACAGCATTATTTTTTTTTTTTATTATGATTCAGTATTGAATTTATTACATTTATTTGATTAAACAATTTGTAAATTGAACCAGTTTCAACTGAGAAACTGATACACCACAATGTAATTCACTTTGTTCACACAGAAACTAATATATTCTTATACATTATACCTTCAGTAAAGGTAAAACTTATTATGTAACAAACAATAATGTAGAACAATAAGTACTCTATATATACCTACAAGTATAGGGACTTTAATAGTGCTAACTACATTTGACTCCACTAGCCATACAAATTGAAATGAGAGAAATATATCTATTAAAGTAGATATTAACCTTCTTATGAATGAACATGCTACTTGCGATGAGCCTATTGAAGCTTGAACTAGTAATATGAAAGACAGCTAAAATACTTGCAATAGGTCAAATGGATTGTTATTTAGTAATTTTTATTAATAATACATTTCTTAGCATGGAATTATACTAAGTCAAGCATGGCTGTTTGGGAAATAAGCATTATCCTTTTACCTTTTTAAAGGTCATACAATAAATAGTGACAAAGTGGATTAGAGTGTTTGTGGTTTGTGCAATTAGTAGCGACCACGAGGGCGGCCTCTGCCCCTACCGCGACCACTACGCGGTGAGTTCCTTGTTCCGGTCGTGGGTGCTGGGGTATCGGGCGCGGGAGAAGACTCCTTTGCTACCTCTTCTACCTTTTCCGATTCTGCTTCTTGTTCTCCCTCAGAAACCTTGACTTTGTTTACGTCGTTTTCGGAAGCATCTGAGACAAAAACGCGTAATCAATATATGGCCTTAGATATACAAATAACACTGTATTTTATGTTTACATGACATTAATAAATTATAAAAATTTTGCGTGAAATGTATTGTGGTGCTTACTAAGTATACTTTAATATATACTGTTAAATATAGAAATGCAAGCCTGTTTTTTTTTCAAGTTTGTTGCAACATTCTGGCACATTTTATTATTAGTAACAATAAAGGCAGAAATAGTTAAGGAGGTATAATTTATTGAAAAATATACTTACTTTGCTCATCAGTAAGTATCTCGTCAATAGAGCGCTCCCAGTCTTCCAAATCTTCAGGAGGCGGTACATCGGCCTCGACAGTGCTCTGTGGTTCCGCTGTATAAAATCACACAAGTTATCATATGTAGAAAAATATGTTTCACAAGATTTAGCTTAAAAAAGTAAGGGCTATTTGCTCTTAAAAAATATAGTCTTTTGGACTGAATAGTAATAATAAGAGGAACATGGATATCCCATACGCTGGCTATTGATAAGCAGCACCGTGTCACAGGTATAGTACAGTGGAATAGAATAGAAAATAATTTATTCAAATAAACTTAATTTAAGCACTTTTGAATAGTCATAACAAATATTTCTTATCTACAGCTCATTCGGAAAGCAGTCTCCTCAAAAGAAGAACGAGCAAGAAACTTGTGTATTGCTCTTTTAAATAATCCTTGTAAGTTTACATTTACAAGTCGAAATGTGTGAATATAAACTACCAACCAGCATTAATTTATTAGGGTCAAATATAAATATACAATAAGATTAAATCGGTCCTAGTGAAAAGAAGAATAAAAATAAACAGTAACCTTTTATAGTCACATTCTCATGCCCATTCTCAATATCATCCTCATTCTGCTCATCGTGGTCGGGGGTCGTCTTGCGCCGTTTCCAGTTTCCAGACTCCTCACAGTTCAGCGGTCTCTTGAACCTTTCCTGGGTTTGCTGTAAAAGATTTGTTTGTAACACTTAAAAAAATAACAGGATACAACAATCTTAAGATAAGTTGTACAATGGCAGACTTATCCCAAATGACGGATATTTTCGAGTCATCCTTTAAATGACGAAAAGAATTATGGAGTTGTGGAAATAGCTTTATACATGACGAATTCTAACTTGAATAATTAAGATAAAACTGTTTTGAGTTACTATTAAAACACAGAGATTAATAATTTCATTACGATAGGGAGAATCCATGAAACTGAACCAGTTGGAAAACAAATATAATACATTTAATAATTATTAAGTTGTCAGACGTCATCATTGCGATTCTTTTGAAAAGGTTTTAATTTTATGAATTTTATCATTGGCTTTTAATTGGTCTCTGCTGTTATTTTAGTATATCACACAACAATGGCATACCTGATTACCAGACTTGTCAGTGAGCAGACGCAGGAAGAGCTGGTGGTGTCGCCAGGTACGCAGGTGTACGTCGGCCGTTTCCTGACTGTCGAGCAATTTCCGGCACAGCCGACACTGAACGCATCGGAACTCTGTCAGGAAGGAGCGGCCCACTCCGCGGTCCGTGCTGATAAGTTATATTGGTTTAGTAATTTATCACTCCAGATCATTTGCGATAGGCCAAAATAAATCACATCCGGGAACACACTTACATACATAAAAACAACCTATCCATTACAAAATCAACGGCTATGAGTTGTTTTGAGTGATGTAAACAATACCATAATCCTGACAATATATTGTCAATACATTAAAGACCAGTAATTAAGTAATCATTACCAATCTTGGTACTGAACCCACTCATAAATCAAGTGCATTCAGTTTGACTTGCACAATTCATGATTTTAGCTAATAATAATGCTATCAATTATCATGATCCAAATGATCATTGATGACATATGTAGTCAGGTCATGTCTATAGAAGATGAACACCTAGAATATCCGATTATAGACATTTAGAACTTGTTAGAAGCAGATGTGCTTTATTTTATGATATTTAAGAAATGGCATAAATTAGAAGTGATGACAAACATTTACTTGATAAAGTTGTAAGGTAGATAAGGTTGTATATACCTGTAAGCCGGGAACATGTCTACAGTTGCATTGCTCAGATCATCGCCGTCATTATAATCCAGGATAGTATTCTCAGCATCCAGGTTCTCCTGTTTTGGCACCAATAGGGCGATCTGCTCCCCTTCTGTTGCATCTTTATTGGCTTCGGTGACCTCCTAAAAAGACAATATACAAAAAAAAAATAAACAAACTTCAGTACTTTCGTTTTCCTTTTTTTATGTAATTTTGACAGGGATTACGAAACGAGTATTTAAACGAACATTTGTTGGGACTTTAGCAACGTAAAATAAGGAAGAGTATCTTATATGGCCCCTGTTAATTTTTAGAATAAAATGTGACACATGATAACATAATGTCAATGTATGAGTCGAGTACATGTGTTAATATTCCAGAAGCCTAAGATGTCATGCCGGTATCCTGCAATTGCCCTACCTCATCCTACAAGTGATGAGACAGCTTTCTGAATGAGCGGTAGATTAAATAAAAATTGTTATGACTATTCAAAAATAATTGACTTTCTATTCTATTGACAATTAGCTCACAAAGCAAATTAGTGGCTTGAAATAAGCGAGACTAAAATACCCACGCCGATAACATTTTAGTCTGTCTCTGCTTTCCTATTACCTTATATTGATTCTATTAGCAACTGGAGGATTCCAGTACAGATTTATATAAGCTAGAAAAATCGAATTTCTATGACAGGAGTAATTTTTTGAGTACATTATGTTGATATAATTTAGTAAAGAAATATGATGCACTTTCTATCAACCTTTTAGAAATGATAGTAAGCAATAGCAAATAGAGAGTTTTGGCTATATTTTAGACATTTTTTACTTACGAACTATTAGAATGTCAGAGAAGACAAGTACTTTACATTTTAAGAGGAGCTATTTATTTGACTTATTGTCAATAGAAATTATATTTACATACTTGGTTCTCTCCATTCTTGTTCTCTTCAATTTTCTTAATTTGCTTGTCGTCGGAGGGCCCGTCGCCGCGACGCCAGCGCTGGCGGTCATCACGCAAGTACGATTGCTCCATTGATAGTGTCGATATCACCATTACTATGCCAATCATATATAGTTCTAAATTATAGGATTTAACAGTTTCATTTTTGAAGCACCTTTAGTATAGCTATTTAGTACACTAATAATAATGAGTTAGAAATAAACAAAATTATAATAAATTTGTATATGAATTCTGAAGAATATTTTGTACTATGAAGACAAAATTTCTAAATGTTACAGTGATTCAAAGATATATTAATATTTGATTGTAACCACTTGAAGTAGATGATCATCCTGATACTCATATACTAAAAATCCTAATTTTTTTTTTAATTTGATGATGATGATGGAATTGATTGAAAGAGATGATGACCACATTTCTAAAAATATCTCCACAGACGAGACTTGGTACAGCAGTATACAATTACACAAACATATTAAGACTTCAGTTGTTTAATAGAATTGAAGTAAAATCTAGATACATACCCTCAGGTTTGGGTTTAGACATGATCTCCTGCTTATCTTGCATGTTTTTCAGATGTTCTGCAGTTAGCCGGTGCTCATCAAGTTCCAAACGGGTCGGCATCTCCTTGTGGCAGGATGTGCAGGTTGGGTGAAGGTACTTCTTCAGTTTACGATGTCCAACGGTGGTGCGATGTATAGCACCATCCGCAGCATACATATCGCACATAGCACAGTAGAAGTCACGAGCTTGATGTTGGCCTGACTTGCGTGTACGTTTCATATCACGTATCTGTTGGTAGCGTTATTAATTTAACATATGCTATATTTTCAAAATCTAGACAAATCTCGTTGGTAAATAATATACAGAACTAGCTGCCCCGCTAAATGTCCCTGGACAATTCATACAGTGCCATCTAGTCTCAAGCTAAGCAGAGCTTGCTACTAGACAACTTGTAGAAATGCTTAGATACATTATGTAAATGTATTTAACATGCATTATATACGTAGAAAACACCCACACCAATACAAACAATCATAATCACGAATACAAACAATCATAATCACGAATACAAATGTTTGCACCAGCGACCATTAGATTAGATTTCGTATTTATTTTCCTACTATATAGCAGGTACTTCTATCACCCACAAAATTTCACATATAACATAACAACAACTGGGAAACATGAACAGCTTCAAATTACCTTGAACTCCTGCCTCATAGTGTCTGCAGTCAGCGCATAACTTTCAGCTGTCTTCTGCATCATAATAGCATGAGCCCTTCCACTCAGATGGTTCTCAAATGATCTTCCATCCCACATACTCTTGTTACAAATATGACACTTCAGCAATTGAGGATTAATTTCATCATATCGAGTTTTAGGCACATCCTTCTTGGTGTCTTCTTCCTTAATCTCAGGCTGCTCATTGCTGGTCCCCTCAGCCTGATCTTCTTGTTCACTGCTATGCACTTTGTGTGTTAAACATTTGAAAATACTAATTCTTAAGGTAAGGAAAGTGAATCTAAAAACAAACTACTATATGGCATGCCATATTTTTGTAGCTGAGTTTCATTAGAACATGGTGGCAAGTTAGTTTTTATAAGAATATATATATATATATTTGTCAACACATACTAAGTTGCAAATAAATATATTTAAAAATTAGCTGAGATGTAATATGGTAAAGTTTCTCTTTGAATAAGTCATGAAAGGTTGAGTTGCCGACTTATGTTATTAGTAAAAGTCATACAATTGTGGATAAAGTCTTGAAGTGAATTGGATTTAAAGTAGATTTAAAAAGTAAGTCATTATTAGAAAGACTAGTATGTAGTAGCGAAAAAATATTAATACAAAAAATTTGACGTACAGAAGCAGCTTAATTGTTTTGCATGAAAAAATATTTTTGATTTGATTTGATTCAAATAGAAGTCTAACTGTTAATTGTCGTCATAGTAATAGATATATTATATATAAACATTAAAATTAAAATTAAGAGATAGTTTTAGGACATGGCACTGCAGCATTTATATTCACATTGTATTAATATATATATATTTATATACCAATATAAATATTACAACTTATTAGATATAAAATAACACAAAAATAAATTCTGGCCAAATGAAATGCGGCTGTTCTATGACGGAAAAAAATTAACAACAGTAAGTACTATCCTAGGAGACAACGAAGTATTTTATTTTAGGTGGGAGTGTGAATTGAGTTTAGTTGTTACAATTATACCTGGATAGTAAAATAAAGAACTCTTTGTTCAAGAAAAAGAAAAGACATTGGTATTTAAGCATTTTTTTAATGGGAAAAGGATCAGGTCAGTTGTTGAATATCAATATGATGTAGTATGTGCAAAATATATGTCATTATATATAATTTCGATAACTGACACTACTATTTTTGATAATGTGGTAGATTATACAGTTATTTGATATTTTTTTATAGGAAAGATGTAAACATATTTGTCAATTTAAATATTAATGTTTATCTCTGCAATATTAATAAAATAGTTATATTTATAAAAAATGCATATTTTTTCACTTGTCTATTGATGCATGTATGCATGAGCATTCTCAATAGACTATACAGTATATTGTATGTTAATTTGTAAATATTTCATAAAACAATTTTTTATTGTTTTATACTATAAAAAATATATGAAAGTGAGCAAATAAACTAATCATAGTTTAACTGTTCACTCAATTCGAAGATATCTGAAATATTTAAGGTTTAGACACTAATAGACAGTCCTGTCTATGGTGAAGACACAGTTCAATTAAGTGTGGATCTTATGTGTTGGGCAGATTACGCCAATTTGGCTAAATAAAGGCCGGTGAACGTAAGATAATAATTATAATGTATTCAACAGAAATATATACACTGGGATGTTACCCCAGTAGTGGAATCAGAAAGTCGGCGTAACCACCGGAAGGAAACTGGTCCTTACCTCTCCTTGACAGGTTTAGCCTTAGAATCGGCATCCTTTTTCGGGGAGCTCTTGTTTTGTTGCCTTTGCCCATCATTGGGCCTGAATGGTTTACGATTGGTGTTGATACGCTCACCAGCACGATTGTAATTTCCCGTACGCCGGAAATTACCCTGATTGCCCATCTAAAGGGAATTGATCAGAAAAATGTTAGTATGAGTGCAGCTTCCGTGAGCCACACGAAGAATGCTGAAAATGAAAACTAGCAGTATATAGGCGGCTTCAGTAAAACACTAGCCAGTAAACATTTTGATCCATGTGTTACACACACATACACCAAAAGACAAACAGTTCTATAAATTGTACAACATGCATAAGAAACATGGTAGAATAGGTACTTAAAATATGAGAGTAATTCAAGGCATAGTTATACTACTGAAATGAGTACAAGATTAAAATTAAAATAATATGTGAGTAAATACAGTCACATGAGGTTGCATGAATTAGCCTCCACATGTGATCATTGAAACAACATACTTTATGTTGCTGGTCACAGGGCAATCAGCGAGTACCCGGACATTGGTCGGCTTGTACTCCCACTACCATGGTAATCCTGTGCCCTAGCTATTTATACACCCAAATTCATGGAACAAAATTTTGAGCCGGAAGAACTACAGATTACCATAGATAATACAAGAACTCCACAGGCAAAATTGACAGCTTTGGGGCCGATTCTGGAATATTATTCTACTGGGCTGATTCTCCAATATTAGTCCTAAATAAAGTTAAACTTTCACATGCATGCAATTATTTATAATTCCAGTGAGAATGTAGAGAAATCCTTTCTGAAAAAAGATATTGCAATCTGTTGAAGCATTTGCTGAGATCTACCAGAATAATTTTGTATTTAAATAAAGAATAGGAATCGGCCCCACTGTATGACCAATTATAATAAATAACACTTCATAGATGATTATTATCTATCTATAAAAGTATTGATAATTAGTAGTTTACTTACCCTATTCGGACCATAACCACGATCATACCGACCCATATTGGGGCTAAAGTCACGTCTTATGGGCATATCTAGTAGTGATGGGACAGGGTTTTGACGGGGTTGGAGGAGGTTAATGATGTTGCTGGCCAAAGCGAGGGTGGCTTCTGTGGAGCCCCCGGCGAGAGGCAGTAAGTTTGGAAGACCGCCCCCCGGACCTCCGCCTTGCCAAGGGGAGACGCCGCTGTTTCGGCCAAAGTTCTTGCCACGGTCATTACGCCCGAAGTCCATGCGACGACCGCCATTCTGAGGTCTCCGATTAGCCATTTGTAACTGATCAAAAAATTAACATGGATGACAACTGCCGGCACCGTTAATGATATTTTAGTTTTTTAAGTAAGATTATGTTTTTAGCCATAATATTTAGACTATGAAATAAAATTTGCGATAAACAATGCGTCGTTAAAAATCAAAGTGTAAATTACTACAAAGTAACGCATTATTGATTTTTCACACCGGTGTAGAGGTGGCAAATTAACGTAAATGTATATATAATATAATATTTTTACATACCCAAGTTACAAGAGAAACAGTAGAAATTAAGTTGAAATATAATTAAAAGTGAATGTGATATTCAAATGTAATATATAGTAAAATACTATAGATTTAAAATACTATAGAACAAATACAAAATGGATGAATTGAACTTTTTGAACGCTTTTATAGATCCACAAGCACAGAACACCAATATAGCAGCGGACAAGCCACAAACTAAATAGACTATAGGCCACAGATGAAAAATATGTAGACAGTATTGCCAGATAACCGTCTTTCTTTCCCCCCGTAATGACTATTTCCAAGGAAAAGGTACTTAAAATGTAAACTTATTATAAAGGACAACACAGTATAAATAATTTAACCTAATCCCATCAAAAACATTGATGGGATTCATTTAAATTAAATGTGAAATGATAGCCGAGTTTAATATTATGATATATGCCTTGATTGTTGACTTCTACGACAAAAGAAGTGAGATCTAAAGGGATGCCAAGTTCAATGGTATGTCCTGAAATGTATTTATAACAATATATAATATCATTTCTTCTTATAACTTAGGATAATATACTGTAGCCTAAGGTCTAACTTGGCTAGTTTTCATATACGAAATATACTGTAGCCTTCGCAAATTCTAAACATGTTACTTGTCGGTTCCTATTTTATTATTAGTAGTAACTAGCAATCGAAAGTAATAATTGGTATATGAGAACTGTCCAAGTTAGATCTTAGGCTACAGTTACAATTAGGGGTATCATTACTTTTTGTACATAAATTATACGAGGTACTTATTTATAACTAAATTAATACCAAATTATTTTTGATAAACTACTGTATTTTCGTATGTTTTCGGGGTATATGATATTCGACTATACTCTCAGTTATAAGTACGAGTATATTTTAGACAGAATCTAAATTATAGCAACTTGTGTTTACCGCTCAATGCAATATTTGAAGTTTGCTAGGTATCGACACTGATGTGAAGGGGTTAACGTAAATTGGTAAACATCGACGTTTTCATACAATATTACTTTCCGTCCAGTACAAGATGATCTCTGGTAGCCAGTGATGGATCAAAGTTAATTGGTAGCTATCGACGTTTTCATACAATATTACTTTCCGTCCAGTACAAGATGGACTATTTTTCATTCCAGGGATCAATGTTCATTGGTGGATATCGACGTTTTCATAGAATTTTAGTATTTGTCCAATATAAGTTGAAATAGAATCAATTAAAGTGAAAAATTGTAATAAAATGATAACAATTAACCAGTTTCAGATTTTTTTCCTTTATATTCACCTAATTACCTATCTGCATGCCAAATTTGAACTTCCTAGGTCATCTGGAAGTGGGTTATAATTTTGATCTATAGTTGATCAGTGATAAAAATGACGATATTTGGACGTTAATATCTAAATAACCGTTTGAGATATGTTTATGAAATTTGGAACACATATTTATCTCGCAAGTCTCAATATATGAACCAAATTTGACAGGTTTATGTGAAGGAGTTTTTGAGTTATGAGGGGGTCAAAAGTGGCTCCAAATGGTTCGTGTAAATATACACACGGTGCTGCTCGCCAGTTACTTGAAACTCGGCTTGACACGCTACCGCGTGTCTAGACTTAAGAACTAGTAACTAATATTTGGAGTTTTTTTTTATATATTTATAATTGTTTTTTTTTTGGAGTCCTTTTTTTACAGTTTCATTTATTTTTATAGATTTAGTTTTGTATATTCCACAAATCCTTAACCTGCATGAGTTTCCCGCATGGGTGTGTTTATTATGATTTTATGAATGAAATTATGTTGATTAAAACAAAAGTAATATGGAACCAAAGAGGGCGCCAGTGTATTATAGTATAAATAACCGGCTATCAAATGAATGCACTTGTCATATGTATGCCAAATTTGACAGGCACGTTTTCTGCTAAAAATCAAAAACAGATACGTAACAAAATAAAACATTTAAAATTTTATACACCTCTAATCTATTAAAAATTATTACAAATACCATTTCTTTCCTTTAATTCTATCGACACAGTATTTAAAAATGGACGAAATGGAAAATGAACTGGAAAGAAATAGATCTAAGGTCAGTAATGTACCTATTTTCATATTTTTAAAATAATTATCATATTCCAGTATTAAATATTTTCTTATATTTACTAATACTACTTGTAAAAAATGTTAAACAACCTATTATATAAATCCGAAGTGTGAGGGTGAATCTAGTCTGTTTATTAATTTAGATTAACTATAGTTTTGAACAAATTATATCAAACAAAATATTTTTATGTTAATGATGGGATGCTGAATGATGATGGGAAACCAACTGATTCTGGGAATTTTAGGCGTTTTTATGGGGATTATTCTTCTCACACCCGTGAGGAGGAGGTGCACTTCAATTTTTTATGTTTAAATTTGAAATAGGATATGAATATAACATAGCTATTTATTTAATTTATTCCTATTTCCTTTGATGAACTAGTACTTTCCTCTTTTTCTGATTCATTAAGAAAAATAAAGTAAATCCCAATCTTCTTAGTGTTACTGTTATATCAGGTTAAATTATCAGCAAAACATTTCCAGGGAGCATATGACTTTTTCCATGTTTAAATACTATATAATTTAATAATTCTATGGTACTACTAATATAATAGTAACTGATTATACCTCATTTCATTTATAATATTATGCCTTTATCCATAAAAAACATATATACTTCAAAAAGTGAGTGTATCTGACCTTGTGATGTAAATAAAAATGTCTATCTATCTAAATATCTAATTTATTTATTTATTCATTTGCTTTCCATTATGTGATAATAAGGGTTGACATAATATTATTATAAGAGCACTGAGGACTCAGGGTCCTGAGTTAGGATTGAAGATAGTGTTCTTAAGAGATTTATTTTACATAATAATATTATATATTCTTATTGACATACAGGATTTAATGATTGCAAAGTAAGTTTGGAATCTATTCTATCTATTTTGTTTTTTAATTGTACAGAAGAATTAATTTATATGTTCATTATTCATAATTTTCAATATTCACTTCTTACTGTGACTTCTAGGATCGGAGTCCATCACCTGGGGTAAAGTCTACAGCTGTAGTCAAGTACACAGCATTCCAAAGTCCTGTTGGATATGCTCGATTACAATGTAACACAGATCTAAATCTGCCCCCATCTAATTGGGGTGCAGCTATCGATTCTTATGGTCTAAAACAGATATTAACTGAAAGCACAGGGTTATCCAGGTAAATCTATTATTATTACTTAACCCCTATATCTACCAAAATACATTTCACATAGTTCCAGCATATATTGCAAAGTGAAAATATATATTTTAATACTTTTTCTTATGTAATTAGAATAGCATACAAACTATATATAACTTATGTGTTGCCTTATGAGAGGATAAAATGTCAATATTTACTAGAATTAATATATCCTACAAACCCATTTATATGACAGTTTTTTAATTAAATATTATTGCTTTTGAAGTAAAGTAAAAAATGTATAATATGTTTTTTTTGTTTTAGTTTTCGTATGGCACATATGTTTCCGGACTCTGTTGGAGAGGTGGATGTCATATCAGGTGCTGAGTGTATAAAGAAGCTTCTGAAATTACCATATCATTCAAACGCCACGGTAGTTATTATATTTACATATGGGCTTATATTTATATATGATTAGTATTTTATGGCTCTTATTTCTTCAACAGCGATTTATGTAAAAAAATTTAATGCCACTTATAAAAAAAATTAAAAATGTTAGGGGCGGACAACACTTATCACTTGGGGGTATATAACAATATATAGTAGCTGGTATTAGGAGTTATATTAGGAGTTAGGTTTTATATTACCTAATTTTATATTAGAAGGAATATTTAACTAACATTGTGACATGATAATTCTATATATATAAGATATTCAGTGAAGATCCCCTACTGACTGATTTATATATGATATATGTTTTGTCATTATTATTATGGATTAGGCTAACTGTCCTGACTTCATGCTAATCCTCCACTGGTGAAATGCCAGTGTATAACTTATTAAAAAAAAGGTATCAATTCATACCTGTATGAGCATATATGTCTAACTCATCATTCATATTTCTCTTTTTCATTCATATTTCATCATTCATAGTTCTTCAATTATCTGGGAGGCAAGTAAGACTATATTGAGTCACTGCTCCATTAAGATATCGAAAGCTATGTTAGCCATGAGTAATATAGATTAATACTCCATTCGTTCTGTGGGTTACAGCTGATGTTCTATAATATACAATTATATTATTGTATTAGGTAAGCATGATGGTCCACCGCGTTGAGAACACCCTGTTATTGGACGACTTTGATGTATATGACTATCTGAGGAAGACAGAATGGTCCTGGCTAAAGGACTTTTTCTACGAGAACATATTAAAGACAATGTCTGAACAGGTGAGAATAATCATAAACATATATGCGCGTTTTTAACCTAGTTTTGAAAAAGATTGTAATAATTTATAATAAAATTTATTTTGAACTATCAAGATCAGGAAGATCATCTAATCTCAATATCGATTTCGATCCAATCCAGAATTTTCGATCCAAACTCAAAACTAATAAGTTATTGCAATCAAAATATGTAATTAATATCTTTACATTATTTAATATCCTTGTATTTACAAAAGAAATGAAGCAAGTGATATTATCCTAATCATATTGATATTTTCTATTAGATATTGTACTTTACGGGGAGTCGATTATGTTTGTGTGCAGGAGCGCATGAAGCTGTCACTGGCTCCAGGTCCCAGTTCAGCACTCCAACTGACACACAAGTTCCTGTCGCATAGTGTCACGGAGCCCGTTCCTCCTGCATCTTCCACACCCGCCGCATTGCCCGTGCCCGTGTGTATCGCTGGTAAGTTAGGCTGGTAACATTAGTACTTAGATTGCCAGAATGCTACTAATGTTCCGATGGTCTCCAATTGACCCATTTGATTGTTACCCTCCGCCCTCTTTGGAGGTGGCCGCGCACTTACCTCTATCCACAAGAGTGTCCCGCATTATTTTTTTCTAAAGTTAGCCAAATCCTATAAAAATAGTATTGACATTACCGAGCGTCGTCTTAAATAAGCCATGCTAAGTGAAATGTCTGCTTAAAGTGCGACGTAAATACATGTTTTCATTTTAGGGCCATTTTTACCTGAACCAGAGACTAAGCATGAAGAACCACCGACCGAGCACCTTTATAATAGAAACGTACTTTGGACCTTTGAAGACATTCATATGCTCATTGGGAGCGATCTACCTATCTTTGGAGACAAGGACCGACCCTGCGTCAGTCTACGTTTAAGGGACGCGAGAGAACCAATAAATGTTCTGACTGGTATCGACTATTGGCTCGATAACTTGATGTGCAACGTCCCGGAGGTCCTAATGTGTTACCATCTCGACGGAATAGTTCAGAAATACGAGCCCATGAAGACGGAGGATTTGCCTACTATGGAAAATTCTAGATTCTCACCCAAAGTGATTAGAAATGTTGCACAGAATATACTTTCGTTTTTAAAAGCTAATGTTACGAAAGCAGGACACACATATTGGTTATTTAAAGGCCCACATGATGACATAGTGAAATTGTATGATCTGTCGTCTTTATGTCCTGATAGTTTGGACAATTCGTTTACAACCCCAGTTGCTATGTTGCTGTATAGGGTAGCAAGGAATATGAGGTTAATGAATAGAACTAGACATGTGAAGCAGTTGTTGGAACATGTTATTGAGTTGTTGAAGATGGAAAGACACCCGCAGATCGTGGCATCATCCCATTATATGTTATCTGACCTGTATGTGCCAGCAACAACAAACCCAGCATGTCCAGACTTTAAAGGTGAGAGACATGTCACTTTTCGAGTTTATTTAATTCAACTGTTCCTTACTAGTTGCGGTGATTCTTATTTGTTTATTCAATAGATATATTTTCCGTCTGGTTGGTCTCATATACCTTTTTTAGAAATATGTTATACATTTGTTTTATACTAAAATTTAGTATTTAGAGTAGGTTACTTATATCCAAAAGTGATTAGAAAATCAATTATAGTCAAAATGGATACATTGGAATTATGATAAATATATTGCAAAATAAAAATAAATATAGTTTGGATGTACTCGTAATTTAAAGCTAAGAAGAACTGACGAGAAAATAAGCTTTTACTGTTTTCAATGAGATTGAACAATATGACAATGACTTTTTGTAATATTATATAAATCCTAAAAGTATAATCCCCAGTTTTAAAGTGCACATATATTCTGTAGTAAATAAGTAGTGTAGTGTATAAGTAAATTAAGGTAACAAGCCTGGAATTTAATATCCGGGGCTGGTTAGAATTATAAAAATAATAATAACGATATAACAATATATGTTGCAAGTCAGTTTGAAGGTAAAATATCTCCGTTTATCATCTATTATGGCTCTCATTCCTTATACACTGTAAAAAAGTGATGAGTACACATTGTATATGTTAACAATCTCCTCTAAGTTCTCTTAAAAATTAGATACATATATTTTACAGATGAGAGTTCAGACTCCGATGAAGAATCCGATTACAAATGCGAATTTGCTCAAGAAGTATCAAGTGAGCATGAAGAAACTACCTCAGATCAATATACAACTGAATTTGCCTACAAAAGCGATAATGGAGCATCTGACAAACCATCTGCAAGCAAAGGAACCAGACCTCGTAAAAGATTTTCAGATGGTGGAAGGGAAGCAAAGGAAAGTTCCGAGAAAGATAGCGAGAGTGAGGCTGACAGCAAAATTCTTGCGGTTCAGATTCGTGGACTAGCTCTAAGAGACATCGGGGATCGAGTTAGGCATGACATGGGTGTAAGTATATATATACAACTTAAGGGGGTCTTCCTATGTGACGGCCTGTTTTTTAGGGATATTTTAGGATTTTTTTTCTACGACCAGTAAATATTTAGAGCTTCAAGTTTTTTATCATTTATTAACACATATTTGGACAGTATAAATATAAAATTTCAGCTAAAAATATTCAGTCAAACTAGAGTTACAGTGCTCTGAACACCCCCGCCTCGAAAAAAAGAGCTCCCACTTCCTCCACGATTCCGGCTGATCGGCTTATCTGAAAAAAAAAAAAAAAAAAACGGCGTTTTAATTTGTAGGCTTAAAAGCACGGAATGACCTATAATCAAATGAATATAAAAAAAATTGGATTTTTGATAGACATTTGAAATAAAAGTTGCAAATTAGGCGTTTTTTGTTTTTTGTTTTTTGCTATAAAAAAATCGAAGTTTTGAAAATTTTCGATTGATAATAGTTCATTCCATGCGTTTACATATATTGAGTGTGCCCTGTAAATTTCAAGTAATTCGGTCCAGCCGTTTCTGAGATACAATGGAGGAAAGTTTGAAAAACACAGTTTTGAGAAAAACGCGTTTAAAGTTTCAAGTCCATTAAAAACTATTAAAATATCAACTTACTCTCAATCGGCGATGCCTGGTCCATAGAGTATTCCTTCCTCTTCCTCGTACTCTTTTAAAGCAGATTGTTCAGCTCTTGAGTCAATCCTGGCTTGTTTAACGACATCACTTACGCGCCGCTCAGAGCGTAAGATTCGCTTTTCATCCCGTTTCTCAACATACGCTTGGGCTTCACGACCAACAGGGCATCCCATAATCGACATAACTTTTAAAATACCTTGAAAACCTTCATTAAAGATAATAACTGCTAAGTAGCTAGCAATTTCAACAACTTTGGGACCAGAATGAAGATGTTTAGGAGCGAAAGTCCAAATCACACTCACACGATAAAATAATTTTAAAGCCTAGGCCTCGGAAACTTGATCGCGAAATAGACACGTCACTTTTACAAGTTTTACATATAACTATTTCAGAGATTGCAGCAAATACAGAAACAAACTCCAAAATGCAATATGCGAAATTCGAAGCGATGGGAACATTCATGTTCATGTTATTTTTAAGTTTTTTGGCCGAAGCTGATGTAAATACCGTATCATTTTGGTGGGTAAAACGGTTTCCACTAAACTTTCTTTTTTTTACTACGACCAGGATGAACATTTCCACTCGTACTTCCTTTCCGTCCACTCATTATGAAAAAAAATAATTTGTAGCTGTTGCTCTCTTCGAAGTTCAACCAAGACTAAAATAACTTCGGTAAAATATTATAACAATAGAAATTTCTGTTTAAGTCTGTAGAAACGTGTCTAAACTTGTATAAACAAATATATTAATAAAAGGGAGGCCAGGTATAAAGCCGACGGTACACAATAGGCCCGGTCTCTAACTGCCAACTCACCGCTCCGAACCGCTCTTTCTTTTACCTGCTGTATCTTTAAAACGACTTCGAATTTTCTAAAATCGCTTTACTACCGTATTCTAGACATGTTAAGGGAGCAATTTATGAAAAAAAAAAAAAATCGATTTTTTCAACCCATCACATAGGAAGACCCCCTTAATGAGTATTATTTTTATATAATTTGATTGCAAATAAACTAAAAGTAAACGGTAACCGTCGCTTATATACTCGAGTCCAATACCAAATCTACTATCTTTTCGTCATTCAAATGAAATGTTTAGTATAGTTCCACACATTCCGCTTTATGTGAATACATGCAAATTATATATGCTTCTGTAAATAGTTATATAATTGCAGATAGCATATTATATTATACAATTTAAAAAATGATTCTATATTAACGTTTAGTTATTAGACTAATATAATCCAGTTTTTAACTCATTTTACCATTCATATTCTCAAAATCTTTTATTGTATAAAAATATTTCTGAACTGACTATTTACATATTGTTTCCTGAACTGAATAAAATGTATCCAGGGGAGCAGACGGCGACGAGCGCGGGGGCGCGGGGAGAGGTCCGGCGAGCAGTCCTCCGCAACAGAAGACGTGCCGGCTCGCTGCGGACACGCCCTCGACCACGCGCTGCGGGGGCTACTAGCTCTACACAGTGTCACCATACACAACAACAAGGTCACCTGAAACTCGTATCTAGAAGGCTTCGCTAGCCACATTGCTCCAATCTCCAATGCAAACATTTAGAATGTACAATAATATTGTTTGACAATATGATTTGTCAATTTTTATACAGACCGATATAAATAATCATACTCAAGAATACAAATAATTGTACCGTGCAAGGAATCGAACCTGAATTTGTATTCATGAGTATAATTTGTACTTGTAGGTATATCTTATATATAAAATATAGTTACGAAGCTAGTTACGAATATATTTACAAAAAAAATCTTTTAAACAGTTGAGAAGTACCCATAGCTCTGCTTAGCACCATCCCATGCTGTGTAAATTGTCCTAGATTATTAAAGTACAAATTTCAAATCCGAAAACTGTTCATATACCAATAATTTCTTCTTCTTCTTCTTCGTCTTTTTTTCAATCTTCTAGAGCAAATAATTCAAAACTTGGGTTATATCGCTTCTGTGTTAGGGGCTCAGTAATGATGAGCCAGTCAGTATAATAGTATATTACAATATATATTTATATGTCGAAAACAGGTAACATTATATCAATTTTATGAGCAAGTGCGTTGAAAAGTACAATATTTATAGTATTGTTAATATATATAATTATAATGTTAAAACATAAAATCAATTAATTTAATTAATACTGTACAAATAGGAAGAAGAACGCGAAAGATTGAGACAGCAAATAATAGTTGAAGAACAGCACCCTAAAATGGCGAACCCATACGAGCCTATCAAAATGGAATACGAGACTATAAATAAGGAGAAAGAAACCAAAGAACATACATCTAGAAGCCGGCGAAGAAGGCGAGAAAGGAAAACCACTGACAAATCCGAAAATTGCCTTATAGAGACCACATCGAACATAGACAAGAATGCTATATTGATTCGCAAAGATAAGAATACGTACCCAACATGGCAAGAGCCGAATAGAGATGATAATTTCGCTTGGAAATTGCACTTGAAAACGTTGTTATATGAAAAGATATGTTTGGCTTACGCGACATTAGCTGAATATAGTTATTCTAATGGGCAATATGGTTTCTCTTTAAAATACATAGATATGGCGAGCAAATGTCAGAAATTATTAAGTAATATGATTATAAAAAGTAGAGTAGTTGATCCTGGATGTCTTATAGGACGAATTGGGGATAACTTTTTCCAGATAAGCAAACATTGGCACAGATTGGAACAGTATAAGAAGCAGTTTGAGACTTACCATGATATAGACAGTAAGTTGAGACTGGAGATAGAGAATGATATGGCAGAAGAGGTAGATGGTGTTGCGGGTGACGAATTTGATCTTGGTAAGTTTTATTTATTTAAATTCAAGCACGTAGGTCTATCTACAAATTTGATAGTTTTTTTACTGGCTATAAATTATATTAGTTTATAAATATACTTCTTTTTGCATTTCCTTTCGCCCGAAAACTTTAAAAATGGTTAATACAGTATAAGGACTCTCACAAACAAAAACAAGCCAACTCACCTGTAAAAATTGTTTTTTTATAAAAATATACCTTCCGTATTTTGAAGTTCAATTTAGTTCTTATTTATTTTAATACGTTGTCTACAATTATGTTACAATTAAAACCTTGTCCATAACAGCAAGAATAATATCACTGTATATATATTGATGGCGTTGTCATCTAGTGAGCAGTAGAAAACAAGTTACAATAATTTAATTTTTTTCTTTTTGAAATCCGATTATAATTATAGTTTACAATAATATAGCTTACACATCAGAATGGCTATAAATTTTACACGAGTGAGCCACGGGTACTGCTAGTCAACAATGTATGTATGTATATGGTGCAGACATATCCCTGCCTAGCGGCGAGACGGACTCGATGTTGCGGTCGTGTGCGTACTACCGGCGGGCCGCGGCCGCCGCCTGCGACAAGCGCGGCGAGCTGCTGCGGCGACTCGCCTCCGTCAACAACGAGCTGGCCGTCCGCTACATGAACGACGCGCAACGTGAGTACACACCCAGACACTCCACAGCTCTACATAAAAAACAAAACTAATTTAATTCATGGAAGGCCACGGAGTACACAACCAGCTCCTCCACTGCGTCTACATAAAAACACAAAACGAGTAAATTTCATTGAATGCCTCTGCGTCCACAACCAGCCCTTCCACTGCGTCTACATAAAAACACAAAACTAATTGATTTCATTGAAGTGGAAGGGTGTTTGTGTACTCTGAATACAAACAACCATCCACTGTGTCTACATAAAAAACAAATTAATTTCATTGAACGCCTCTGTGGTCTAGTGGTTTAGCACACCACGTTACTTCCGATTGTCGTTGATTCGATTCCACACACGATGCAAACATTTGTATTCCTGACTGATTGTTTGTATTGATTTAAATGTTTTCTATGTGTATTTTGTGTGCATTTACAAATTAAATGTATTCAAGTATTTCTTATTATCAGTTGTTTAGTACTCATAACACAAGCTATGCCTAGTTAAGGACCATATGGTGTTGTGTAAATTGTCCTGGGTTATTTTTATTATACAAATATGTGCAATTTATGACTAATTTCTTGCCGAACAATTTTTTGTATTTTCTAATATATTTCTAGATAGTCCTGCAAATATAGGAATCTGTGTTCTCTTATAACGTAGTGATTACTAGTTTCTTGTACACAACAACCGTATGTAATAATATACGATTAAAAAAAATACGTATCTGTGCAGAGATCTACCTACAATACACAGAGGAGGATGATCAAAACTCAGATAAGGCAAAAGTTCTAATGAAACAGTTCTCAACACTGTCTCAGCATTCTTGCGAATGCCTGGAGGAGGCGACCGGAATATTCCAACAAGTGAATGATGTACCAAACCTCGCGCTACTCTACTGCAACAAGGGACGGTATATGAGGTTTAAGGCGTATTGTGACCAAGGGGGCTTTGGGTAAGTCACTGAATTTGTTCAAATTATTTGATTATTTTAAAGGAATAAATATGTACTACTAACACATTAAAATTGTTTTGATTTTATTTTTTGGTGTATTTAATGTTTCATTTAAATCCAACACTTCATTATTGTGTTGAAATAATCAAGTAATTTGAATGTTATGCTGATTTTTATGTGACGTGTGTAATGTACTTAAAAAGTACATTAGACACGTCACAGTTACAGTCTAATAAAATGAACTACTTTTCTACTATTCTCTGAACTTTGATATTTGATGCCCCTTTCCAAAGTAGTACTTTATGTTTAGAGAATAGACGATATTACCAACAATACGCATACAAATTGATTACATTTGAAACGTTTAAATAAATAATTTTGTGTAAATTGTGTTTATGTAAAATTAGCAATAGCCGTGACATTGTCTCGTAAATATTTTTTGTTTGTACATTAGTGAATATCGTAGCCATATCAGTTTAAGCCATTTCTGAGATTAGCGCGCACAAACACACAAGACAAAAATTGTTTTGGGATCTATTACATTAACAGTCCCCTAAAAATATTTTTTTTATATATATCTTTGATGTACCCACAGACATAGGTCAGTTACAATTGTATATATGTATATCCATGAACTATAATTTTCAACAGACCAGAAAAACGTAGTCTGTATAATAAAGCTGAGGAATTGTATACAACTGCCATAAAATTGTTGGGACCGCGAGAGACGTGCGGCGCCGCGTCCATCTGGGATCTGGTGGCCTGGGAGCTCTCCTGCCATCTCTACACCAAGGCGGTACTGATGCAGGACTGTACTGTCGGCGTGAGTGCCCACCACTTATATCAGTCATAAGTAGATTTATAACAAACGAGGCAGTCAACGTGAATGACTATTTCAACCTAACTTTCTATTGTTACGCATTTTAATTCGTCCCCAGAATAAAAACCTATAAATGCGCGGCACAGATTTAAGTATGTGTATAAAGTTAGAACACCTTTGTACTTTTGTCCACTGTCCGTCTTATATGTGATTTTGAAAGCATCACAGCCATCATTTTTCATATTTCCACAATGTCCAGTATTGTACAAGGATAGTTACTTATAATACATGTTGTATATACCTATATTTACAAATTCTGAAAGTTACTACTTTTGCAGGTACCCCCCACCCCGTCGGAGGTGGCGGATGCGCTGAAGCAAGCACTGAAGCAGTGCGTAGTGGGCGGCGGACCGCGACAACATCTCTACCAGTTTCGGGCGGCACTTTTGCATCATCGCCTGGCTTCGCTACATCATGCACAATACAGGTAATGTTAATATAATAGATATATTGTAAAATATAGTATGTATTTTTAGTATTAATAAAATAAAGTTTGCCATTATGCCTGGGTACGTTTACCATCTCATCGTTCGCCATCGACAGGGAATTCATCTCCACATGCTGATAATGTACAAGAACATTGCGATTTCCAGAGGAGCTTTCTCCCGCGTACATTTATATTATGAAATGAACTACCGATGTTTTCTGTAAAGATTACAGTATGGGGTATTTCAAGAAGGGTATATTATGGTTCCTTAATAGTTGGCAATACTCCCTGGGTGTTGTAGGCGCCCATAGATTACGGTTACCGTTTGCCAGGCCGTATGCTTGATGCCCACTACAGTCGTATATAAATCTCGAATATATTTCATCGCCATCACTTCAGGTTACTTGACTAACTCTATTATGTTGTGTTTCTAATTACTAATGTTAACGAGATCATATGATTCTGGTTATGGCACCTCGCTGTATTATGTACATAATGGGGATTTAAGTGGATAAAAATTTAACACACTTCACCAGCTGAGATATTGGGGTGGAGTTCTTGGTAAAGATTGTTCACACGTTAAAATATTTATATAAATGCTCATACTAATTGAGAGTCCTGTCTATTCTGAGCGCAACTATTTCGTTTATAGTATCAGTAAGAATGATTCTTAAATTGTACAGGATAACGCAGGAAGACGGTCCCAAGCGACGCACTCTACTGAATGCAACACGCACCAACTACGAACTCGCGGCAAATATGTTCGCAAGTCTGGAGGACGCGAGTATGTTCCTCACAGTACAGATGGAGCATGTCGCCGTGCTAGAGACGCAAGCCGCATGTATGTTAATATTTATTTTAAATTTATCTTCTCCCAAGTTCTTATTTTTATTTTACCCAAGGCATACTTTGTGAAAACTTAGTTGCGTGTTTATTAATATGTTAAACGGATTTTGACACGTATAATTTTATGGTAAATAATCTATATAAAACGTCCTGCTCAGGAGTCGACTCAGCAGTGAAAAGAGTGTTTACTTATTTCTTGCCTACTTAATATTCTCTCAAAACGTTTCAATATTTTATAATTTTATTGTATAAAGTTATTTTCTCTTTTTTCAGTATCACCAAATGTAAAATTGAAGTCTCTTCAAACTGCCATCCAACTACTACGTCAATCCCACTCTATCATGAAGCTGATGAAAGATAGAGATCCAGAAGAACAGAAAGATGCAAAACCAGAAGACGGCGACGAGAAAAACGTCAAAAGCGAAAATGGCCTGCTAACACTGTATGAGGCTAGATTACATTTTATATTAAAAAGTATCATACAATATTGTAGGTCTAAGTCTAATAAAGATTACGAGAAAATGACGGACATGTACAAGAAATTGTATTGTTGTAGTCTTAAAATAAAAAAGGATAAAGATATCCGTTTATATGCAGCTAGTCTATGTGATGTATTGACAGCTATGGATGATATAAGTAAAGAATTCGAGTAAGGATTACTAAATATTAGACCTGTACACAGCATTCTAACAAAACTAAGCAACACATTCACATGTATACCTTGCTTTTGTTTATATTATTCGTATGGTATGATAATGACATGTACAGGCGTATATGAAACAAACTTGTTTCATACATGTCTAAAGTATAATACATTAAAATCTATAGCTTTTCTAATATATATGACCCATTTTATGTTTGTATTTACGTTTGTAATTACAACTCTTAAAAGATTCATAGAAATTATCAAACATATCGATTTTACTGTGTTACAATTAGTAGCAGCTACATTAAGTAATAAAGATTTGCTCAACAGAACTTTTGTTTTTTGATCTGTTTTATTAAAAGCTTTAATACTAATTGGGGGTATGTACCTCCAATAGTGTCTAATTTATATATAGATAGAATATGTGAGACTGATGTGATATGTTATAGTGTTACTAATGTAAGGTGATATTTAAAATATATTGTTATTAACAATGTACATTGTTATAATTTATATTAATGTAATGTTAAATATTATTATTTTTATGCGAATTTTATAGAATATTTGTATATATGACACCCGGGGTATCTTATTTACGGGGTACTTTAAACATTACCATAAATTAACAATTTTTACAATACATATAATACATTTGAATAAGTGTATTAATTATCTTTCACTATGTAATTTTATCTTATCTATGCTTTCACTTATTTACCAAATTCGCCGTTCAATTGTCCGGAAGTCAAAAGTAACAAAAATATATGAGCAAAAATAAGATACAGTGAATTGTTATTGTTGTTGTAAATTAAAGTACCTAATTAAAGACTTATAAGTTAGGGGATTAATGAAATAAAAAAAAAAATCCTTTTTTTAATAACAAAATATATTAAAAATCCATTAACGACATTCACCTACTAATATTATAATTGACTGAAAATTACTTTAAAGAAAGACTTCAACAGTAATAAAACAAATATAGAAATAATAAATGAGGCAGATGTAATATCGTCTATGGGTTAAAAATAATTTAATATTTACAAAATGATAACAAAAAAACTATATCACAATATTTACATAACACGTGCATACCTTCTACTACATATAGCTTCCTGTATCTATATTATTAAGTAGGTTAAATGAAATCTATACTTACACGGTGTTACGAACTACGAGTACAATAATCGCATTGACCTAAGCTACCCTGTTATGAGAATCGGGTAAAAATACAGAACACTATTAAAATTTCATTCATGAACTTCTAGCCTAACTGAGAACGGAATGTATAATTTTTTTTTGAACTTAGAGAATAAATAGATTAATGTACCTTTACTTTACAATAATATGGAATTAGTATTATTACATATTTTATATATTCGTATTATCACAGAATTCCTATAACAATAACAAAATATAAGGTATTGCACTCACAGAAAATTCTGAAATCATATTTTTTTCATGTTTCTCTTTGGTCTGTGTTTTAATCATAATGTTAAATTCGGGTTTCTGTGGTATAAAATATAATTAAGTTAGGTTAAACTAAAGATATGCTATACTTATACACGGAGCTTTTTAGGGTCCAACAGTTGATCTGTTTATGATTGCTCTCCTTTTTTGGTCCTGGAAAAAACGAAAATGCTTTTGTTAATATCATGTTTACCTGAATATCTTTCAAGTTATTTAACATTGGGTATGAAACAGTGGCAGCAGCAACTACCTGAAAACTGTCATTGTAAATTCCTAGCAATATGGCCACGCTGGACTAACTTCCATGACTCCATGTGCCATGTCATGCTATTATTGTGCTGTGACTAGTGACATGTTATTATTATCCTCCACTGGTAATGCGCCAGCGTATACCATTAGCGCAGGCAGGTGCAACAATCCATAAACGTCGATTAATTAACGAAATATGTATACTAGCTGATTTCGTAAACGATGTTTTGCTATGTAAATTAAAATTGCTATTGCCACATTATAAAAATAAAAAAAAATTGAAGATATAGTAGCCGATTCTCAGCATACTGAATAGCATATAAAATTTCATAAAAATCGGTCAAACCCTTTTGGAGCTTTATGGTAATTACTATTGTTACACAAGAATTCTATATATAGGATACCTTTCTTTAATTGAGATTATCAATGTCCAATCTAATTGCCAGTAACAAGGGCCCACCTGCCAGATAACATGTCTTCGATCTCCTGCAAGCTCTTGCCTTTAGTCTCAGGTACTATGAACATCGCGAAGAAGAACGACACTACACAGCACGCGCCGAATAACCAGAAAGCCACGTGCATGCCAACTGCCACTGCTATGCTGTTGAAGTATCTGTAAAAATATGTTACGAAAATATGTACATACTTTCATATTTTTTGTAAACTTACGTTTGTTGATGAAATAGGTACCTTGAAGATGATGACGGATGAAGTAAAAAACATTGTAACGGAGAACGAAAACATAGCAAGTTCATTAAAATCCCGTACTTGCAGTGAAAAGAAATTTGATAATATATGTGTCTCAAAGTGACTTTTATTGCTAATATCGCTATTCAATATAAAATTGCCATATTGGATTTAACTATGCCGATTGTTATATGTACCTACACCACATTTGATAATATTTTATTTTTAGTACCGATTGTATTGGAAATATTGTACTTTTTTTTATTTTCATTCGGATATACCAAATCGGGATTAGAATTTTCAAAACAATCGTATTATTTAAACAAGGGTATGATACCACCTATCGTATCAAACCCCAAATCATGTACTCTTTCTAAGACAGAAACTTTAAGCAGCGGTGTTTTGACTTATGATGTGATATGAAATTTAAACGGCCTTGGTGGTATAGCTATTTAGCACACCGCCTTTTTTTGAATGGTCACGGTGTCAAGCGTTTATGACTGAAATTTGGTGTTTTCTATGTAGGTATCTACAAAAAGTACATCAGTTCTTTATTTAATACTATACATAACGCAACCTCTGCTTAGCTTGTGCTAGATGACCATTTGTGTTATTATTATGACTATTATAAATAGAAAATTATGGGCTCTTACCTTGTAACAAAGAAGGACAAAGTCCAGCAGAAAGCAGTGGCTATTGGAGAAGCGATAGCCTTCACTTCCATGGGCATCAGTTCACCCATAACTGCCCAGGGTAACGGCCCCAGACCCCAGCAGTAGGTTACGATAAACAAAACGAGCGACAGGAGTGGTAGGAAGCCGATGCTTTCGGCAACACTACTGTCATTCTCCGCTAAGATGAAGTACATACCGAGGAGAGCCTGAAAGTGAATAAAAGTTGATAAAATTTTTTGCATATATTTATTATTTTTTTGTTCCCCAAAACCCATCTACAAAGTAATTGTTATTAATATAAGTTATTGTAAACAATAAAAAAAAATGAAATTGTTTAACTTGTCAAGTTATTTATGAATAAGGAAAATAAGGAATCATTTTAATGTACCATATAGAGTTCTGGAGAATACATATTTCTGGAATATACATTTCATATTCAATACATTTAAAGGTTTTGAAATATAACTCACTAGACCAATGGCAGAGCCACACGAAGAGATCAGCAGCAACAGTCGTCGTCCGAGTCTGTCTACGACGAATGGGGTAATGCATGATGCACCCACCTAGGAATTGATAAAGTTTAATAATAATTTTATTTATATAAAATTAAAAAAAAACTCAGAAAATAGCTAAATAATAACTGGCAATTTTATAGTGGAATCACAACGTATGATTACTTTTAATAAATGGAGTTCGAATGTTAACCACGTACATCATTCGAAGGGACGTGTCATTCGTTGAAAATGCCACGGAGAATTTTACCTGAACAGCACCAATAATGATAGTGGCAATAGCCGGGTCCAGATCGGATCCTGCCGCTTTGAAGATGTTTGTCATGTAGAACAGCACAACGTTAATACCACTGAATTGCTGGAAGAATACCAATGCGCACGAAATATAGAACGCCTTGAAATTACCGCCACGGAACACATCTTTTATCTGAAATTAAAAAAATATACAACGATCTTTAAATCAGTTAGAGTTGTTAGAGTCACACACACGTGGTAAGTCGAGCGTTCTGTATGTTACGAATGATTAGATAAATCAACAACAAACTGCCTACTTTGTAGATTGTTATTTTTAAAATATGAAAATCCATTACAAATTTTTATTACCTAGGTATATTATATACTACAATACACTTCATGATTTTCCGGAATATAATCTAGGTACTTCTACGCTTATGCCATTCAAATGCTTTATTTTATATATGCTGTTTTCCCATATATGTACTGTATAGTTTCAATTGTGTAGTAGGTATCTATAGGTTTAACTACGTGTTTTAGCAGTTGAAGTCGTTAAGGCGTAACAGCGTAACAAACAAATAAACTTACTATATATTTATTAATTAGGACAAAAACTGAGAACCGCAAGAAGTTGACTCCTAAAAATACAATAATTCTATATTAGTTACCGTAGCAGTTTTGTCCATAGCCGCTTTCACATCGCTAGCCATTTTATCAAGTTCAGCTTGTACTCCAGCCTCTGATTTTCCTCGAATGGTGGCCAGACTTTTAGATGCAGACTCGCGGTCATCTATGAATAAAAATATAGTCAATAAATTAGGAACTTATATAAAATTGATGTTCGTAGGACACACAAACTTGCAAGTATTCATCAAGACTGGACCTTGGGCCTAACATATTGAAAAAAACTTTAATTATAGAAGTAATATTCAAACATAGGTATTATATATAAACTACACAGATCTAGTTAATAAATAACAGTAAAGTTGATAGACAAGATGGACATTCCATTGCCTATACGGTGGACTTCATTTATCCTTCGACATAGGCTATTATCCTGGTGTACCAAGTATGCGGAATCATGCACTAAAAACACTTATTAAAATAATTCGCTATTATGCTTAGTTAATGGGGATTGCTTTTTAGCGGTTATTTGTTACGAGCGTCTCCTCCTCCACCGAATTCTTTCAACCAGCCATTATTGCCCACACCATTTATTTCAGAAAGATAATGTTGGAAACATGGTGCTGCTGATTCCCAAGCGTGGTGCCCCAAATCAACTTTCTTACCATAGTGACGACAACCGACATTTTAATCCAATAATTAAATAATATTTATAATATACTATATAATACTAACCTTTACTTAATTGATAAATAGGTGATTCTGGCATGAAGAAGAAGGCGATGTCAAAGACAGCCACCACAGCTATACCAACGTAAGCGATCGCTGCGTATGAGATGAACGGCCCAATGCAGTACACTATGAGGAAACCAATGGTAACGAACACTTGCAAGAAGGAACCTAGCGCGCCCCGAACTTCGTCCTAGAATATAACAAAGACATGTATCCATTAAATAAGTATGACTTAAAGGGAGGGACTTATATATTTTAACGAGGTTAACTGCACAAACTCATCTACATATATAGGCTGTTTGCGCTGCAAGATGTTTTTCCGTAGGGTTCGGTTTAAAAAGACTTAGTCTTCAGGAATGTTAACGCTCGAGCAATACCACGAGCTTCACGTGACCATGTTCATGGCACTTTTCAGATGTATAAGTGATGCGGACGGTTGCTACTTTTCATCATGTCGATCGGGTTAGCTTGATTGATGGTCTAACTGACCTGACTTCGATATCACCCTATCACCATCTAAGGTTATACCGCTTAATAATTGGAATATGTATGTACTAATAAAGGATAGCATTGGTGATGTCACAGATATCTTACCGTTGCAATCTCAGCGCAGTACATCGGCGTCAAAGTGAACAGCATACCTACAGATATACCCCAAAATATTCTGCCAGCGTAAAGCATGCCGACATTCTTGGCTATTGCGATTAGGATCCACCCTATGAAAAACGGTATTGAAGAGGAGATCAAACCCCACTTGCGACCTATTTTGGAACCTGCTAAACCACCGATGAACGGACCTGGTAACAAATATTGAATATGAGTTTCGGAATGAGATTTTGACCTTAATTTACGTAACAGATAACCTGATGGAAAGTGGCAATAGTGGTCTATATTTGTATATGTAAAATAGAACAATACAAATATGTGAAGGCCGAGTATCTTTATACTCTATAACTTCATCATCATATATCACCTATCACACTGAAATACAGCTTGTAAAGCTATAATAACTGTTTGGGGACAAAAATATGAGAGACAGAGGAACCACGCAGAATAAAAAAGTTTACGACTCGGTAAACTCGTGATTTTTTAGCACGATGTTGAGGATTACAATCTGGCAGTCGAGTGAGTAATGTCGACGAATTTTCGGTACAATCACAGCTGTTCAGCGGGTGCAATAAAACCATAGATAAGAGTACACGTAGGTACTATTACTCTTTAAGTTTGTTATTTATACTTTGTATATATAGAGATTGTATGAATGTTTTTGAGGGATTAAAAATAAGTAACTATATATATGAGGAAGAAGTACAGATAATACTACTATATCTTTGAGTAATCAGGAAATATGTAATTGTTGTAAGTAATTACAAAAACCAGTGGTCGCCGAATGGTTGACACTCAACCATAATTAATTTAAATTATAAGTTAATACATTATTAATGTTCTATGGTTAAAGATTGTACCTCTATGTATGTATATATATATATATATTAATTCCATGTACTTTTTAAGAATAATAAAAAAATAATAATAGTATGTCATCTTCTTATACATCGGCCATCATAGGTAAAGCCAAGTAGTAAGTAGTAACAGATATATTACAAAATCTCTGATTTCTTGCTTTTGGAAAAAAGCATTGGAAATCAAACATACATACCGATGATGGCGCCAATGTTGAGCAGTGATCCGATCCAGGCTTCCTCATTGCTGGTAATGGGTTTGTCGAGAGGAGAGTCAGTTACATTCTGCAACTTGATATTCACCGGCGACGTCCATCCCATAGAGAAGCCAGTAGCCGCGATAGCAATGTTCGCTGTTGTAACAGAAAACACGTTTAGATATTCGCAAAAATCAAGAATCATGAACTTTGAAATTCACTAATTTAAAAATGAACTTTCTTTACTTAGATATTATGTTATCTGTGCTTAGGGTATGTTACAATTACAGAAATGTAGGTATATCTGTAATAACAAGGTATACAATTTATTCTAAACAACGTGAAACAGAATTAAAGCAAATCAATATTATACATAAAATAAAAATAAAAAATAAGTTTGTAAAATTGTGTCCATGGTTTTTATAGAATAGTAGGTACTTATTATAAACGGATTACTTAAGTAGCGTAGTAGTAATTTGGACTTGTATATCTACCGAAGTTTACAATCAAAATATGCAAACAGAATTGTCATTACGATGTTAAATTATTTATCTAAATATAAACTAATTTATTTAGATATTATAATATACATACATACATAGACTCACTCTCACACCTATTCTGACATTTTCCTTTACATCTTAACATTGGATGATTTTATTTTATTTGGTTTAAATAGAATAAAATAAAATCATCCTGTATCGTATTTTATTCGACCTATATCACATGCATATATGTTAGAGACTTAGCAATCTGTATCTCAGACTCCAGCTTCTCACAACAATTGGGTGTCAACGTAATTCTATGTTAGATTATTTTATTAGACAGATTTGAGGTCGAATTGAAAAAGGGTTTTACCACAGACAGGATAATATTGTTTTAGCATTTAGATTCGGGACCCTAATAATAAAAACAGTTGTATTTAATGCAGTATGCCAACGTAAAACGTTCCACGTCGATATTTGCGAACTTGAGTCAATGTTATGACCATAAAGATAGTTTATCAGTGAATAGGCAACATAATATTCAAATATGTAACAGGCTGCAGTTTAAATATTTAGATGACAAAATTTAAATTATAGTAATATAACTTTACTGGGTATAAGTTTTATCTACATGAACATAACTATCGCCGTGGAGTTTCATCTTTGTAAAAATCTACCGACCTATCGCTGGCACGTGGGCACTACTGTCACCAATCATCATCAATATATGGTATAATATTATTTTCATAAAAGACAATTGTAGCCTACTTTATTTCCAAGTAATGTAGATATGTACCTACGCTTTTTACGTGAAAGAATTAAAAATTCAAATTCAGTATTTTTTAACTCTCTCGAAAACTGCGTCAGTTGGTTTACTATTAATTGACTTATAATTAAAATTTCCAAGGCACGTCGCTTTTTAACTGCAGCATTCATTCTTTCAGATTTGTATACATATATACCTACCTATATATGATACATATAGAACTACCATCTGGTAGTATTTGAGCATGACATGCTCTGAAATTAGTATTGTTCGTAGATAATACGATTACAAAAGTATTTTGTAATTGTTCAAGTGATAAAACGCTTACAAAAATATTGATAACGACCAAAACATATCCAGTTCATTTTGGTATGATTACGTTAGTTAGTGATATTTGTAGAAGTGTGTAGGTATGTAAGTGTGTAGGTACGTTTGATCAATATATATTTACTGAATTATTTTTAAGAACTTTCTTTTTCACATTTATTTAAATTGCAAGAACATTGTTAAACCTCAGTAATTTGATTACTGCTGTAGATTGTATTTTTGCTTAATTTTAGAAGTAATCAAGCAAGTGTTATTTCATTATGAAATGTAAATATTTTTCAGTAGAGGAGGTTAAAGTTGGGCAAAACAACATAATCCAGGGTTATACCTATATTTATTTATTATATCTCTCGTTGCAGGTGTTCTATATGGGATACGTAGGGGACGTATCCCATATAGAACGGTAATAGGTATAATATGTCCCTAATTTTAACGAGTTATTAAATATATTTCTTGTTTTTTTACCCTTGTTTGACCAAAATTGGGATTTGGACTCACTATAATGACAATATAAAATGAAAAATAACTGAATAACTCGATCAACAACAGAACAATTAAAGTACGGAAGTGACAATAGTATGACACTTGTTAGGTACATAATAGGCCTATTGTGAAATTTATTGTAGATCACAATATGTGGAGATGTACGAGTAGGTGTAGTATTCGCACAAATTTTATGCGAGTTTGTTACAACACATATTTTATAAGGGATTGAATATATAAATGTGTCGACTACAAACTTGCATGTAGAGAATTTGTAAATAAGTAAAATAATTTTTCTTTAATATTAAATTATATTTCTCATGGCAATGTTCTTATGCATAGTAATTACTTATTCCTAAGAATCAAACAAGAGATCTTTGCCTTTGCTCGAGAAAAAAAATCAATTATTAATTTTGAGTATATTTCTATGTTGTAGCTCATTATAAATGTATGTAACTTATTAAAAATGTATTTAATTACATAGTAATATTGAAATATTTTCCTATGTAATGAAACAGGTATATAACTACTGAAAACTTTTTTCTGGTAGGTATCTAACAGCACCAATGTCACCCATACTTTTGATGCAATCTAAGACATGCTAAGGATGCCTGAATGAGATCGTTATTTAGTGATAGGGATAGGCCATTGTAACCTCTTTGTCTTGTTCCGTGTTATCGTGTTTTTATCTTTTCTATTCTTTCGTAATAGTTGAAACATACAACTGTATTTTTTAGGTTTACGTTTCATTTCAATCGCCGTTTCAGTATGGATTTCCAAATTTGAGTGTTTGTTTCGAAAATTGTCACAACGCCATGTATTTTCAAGCTAAGCTTTTGTTACCACGCTCAGGTGTGATGGGCGATTACATACCTATTAGTAGGTATTTTATACTGCGCTGTAAATTTATTAATTTTTTCGTTTCCACTATTAGCAAAAATTAAACGATGCAGGTAGGGCAATAAGACGTGTTTACAAATATAAAAGTTATTGTTTTAAATAGGTAGGTACATATAATAGTTTGTTATTTTAATATACCTACGTTAGTTTATAGAGTCACTACAAATAGTCTGGCCATAAATACTATTACAATTAAAAATAAACAAAATATTAGGTACCTACTTACGTTTGAATTCGGAATCTGTCATTGTTTTATGGATGATCATTGTGTTTTCTCATTTTCTCGCCAATCAGTTGTCAAATTTTTTGTGATATTAAAATGGAGTGGGCTGATAAATAGAACCGAATCGCTGTGCCGAATTGCATTACACGAAGTAGATATTGAGCCTACAAATACAATTTTTGAAACTCGCCTGCCGTATTATTTTCCTCGAATGTTTGCCTACAAGGTTATTGATATATACAATGAAACCTTCTCTGTCTATGACAGAAATAAGATTTTTTTTTCAATTGAGCAATAGATATTAGGTATACAAGTAGAATGACCGTGTTTATGGTCAAAGATCTAAAGCGCTTTCCAATTAGTTAATAGAGTACAACGTGGATATTATCCCACACCAGTGATGGTTTGGTAGGGTGTTAGCTATGTTAGAGTGACTAAGCCATATTTTTGTGAACTATGTATCAAAAGGTGTATCAAGATTTTTGAGAATGTGGTTAAGATCCTTAACAACACCACGTTCTATAATCATAAATGGTTCCTTCAGCAAGACAGCGCGATAGTTTATAAAACTTGATCCACCCAAGCTTGGTTGGAAACGAAAGTTCTTTAGGGACACCTTAAGAAAGGACTTTATCACCTGAAGACTGATCGTCATTTAGTCTCGATTTTAAACCGATAATATAATTACTTATTTATAGTAAGTTTTAGATAGTATGGCTTGCTGTAAATGCCATGATAATTTGGAGTCCCTAAAGCAGATAATTCTTCACTGCCAATCTTTAGAAGATTGGCAGTGAAGAATTTTTATGGAAAGAGCACGTGCTTATATTGATAACGTTTAAAAGACTATAGTGGAGATCGTTTCGAATTAACTTTTGTATACTTATAATATTTTATATTAATGTTTAAACTAAATCACATTACAGTAATCAATATTATATGCAATAGAAAATATATAGGTTTTTCCTTGTAACAATATGGTAAGACTAGGTACCTATCGTATTATCCTATTCATCATATCTATCGTTTATTGTGGACGTAATCGGTCATTTCCACTCTTGTCATAACGAGCTGATTCGGCATTGAACTTCAACTGTCATTCATTCAATTGTATATTATTTATATTTATAGTATTTTCGAGACGAACTTTATTGTGGCGATTAGGTGCTCATCCACATATAACATAACATTATAAGTACTACTATGACAGACTGGTAGTAGTAATACCTAGATAGATATTAATATAATATGTAATTATACGAGAGACAAGACAGTATTTTTATGTGCCTTAGCATAGCCTTTATTTAAAGTCCTCATAATAAAAAATAAGTTCAAAAAAGAAAACCCGTATACTGAAAAATAACGCCCTAACAGTATGACACGTAACACAAATATACAGACATACAAACACACACAGGGTTAAAACAAAATCATAACCATACTTTTTGCTTCTTCGTGTGGGTGTTTTTAGTTGGGTGAACACACTAGTATAATATCTCATAATTTAATAGGAGTTGTAAGGGTATAGCTAGGTAGGTAGGTATACATTATTGTATTATTTTCAGCGCAATAGAATAGGTATATAACAATATTATTTTATAACCATGTACGTGAATTTATTAAAATTAGTGCAAAATGTAAGTAAGATTCTAATATTTTACTTATATTCCAAACGCGATGGTTTGTGAGTATGAATGGATAGATAAATGGATGGATTGATGTTCGTTACTCTTTTACGCAAAAATTACTAAAAACGGATTTTGATAAAACTGAAAATTACATAAAGCTGAAAATTACATAGGTTACAAATTTCGTCAGGGTAAAAATGTGGGCATAGCTAGTTAATAACAAAAATCTTGAAATAGATTTAGTACAAAAAGATAATGCGAGTAAAAATGGATACAATTGACAAACAATAATAAAATCAATATCAGTTCAGAGTTGTTGAGATGTTACATAACATACAGCAAAATCCTGCTATCAGAGTAGATAGGAGCACGGAGAATACTACGTTAATATTAAAATTAAATATTATATTAATTTCTAATATTATCACTGTTTGAGTATGATATAATACACTATAATTAGGTAAGTTCTTATTTATCTTTCATTTGTTTGACTTAGATAATATGTTAATTGTAATGATGAATAAAATTATACGCCTAAACTATAAACTTTGAACAAGGATTAAACTGATATAATACATTATAATAAAAGTATGGAATTGTAAAAGACATATTAATGTAATAAACAACTCGACAATTCTATCATTATTTTCTACGTCTAAATATTTCTCTATTCGAATTTGGTACACCTGAACGGATTTTCATATACATTTTTCGAATATACCCATGTTATATGTCCACTAGTGATCAGAGCAATTATCATGTGTTAGGGAGGCAGGAGATTGTTTGTAATGTGGACTGTTGACCCCTTTGCTAGCAATGTACTATATCAGATTGGCCACCGCGCGGTACCCCCTGGAAACCATCAGGATAGATTATTGTTGAATTTGTCACGATGGGCTAACTGCTATCTAACCTGACCTTATATTCATCTGATAAACCCCCCCTGGTGCCCCGTCAGCGTAAATTAGTATCCCAGGCCGGTACCACATTCAATTACTAGCATTAAAAAAATCATCTGTAGACGTGTGGTGAATGCACTACTACAATTCAAAAATATGTTTATATAATACCTAAATGTGTAATAAAAAAATTGTATCTCTTATTTCATTGACGGAAGAAGTATCTCTTTATGAGTTCATATTAAAATCCTAAAATTCAAATTAATTTTATAAAATATATATTTCCAAACCAAATTTAAAAAAATTGAAAAAATCACCTAAAATTTCACTTGACACACTGAAATCAGCAATCAATAACATTCCTTATATAGGACTATCGGTAATAATTCTGATAACAACTGTACAAATATTAAAAAAAATAATATATAAGATCAGAATCTTTTGTTTTGTTACCCTACTGCCATATGTAATTGCGTTAATTAAGTAGATATGTACCGAAGTACATACATTTATGGATCTTTATAATTAATATATATTTTCTCTATTTGTCTATAAAAAGTTAGTCTAAAATAATGATATCTATGAATTGTCTAAACTAGCAAAATTGAACCATGAATTTTTTGTCACTTTGTTATGTCTAATTTTTAAATCAATGATATTTATTCATTTTTCGATTTATATAATATTAATAATAACCATTGCTGCATTAGCTACGCACTACTTACACGTGTATTATAGTACATAAGGCATTCCGATAATTGTGTCAATGTTGTATAGTTTAAGGAATCTATTAATTATCCTTTTTATAATAATATATAAATATAATACCAGTAAATCAAATACATAAATTTAAAATATTCTAATAAATATTTAGACATATTGTGTCATAATAGTCATTCTCTACTATGTCGGCAGATGATCACGTCTCTAACTACTCCAATTACGATTATAATCATAAACGTGTTACATTGTAGCTATATACCTAACTAATCTTATGCAAGTGATTCATGTGCATCTATCTATTCTATTGTTGATCAAGTTTAATGAGAATTGTTAAAATTAAACTGTTGCAGCTACTATAAGGTACGAATAGGTAGGTGCCCATCACCTACGTATGGTAGTTGTAAAAGGTTTATTTACTTTAAGCAATCTAAACAAAACAAACGAACGTAATTTCACACAAATGTGTTGGAACAACCTGCGTATACTAAATAAACACAGCATTTTTTTAAAATTTTATTTAACAAATAATTGTTACGGTTAACGAATCTGCACTCACATGTCTATAGAAAACAGCATGATGCCACGAAAATGGAATATATTGCCCACACTAACAACAACACAACAGGTAAAAAAATATACGCGCACTTAGTTTACAGACTCTGAGTCCTTTCATTTGCTGCGAGTATTTTTTTAAATATAATTTACGCAAAAAATCTCAATTATAAAAACATACCGACGCCGGCGATTATGTATTGCCGCCACAATTGTCCCGCCTCCATCGTATGCGCTTGCTGGTTGACTGGCACACCAGTAGCAACTGGGTTGTAAACATAATTCCTATCAGCCATACGTCACACGTTAGCTGCTTATGATATTGATATTAACGTCTACGGACGTAGTAGGTAGTTTGACAATCCTCGTCTTCGGGTTTTGTTGCTAAATCTGCAAGAAATTTAATTATCTTTGAGTTAATTGGGCAATTAATGATAGATATTTTTTTAAGAAATTGAGGACAGTTATAGAAGTAAGGTTAACTTTGACTATACAGATAGGTGATAGCGTGTTAGATCGGGTTATGGGCTCTCTAAAATATGATTGCTCGCAAAGATGGCTGGCTCATCGCACTCGTCACTATGACTGATTTATTTTGTTTCATTGGGAACCTAATTACTATTTGGTAATATGTATTTAACAAAGTCTTAATACCTAGGTATGTAATGGGCATGGACAACTGTTTCAAATAGCAACAGCCTAGTTTTTTTGCATAGTCTTTATGTCTGAATTTGCATTCAAAATGATGGTGAAAAATACTATGATAAAAAAAATACTATTTTCATAAGTGACTTTGTATATGAGTTTATTTGAAGAAAATGATTTCTATTTCAATTGATTCAGGACAAGATCATATAGAAAATTAATATCAATAAATAAAATAAAATGCAAGTAACTTTACTTGCAATATTAAATATATCAAATATAAATAAAATTAATATCAATAAATAAAATAAAATGCAAGTAAAGTTGATTTAGTGAACTGTCGAAAGTATCAAACCTTAATTTTACGATATCGTAGTTTCGTATAAAATTTTAATTTAAAATAATTTATAGAGACCGAAGACTATAGTTTTTTTTAATTAACAGCAGTAATAGTTAAGGCGTCTGTGGAGTTTTTAAAAAGACTACAACACACTTTTTTTAAATAATTGCAATATATTATATATAGTAAGATGTCATGCCTCTTATTCTGGAATTTCATTGCCTAATCTGCACCATACAATCGAAATACTTGTAAGCTACAAGGAAGCTGCTTGGCGATTGACATATGAGACTGAGGTACCCACACAGACAACTTTTTATAGTCTACCTCCTATATCATTAGTTCTATAGTTATTACATTTTCTATCATGATTAAATATGTGATAATATTTTAGAGTAATAAATACATATTCTAAACAATTGCAAAATTTTATATAATTATATTACAATATAAAGATTGATCTACATATAACGATATATGTATATATATCCATTTATATGTATCGATATATTTCATAATATAATATCTCTATAAAAATAAGTAGAAAATAATATACCTAGTATATAATAAGTATATTGATTTTAACTAAATAATTTTATTTAAGAACCATTTATTTCGACAAATTTGTTTAACAGATTTTTTTATTTGACGTGTTTAGGTAGGTACCTACTGAGATAAATTATCGTGACGTAACTACACACACGTAAACTATTTACATATCTGTTACTATTTAATACATATAGGAATATTTTAAATTAGATAAGTATTATACACTTACATTTATTTAATAATTAAGATAGCAATTTAAAGGTATATACGATAATGATCAATGTTTTTAACATTATAAGTAGATCGATACGTACGAACCGAATCTTATTTTCTTTAATCATTCGATCATAAAGTGTTACATGTTTTACACGAACTGAAAGCATGATATATAAGTGATGAACATGAAATAAATAATACGATAATTAGATCATTATCTGAAAAACTTTTCCCAGCAGCATTATCACAAAATTATAAAGAGGAAATCGTTATCGTTTTTAGATTGTAGATCAACAATTGATGTGAAATAAGCATTTATTGCGTATATTGCACACCTATCTATGTATTGTATTTAGATGACACTAGTTCAATAGGTCCACACATTCAGTGTTGTTGGATTATTATTTTATATGAGGTCATGCAAAACTTTAATTCATATTAATTTTACGAGTTTTCTGATAAAGACAAAGTTTATAAAAAACTATGCTTCAATCTTGAAAAATTTAGTAAGTTGGTGTAAGAAGCCACATGAGAATAAACATCATTGTGCTCACTTTTGATGTTTGGAGTAAACAACCAAGTGGTATTGATTTTCCAAAACTTCTCTATAACAATAATACACAAAACTATTTGATATTGTGTACGCGAATACATTGAACAGCGGTATGCATCGAACAGGTGCATACATTATTCATACATTGAAGAGCGGCATGCGCCCAACGTGCATACCGATCTTCAATGTATAAACAATTTATTCGCGTGCACAATATCAAATAGTTTTGTGTATTATTGTCATTGAGAAATAGGTGATGCCAACAATGTACTGATTAAAATAAATTATTCAATTGAGAAATTACTCGCCAGAGAAATACTGAACTTAATGTTTCGTACTTAAAATTTCACAAAGCTTCCTATCTGGAAGGCAGAAGATTAGAGGAACGATTAGTTATTATTTTTGTTAATTATGCTTAGATTAAGTAGTTTATATAAAAAATTATAATACAATAGACCAGATTGGACAATAAGTAGTACCTAAGTAGATTCTGTAAATATTATAGTAAATTACTATAACAATAGTCTATTAATTCTGTTTGAGTAATGAAGTAATAACAACAAAAATATATTTACCAATAAACTACATATTTTATTATAATATATATATACATATATACAGGGTAGCTATATAGAAAGGAGCTAATAACGAATTGAACTTGAATGTAGACAGATATAATATAGTATACAGTTATAAATACACTTGATCTACTAGGAATGAATTTTGCTTCGTCTGCAGACACATTTATAAAAATTATAATATATGGTAACAAATTAACTATAGTAATTAAAAAGAGAGGAATAAAAATAATGACAGGATAATTTCCACAACGTCATCTAATCACAAACTGAGCAGAGTTGGAGATGGTCAGGCATGCGTTGCTGTTTTTGATAATAGATACCTACTATGGGTACTAAACAGAACAGATAGAAATACTTCAATAATATATAAATATACAGACAAATACTAACATTAATGAATGTTATAATATAAATATGAGAAGTCATTAAATATCCGGACGAGGAACAAGGAAACAACATGTTAGTTATTAGTCATATTTCTCGACATTTTCCTATGCATCGGTGCAATTAAATTGTAAGCCAACACTCTTACCGCCCTTGGTAATGGATGTGAAGTGTGCACATAATGAATACTAATCATAACCATTAGTCGAATTAATTATGTGATTTATGCGATAAAATACATCCTTAAGTAGAGTCGGACGTGTTCGATGTAAATATTTTTAATGTATTATGTATTGTATCTATTTGGGCGGACTTATTACTGCATTTTGACTATAGAAATCAGGAATTTAATTATAAACTAATTGTAAGAGTGCCTTAATACAATTAATATAAAATAAGTTGACATCAGTATTTTCATATTAGAACATAAATCCTGAGAATACGGATGAATATGAGAAAATATGGTCATGGCGGTCTGACGTTTACACTGGCGCTATATAGGTACATACATTATTTATATAATAGAGGTCCTAATACCTACCTTACCGAGGTAGATATAGTACTTAATAGTCGCTTGCGTTTTTTTTGTCTTTACTTCTGTATCATATATTTCAGTCAACAAACCATGTTTTGTAAGCTGTGTTTCAATTTGAAGATTGAGAGATATTGTGAGTGAAATTACACGTTATGAGAGTATGATACATTAGTTTTCCAAAATATCACATCGCATGTGGGATTGCAACAGGAATTTTCAACCTAATAAGAAAAATAACAATGCATATTAGTCTCTACCTGTTTTTGTTTTATGCTTAGGTACGCCAAAACAAGAAAAGAATAGAATAAGACTTATGAAGCGGGCTTGATCCATATGAAGAAAAATCAGTTATTTGGAGTCTAAATCAATGAATAATTAGTGAATAAAATAATATCAGCGAATATCAATATTAATTCTACACAATCGAAGCATCAATGTAATAAACAATCCCTATTACTCTTCGACAAGCTCGTATGTCATAACATTTATATACTAACTATTCTTATAAAAACAGGAATAGGTACCTATTAGTTAACATATAAACGTTGTCATTATCTAAACGACGAACAGATGTGGGAATATCTCTATCCGAACGTATCTCCTACTATTTGTTTTTCTTCCAAAAACTGCCGAATCAGTCAGAAAACTGACATTTAATAAGATGGACACGGTAAAGAGTCTGTACCAATTCAGTACAGAAACGAAAATACGACGATTCGATCAGAAACGCCTAAATTCAAAAAAGTTATTCATAGGGTACATTATGGGGTAGACCTAGAAAATGAACCAGACAGAATCGAGGACTTTAGTCAGGTTTGTCATTCTTTCATTTCATGCATGTTTTTTCCATATTCCTTGTACCCTGGCGAATGTTCACGTGCTTATTCTCACCTATATATTCTCGTAGTTGTTTTGTAGTTGACAATATTGTGTTGCTTTGTAAAATTGCTATAAGACAATTGACAGGTGGACCCATAATGAAAGTAATTTTGTAATTTGTATTTTATACTAACGGATCGTCTACTCTTATCTCAACATAGAGCTCATTCCAATGAAATGGTGTATCGAATAAATCTTACTATCTTACTAATACTAATATAAACGCGAAAGTAAGTTTGTGAGTGTGGATGGATGTTTATTACTCTCTCCTAAACCTAAACTGCGGGCACAGCTAGTCAATTATAATATCCGAACCTAAGCAAAATGAGTATGAAAAGGAGTGAAACGCTACCTACATTTTAAAGGACCGATTAGAAATAATTTATAAGATAGATAGACCCTAACATAGATAGTAGACCCTAATATCTAAGAACCATAGCATTATCTATAGGCAGACCGGATAAACTATGAATAAGAAAACACATACACAGATATTATGTAGTTACAGTTTTTCTGTCTGTAACCAGCTTATAAGATTATTATTAACTAGCTACTCGCCCCGGCTTCGCACGGGTGTACATGTATTATAGATATAAACCTATAAACCTTCCTCTTGAATCATTTTATGTACTAAAATACACTGCTTCGAAATCCATTGCGTATATAGTTTTAAAGATTTAAGCATATATAGGGACGAACAGACAGCGACAGCGACTTTGTTTTATACTATGTAATGAAGAGAATACGAGAAGTAATTAACAACCTTGATTAGTCTTATTAGTCATATTGATACAAGGTAATAAATTATCAATAAAATTCATAATTAACAAAGTATATCAATTACCTAATTACGACAACATATATTGCGGCATTTTTGATAAGAATACCTAATCTTGACAAATACTGTAGTTTGTTATGATATAATTTTTAACGAAGTATTAATCTGTGATTTAAGATAGGTAGACATTATCTAATGTTATTTACTATGAATCAACCACCTTGCTGTGTTGGCAAAAAAACTTAGGTAAATACAACTCATTTTTCAACTCGAACTATATAAGGTAATTTCTGAATTTTCAGATTTCAGAATCAAGTCTATTACGATTTACTGATGGTATTTCTGCCGCAAAGTAGCAACGAATGATGACAGAAATTAAAAATATGATGATTAACACGGTAGGATCGTGTTATGACGTACTAAGTTTGACATTATTAATTTATATACTTATTCATTGTGAATTGTTAGATCAGTCAATAAGGATAGGGAATATCATTTATTGTAAAAAAACAGAATACGCAATTAAGATAATGGAAGAAATAGTTATGTTTAATAGGTAATGTCATTAAACCGATCATCCGACTGCCAAAATATTTTATTTTGTATGTATATTGTATATTAATATAATTTTTTTGCAATAGTTTACTCCAGATTTCATCCGGATATAAATCAATATTGTTTTATGTTTTTCCCCTACCGCTTTAAAACCAAGTGTATACCCAATCACAGTGAATAAATTATTTTAAAATATGTTTGTTTGTAACACTTTATTGTACAGTAAATACATTTAAAATAACAGGATACAACGATCTTAAGAAATAAGTAATAGTTTAATGTGTACTGTATATTAACATCATAGTTAAATAAATATACAGCATATCATATAATACAACACTTCATCAACAGGAAAAAATAACAAAATCGCAATATATGATTATTTTTATATTAAGAAAATTTATTACCACATCAATTGCGCTAAAGTAGATTTTATTTATTATAGAAACTTCGCATATATTGAATAAAGGCTAGTCCCTGGTTAAATATATATATTACTAGCTAATCGCCTCGGCTTCACACGGGTGTACATGTATTATATATATATATATATATATATATATATATTCCTTTAGAATCACTCTGTTTATTAAAAAAAACCGCTTCAAAATCCGTTGCGTAGTTTTAAAGATTTAAGCATACATTAGGACGGACAGACCGCGACAGCTACTTTATTTTATACTACGTAATGATTATAAATGAATAAAATTACATGTCTCTAATATTATTAGCAAACAGGCAGTATAACATTAATACATTTTTCTCTATAAGAAATTAACTAATAATTACCGCAAACTATGAATATAGATCTGTCTGAAATAAATTCATTTGTACAATAATTTATTTAATAAATTACTCGTATTAAACTGTCGCAGTGAAGTCATAATATACACGAAACTACAGTGTAATAAAAATATTTTTTTCTGTGTAATATACTATTTTAATAAATTATACAGACAACGTAATTTTCACGTTGTAATAGGTTATTAAAAGTGTATTTTTTGAAGTTATACAATTATTAATTACTTTCAAATAATAGAAATAAAAACTTACATTTCCACCTCTATTCGCTACTAAGCAACGGCTACACACTAAATGATATCGTATCAGTAAGTTGGTAACACACTGCTCATCGGTTTTGTCATGCTTGATAAATTGTATGAAAAAGTTGATTATACTATAATACAATATTATTGAACAGTAGTGCCCGCAACTGCGTGCTGATACAGTTTCCGGAATAACAGTATGTTACCGTAACATTTCTGTCTGTGGTCAAAAATGAAGATCCGCTCAGAAACCGCAGAAAATTAACAACACTTTCGCCTTTATAATGTTAATAATAAGTATTGGGAATATATATTATATTATTATTATTATTATTATATATAAAAACAAGTACTGAAGTACTGTCTATGTAAATACACATCTTTTAATAGTGAAAATGGAAACATATAAACTCACCGTTTTGAGACCTCCTCACTTGATTCAGTCCTTCAAAGAATAAAGTGATTACTTCACTCGGGTCTCATACCTGCCGCCATTCTGAACGGTGCGTGAACCGTTCATTTAAACAGGGTTCTGTATAGTATATTATAATACCTGCTTCTTTATCGTTCAAACGAATACCTATTATTTATACCAAGCTGGGACCGCGACCGCTATATGAAAAAGCAATAGTTCGTTTATAAACCGATTAGTATAAAACAAACACTAAATTTTAAGGGAAGCTTACTACAATCCATTAGTAAATACTGCACCCAAATTGGTTAAACCGTGTATAATACAATTTACATTACTGATATTACAAACATTTTGTTACGTTGATAAAGTTCCCCCATAATAGATTTCTTATAAATTCCATGTACAGAGAGCGATATTATTTTTTTAAATATATGTATGGAATAGATTTTAAGGTCGTATTGTTAACAGTGCATGTGGTGATTAAATATTTACCTACATTCATAATAAGGATCAATACTTTATAGTTACTTAATAAATGTTTTTCTTCTCTGGCAGATTATTAACGTTAACAAATATATTCATATCCATTCATGAAATTGATCTTTCTCAATAATATATTGAAGCCACAGACTTTGATGGTGGTTTCAATACTAATCGTACAGCGATTAATATTTCTTTAAAATACTTCGTCATGATTATGTTTAATTTATAGCGAACACTATAAATAATGAAACTGCTGTACCTACCTTGGAAATTACTGATATTATGATATCGGTATCATTAAAAATCAAATAATAATGGTTCGGTTTTGAGCACTGGTTACGGATCCCAAAGATATTATTAAAAGTTGCTTCATAATGCAATATTACTGTTTATAAAAATGTAGTGACAATGACAACATTCATTCAGTTGTAACAAAGTATTATTTCCTTAGATTATTTCATTCATTGTTGTTGCTGTCACATAAATGTTGACACGTACCATATACTCGTATATGTCACATATATTAGTCATGTAAGGAATATGAAATATACATACGTTTGACGGCTTGGTGGTAAAATTTCAAATATTGATGTTTTTACGGAACCGAAGTTGGGACTCATGTTTATGCAGAAAATAAGTACTAATTCTTTTTGGTGACAGAATATCTTATGTATAGCAGTTCAATAATTTATTACTACTTAGGTATGTAATGAAAGCTATTATACAATATTGATGCTAATGTAATTGGAATGAAAATTGGTTTAAATAAAAAGTTAGAAACAATGCATTAAAAATTGTAATTTTTTTGATAAATGAACCTAATTAATTTATGAATAATGTAATTAGGTTCATTTATCGGTAACCATCTAATATCCGATTGCGGTACCCTGATATTGATTAACACTTATCTTGCACTAATATTACAATCTGAAGGGCCTTTTCGATATTTTCATTAAGAATAAACCACATAGTTATTGCAAAATTTGAGAAAAATATCGATATACACCATGTAATAACAGTTAGATTGTAACCCAATATTACATTGAGTACTTATCCTACATAAATATATTTACCGTTACTTAACTTCATTGATCGAAGCCTAAGCATGCGGAGATAGAAACAAAAACAATATATTTAAATAGAATTTTAGACAGATTGTTTTTAGGCAAGATATCTCATTTTAAAATTGTTTACACTACAGAATTAAGTTTTGATATGGGTACAATAGTTATATTATAAGTACCATTCCTACGGACTGCCTGATTCTACAATAAATTGTTGGCGAATTTTAAATTTAAATATTATTATCAATATTTGGTATTACTATATTCTTTAAGTCTAATTTATGTCGTTTTGGACAAAGCTTCGTCTCTAATTTTGTCACAATTTTTATAACTCATATTTATTTGCTATCTGTTGAAAATTGTAGATATCGGTGAAGAAATCAGTTTGATGAAGTTAAGTAACTCGTATACCTAATTTTGTTAAATCTAGTAACTACTGGATAAGATTTAAAGATAACTAGAAGTAATTTATATATTACAAATAGTAGGAAATGTTTTGTTTGTTTAAAGAAAATCTTGATAGCTTTACTGTGCAAGTTCATGATTGTGATCTAAATTATGATAACCTCGATGGAGGATAACACAATATGATTCACTAAGACTGTACCTATGTATATATGAGATAGCCAATCTTACATAACAAAATAATTAAAAACACTGGTAACACAAAAATATCTAATAAAAAAAAATTAAGTGCATTCCAAAGAGAATTTAAATAAAAAATGTCATTCAAATTATTTGTGCAACAGCCTTTAATTTGTTTTATGTTATAGATAAATGATACACTGAAAATTTCTAAATTGTTCCAACACATAGCTATACCTAGGCTTTTCTAAAAATGTGCGTAAAATACGAGAGTCTCAAATTATTTCGTTTCTACCGTTTATCCAAATTTTAATATGGCCTGTACCACAAAATATATACCAAAATTGAATCCGGAAGAAGAAAAAACTATAAAAGGAGCTCACCTAGTAGGTCCCAGTTTGGAATCGAAGCTCGATGAATTGAAATATGAAATAGTTCACAAAATTAACAAGGAACTGACTGATTCTAAGAACGCAAGGGACTATATTTCCCAAAAATATGATGAGCTATGCCGCAAGATACAATATTTGACTGAACTGGATACCACAGTGACAGGTATTCTTCGATGAAACTTATTAGTTTTGTTATAGCTCTTTTCTGAGGAGGAATTAGTTTTTAACTACATATACCTAAATACAGACGGTTTAAGGAAAAGAAAATCTGAACAGAAAACATTGTCCGTAACCGTAACACTGAACATAAATAGATACAGAAAAATTGTCCTTCCCTATACAGTATAAATAGGCATTGATTTACAATAGATTAACTGTAAGGGATTTCTCTGGTGTTAATATTATATTTTTAACGTTTTGTTTTTGCTCTTTAGTTCTTAATCACCAACTGTCTCTATTGGACCCAGAGAGATCTCTTACAGTTAATATATTGTAAATACTCGATATCTCAATCTCTTGACTCTCTTACCCCGTGAACGATTGTAACATGCTGTTATAATAACGAGAGTAATTGTAAAAGAGGGTTCTTTTGTCCAATAAAGTTCTAATTCTAACAAAAGAAATATATTTTTTTCAATAACAATTAGGTAGGTCCTAATTTAAGAACAATTTTCAACACGTGATCATTTTTCAGGTTTCAGGAGTGATGTGAAAGCAATAGAGAAACAGATCTGCGACCTTTCCATGAGAGTAGATGACATAGAAAAAAGAACCATATGTAAAGATTGTCCTTCTTTAACGTCTTCAATGTTTTGATAAATTAAATAAATGTTTCCCTGCTGTATACAATCTAATATTTTAATCGTTGGCAGTTAACTGACAGTTTATCTAGCAGTTATCAGTTGATTTCATATGTCAGATTTCACGTTGCGAGTACTGAAATTCACGATAAAACGAAAATTATTACAGACATTGTTGGTTACTATTAGCACAGATATTAGTTAATATATTAAGATTTATAGTAATAGCTAGCTGTCCCGGCAAACGTTGTTTTGTCATATAAATTAATAACGCTCTAAAAAAATAGGGGTTGGTGACAGTAGGGTGAAAATTTAGGGTTGTATGTATTTTTTTATGACACATAATAAAAAATTTTGCCTGAAAAATAAAAAAATAATGTTAGGGGTGGACAACCCTTATCACTTAGGGGTATAGATATTAGCCGATTCTCAGACCTACTGAATATGCATATAAAATTTCATAAAAATCGGTTAAACCATTTGGGAAGAGTATGGTAACTAACATTGTGACACGACAATTTTATATGTATATAAGAAGATAACGTAACTGCATTAGTTAAAACAGCTCAGATATTATGGGTTCGATAGCAAATCAGGTTGAAAGGTAAAAAAGGGCAATAAGTAAGCATGCGTGTAGAATATTTAAGAAAAACGCCACAGATATTAAATAAAAAAATAATTTAATCTAATTAAATAAATAACATCATATTACAATAAAATAATATTTGACACATCCCTCTCATATATCTAAAAATACTCATTTTTACTCTTATATCTACTATACGTCTAATGGGTAAGAATTTTATTTAACTGTTACCATTTATATGAACTTTTCAAAATAAGTTAACATTTCATCGTAAGTTATTATCTAATACTCCATATAACAGCAAAATGTTAATCTTTGATGAATTGTTATTGTAAAAAGGGTAATTTAAGCTACATTTTTTCTAAAGATTGACTGTATAAAAACATATATACATATATTTTGAAAGTAAGGGTTTATTGGTATTTTATACATCATTCGACGACCTCGGTGGTCTAGCGGTCTAGTCTACCGCTTTACGACCGATGGTCGCGGGTTCGATTCCTCGCACGGCACAAACATTTGTATTCATGAGTATGATTGTTTGTATCGGTCTGGGTATTTTATATGTATAATATGTATGTATTTACGAAAAAAAAAAATATATATCTATGTATTTGTATCAGTTGTCTAGGACCCATAACACAAGCTTTAGCTAGCTTAACTTGGGTCTAGATGGCGCTGTGTGAATTGTCCTGAGATTATTATTATTATTATACATCGATCGATTTTGCATATTTCTAAAATGGCTGGGCGTTTCACTGACAGATAGATAATATTATACGAGCAACTAAGGCTACTTATATTTTACAAAAATATTTAAATTTAATAAAAAAGCAATTAATTTCCACACGGACGAAGTTTACCATTAGCTGTTACCCTCGGTAACAGTTAGTAGTAAATAGATAACAATGCCGACCTACAGAAAAGTCTAACATCTAATCAATAGAATATATTGTGTAGGTTACAATTAAATAAAAATCCTTATCACTACAGGGTTTGAACACAAGGTTCTACAGTCTTGAAGCAATATCTTTAATCTATATTTTACAAATAGAAAGAGTAGCGTCCCAGCATTATTTTTATAAGTCCAGGTATGGTCAAATATTTTTATAGGATCAAGTATTTCTCGGCTATTTTCGGATCCTAAAGCACTTTTTAAGTGTTTATATTAATAAGACAGGAGCTAGAGAAAAGCAAGTTGTACCGCACAATTAATAACACAAGCCAGAAGGCGAGCGACACAAAATCCTACCAGTACCTAATTATGTAAAATGTTAAAATGCTGAAATAATTATATACCTAACTCGTTATCATTATGAATTTTTACCGGCGAGAATAGCTTGAATCTGTGATACAGTTTTGCCTTTTGTTTCTGGTATTAAGAAGAATACAAAGAAGACGCATACAACCATGAAACCTGAGAAAAACCAGAAACAACTATATATACCTACGGCGTCTCTCATCAATGGAAAACATAAGGTTACAATGAATACTAAAAACCAATTTACTACAACCGATATACTCGTTGCAGCACTTCTATATTCTACTGTGAACAGTTCCCCCATCATCATCCAGGGTATTGGTCCGAATCCTAAAGAGAAGGATGTTATGAAAAGAATCAAGCAAACCAATGGCAGCCACCCGAATGATGAAACGTTGTGGCCACTATCTTGAAGCTTGAAATATACTCCTAAGATAATAAGAGTGATCCCCATGATAGCAGCGCTTTGCAGCAGAAGTATTCTTCTGCCAGCCTTTTCTATTAGTAAGGAGGAAATGTAAGTGGCTATTGTTTGGACAACGCCAACAATAATGGTGGCGATGACAGGTTGGATGTTGGAACCAGCAGATTGGAAGATGTTGTTGGTGTAAAAGATGACGGCGTTGATACCACTGAACTGTTGGAAGAACATGAGGCCGAGAGAACATATGAAGGCCATGCGTGTGTTTCGATGTGAAAATATACTCAGGATGCCAGCGCGTTGTAATGAAGCGGCGTCGACCTGAAATTAAATTTATTGTTAATTATGTAGAAATTTTTGGACTAATGGCGATCTTTAAGATTCGACTCCTATTGATACTCAATGAAGATATACCGATATGCGATGTAAATCTGTTCAAAACTATGGAATACTTGTTGTTCTAATAATTAAATATACTTAACCCTTTTTCTAGATATACTAACAGTAGAATGTCATACTGTGAATGTTTTTGCCCAAATAACATGATTATCTTTCCTAAATATGCCTCTATCATACATAAAGCTTTTGCATTGTTCTCTGATTCTTCTAAATTCTCTGTTATAAATTATTTCATGCGTATATGCTAATTCCGGAATCTTTTATCGGTCAATGAAATTTAATTCGTTATCTTGTCCTATTAAAACGGAGATCAAAATTACAACAGCCTGAGATGACGTTCGAACCCCTAGCGATGCATTTAAACTATTTATTATAGAATCCATCGCGTCGGCAGGAGTTAGCCTTCTGTCTTTCCATAAGTTCCACAGGTTTGGAGTGCCTACTGCACTAGCCTCTATTTTAGTCTGATAAAACTATAAAGGCCATCTACGGCGGACACTATTAGAATAGATAGAGAAAAAAATGAGTATCTTTTGAAAATCATCTGTATATTTAGTCTATGTAGATACTTGCCTCATTCTGCATATCTTCAAGTTCGTCACTGAGATCAGCATCTGGTCCTCGCAACCAACGGAGTGATTTTTCAGCATCACGTCTCCGATTTTTACCAAGCAAATATTGAGGAGTTTCTGGCATCCACCTGAAATAATAGTAATTAAATATACATATAATTTAATTTTTCCATAAGTTTGTACATATTGTCGTTCACAATACTCCCAGATACCAAATGGCGGTCAAAGATTGGTTATAAAAAGAATACTAACCAGAACACAATGACTAGCAGTGGGGGCAGAGCAGCAGATACAATAGAAAGGGTGCGCCAATGGGTCCAGCCACCAACTATAAAGGTAAACAAAATTCCAATAGTCAGGAACAGTTGAAAGAAGGCCCCCAGTGTTCCTCTTATGGCGGTCTCTGCTATCTCACCGATATACATCGGAGCCGCAACACATATGCCACCTGAAGTAAAAGAGCAAATTAGGAGGCGAAACGATGTAAATAGATTTTAAATATACTGAATAATTGTTTGACCTATAGTGAATAATGGCACTGTAGTGATTATTCGTGATTATTGATAGATTTCAATATGAGAGTTATATATTAAATAAATTACCAGTGCCAAGCCCTGCGATGAATCTGCCAATGATAAGCATTGTGGCACCCTGAGCGAATATGATTAAGAGCCAACTGAGCAAGAACGGAATTGACAAGATGAGTATCGTAGGACGTCTGCCTGCCTTCTGAGCTAGCAAGCCCACTGGCAACGCACTGATTAGAGCGCCAATTGCTGATATTGATGACACAAGGGAACCTGTAAAAAACATAGGGTTTTGAAGTAAAAAGTAATACTATAATAATTGTTATACTGGATAATCATCTTGATAAAACTAGTAAAGAACTCGTAAGTAGACAGATTATGGAAGTTAAATACTGCTAATTGAACAAAATAATTTAACAAAAATATATTCCTATATACTAATATGGTTATACGTGCTATGTGGTCGGCTCATTGCATCTTCAGGTTGATTATCGTTTAGACATATCGGTTAATTTAGTTATTTCAAGGATATCTTCGGAATACTCCGGACACAGATATTGACGGAATTGCATATAGAAATCATTATAGTTATAAATGTTTAATTCCTCGTCCTATGGACTGATCAGTGTATACTGTAGATATATGATATATATAGACTACCATACCCATAATATACCACGCGTTGGTGTGGCTAAGGTTTTTGACTAAAATAATAATTACAACTATAAATTGAGATATAAGGTATCCTATCTTTCAAGAATCAAATTGCATACAATGAGCAAATGAAATTTGTAATCGGTTCAGTAGTTTAGTAGTCCATCGCGGACAAACAACGTGACACGTAATTTATATATATATATATATATTAGATATGCAATATATCTTTATATATGTAAAGATATATTGCAGTGAGCTTAAAAATGTTATTTGAATCGTCTGATTTCTGAGTCAGCAATGATAAACAAATACTTAATTTGTTTATCAGGTCATTGCACGTAATCTGACGGATATCCAAACGGTGATACAAGCATATACCCAGAGTGGGTGTGTCCACATGAAGTTCCCGATAGTTATGTGTATTACTCTGATTAACGAACTTAAAAACAAATATATAATAATTGCATATCTATCAAAATATTTATCATTGTTTGAATTTCCGTCTTGCTAATAATATCTACTGATATTTAGTTATTTGTGTCAATTAATTAAAATTAATTTTTAAATTCTAACTCATATCCCTGCGGAACATTAGTTTAGTACTCTACCTTCGTTAATCTAGCATAGCATAGGAATTAGGAAATAAATGTTCATAGATTAAAACCTATGAACATTTATTTCCTAATTCCTTACCTTCATTGATCTGTGATGCTTTATATGCTATATACTTTTAGCTCTTTCATACTCATACACAATAAATGAAGTCGCCAGAGCTGGCGCTTCATTTAGGACTATAGTTTTGATCTTCGGATGCGCATACTTGTTTCGATCGTAACCTCATGGTTTAAGAACCACGAGGTTTTATTATTATATCTTCATATCGTTAAATAAAAAAAATATATACTTACTTTCTTTAGTGTTTAATAGAAAGTCAGCTTCCTGCCCCACAGAATTGATTAGCGTGTTATTAACGATATTGACATTTGTGCCATTTTGTGCTGTTGTGTTCTGCTTTAGCGGCTCCAACTGTGGAAGAGCCGGTGATGTCCAACCGAGGATTGTTCCAGCTATCACGGCACCAATGGCCGCTGGAAGTACAAAGAATATATATTGAACAGTGTATTAGGTATTTAACATTTGTAAGTGTTATTTGTGTAGCTAAAAGTCGAAATAACATTTATAAATAGAAAAAATTAAGTACCATTCAGTAAATAGTTTCATCCGAGAATAACTGGCAATAAAAACGACTGTTGCTTTTTTATTACATTGCTTATGGATTATGTGATGGATGCCAATTGAGAATAAGCTATTGTAATCTTATCTAATCTATGCTTATTGATTTTTTAAGTTACTGAAGTGGGGAAACAAGCCGCTGGCCCACTTGATGGTAACCGTCGTCTATATTCATAAACAGCGCTAAGGACATCGAGATATTTTAGGTCCAAATCATGTAATTTTACTGTGTTATTTCTACCGTTCAACCAAAACACAGTTGCTTAGCGGCTCTAGATGACTTCTTACAAAGTGTATCTTGGTAATATGCTATAGATAGATGCATTCATACAATCAAATATTAACCAGCTGTGAAAGGAATTTGTAAGATAAATAAATAATTAAAAACTAATAAATATTTGTGCAGGCTATTTTATGAGCAATTATTTAAAACGTAAATTATACAAGACGTGAGTTACCTACATCGTTAGATGCGTGTGCATCTCCTGCAGAGTCTATTATTATATTTTTACATCCAAACATACAGACGCGACGCCGGAGCATATAAATGTTATGAGCTATTTTAGAACTGTATAAAAATATAAACAAGTTCTACAATAACAACAACAACTTCTAATATTTTTTTAGATAATCTAAATAAAGGAATTAAAGGGAACAAAATCTCTACTATGAGTAAACGTCGTTGGTATTTAATTTGTGAGCTATCTAATTTAATTTGTGACTATATATATAGGTAGGTCTTTACCTGCGATTGCTGCGATATATTGGTTTGTCTTATTGGTTTTCCCGCCTTTCTCCTCAACGGTAAGCATGTGCATTGTTGGCTTCTCCATATTGGATATTCCTCCTGCTGTTCACGGCATTCTGCAATAACATGATATTCATCTCGTTAAAATATTTCTCGCTTAAAACTAAAATACTATTTTTATGATTTCGGGATATATACCTAATATTTGTATTGTCGATCGACAAATCGAAATTTAAAAACATTTTTTTTTTAACTCTCACGCTAATGCGCAATTTGTTTTGTGATTAGTACCTACCCATTTTTAATGGTTACATGGACTTGTATTTTCTAATATGATTATTTGTATTAATCGGGGGGCTTTGTATTATATATGTATTTACAAATAAATATTTCTTTTTTTTACCTATAATGCAAATTAAGCTTAGTTTGGGACCAGATGGCGCTGTGTGTATAATCAGCAGCTATTAGGTAGATATATACTTTCCGGTGGTTATAAGTTCAATGTCCACAAAATGCAAACATTCGCCAACCTATCAAGTTGTTGTATCAACAGACACAGTCTGTTACCCTGTTTACTTTTAAATTTCGCAATCGATTTTGATATGAATTGCATTGTCGTTTAGATATTTTTCTGGAAATTTTGTACATATAACATTCTAATATTTTACTATATTTTGTATATTGTTATTCAAATGAGTTGTTATTATATTTCTCTCCCTCCTCGGATGTCTAGCGGTTTAGACGTGTCGTAAATAACCTCCTTGTACAATTTATTCTCAATATTTTTAATTTAATATCGCAAATATAGTTACCAGTAGTACCAGGAACTCAGAAACAACTAAGAAGCTTATTACACTAAGTGTGACAAGAACACCTATACAAGTGAGTGCAACAAATATATTTTTCACCAACTGGTTAAATTCATAAGTTAAATAGATACGCAAATTAATTAGTGTCATTGGTCAACCCATAACTGCTCAAACGCAAGGGGCGGAGCCTATCTATCACCTGTGCATTACATACCTGCAAGTGCATCCCGCGCATCCCACCCCGCGCAACTCTTTGCTACTGAGCCGACGGCATATTTAGGCCTACGCATCAACAAATAGTCATAATTATGTTACGCTCACCGATTAATGATCAAGATAAGCACTACAGTTCCACCCCAAACCTAAATGAGTACACAAATACTGCGATGGCGAACGACAGTAACATCTCTCATCGGTCGAGTAAACGAAGACGATGCGATTGTAGCTCCACAGAAGAATCAAAATTAGACAATTTTATAAGTACCCTCACATCATGGAGACAAGAAACTGACACTAAACTGTCAGATATTAGGGACTCAATGAACGACATAAAGAGACAGAATGCGGAATTAATCGCATCTAACATTGATATTGAAAAATCAATAGAATTTCTATCTTTGAAGTACGATGATGTATGCCAGCGGCTGGATACCTATCACGCTGTATCTCAAACCTGTGCCGAACGGCTGAATAAACTGGAAGCCGCGTGGTTTTTAACTTATTTTTTCTAAAAATAAAAGTACGGAGGATATCGAGCGCAGCCTGCGATCCAGTTCCCTGGAATTACGCAACATACCCCTGAAACAAACCACAACTCAAGAAGAATTAGTCCATATTGCAACAAGTATTTTCAGGACACTTTCTGTCGAGGTCCATATGTCGGACTTTTATGATATTCATCGGCTTCCGTCAAACAAAGATAATAAGACTATCGTGGTTTCTTTAAACTCAGTATTACTGAAAAACAAATTACTGAAGGCATTCAGAGATTACAATAAACGTAATCCGACTAACAGACTCAACACCAAGGCAATTGATTCTTCATTAACCAGTCGTATAATATACATCGCTGAATCCCTAACCACTCATGCCCGCCGACTGTTTTACTTGGCGCGCGAATTCGCCAAGGCAGAGAACTACAAGCATTGCTGGACGACAACGGCAGAATCTTACTTCGCAAGGAAGACAACGGCAAACTCATAGTCGTTATGTCAGAATCTCAGCTGACGGAACTAAAATCAAAAAACTAACTAGTTCCATTACATATTTAGTTATATTGCAGATCTTGTTAATTTTAAACTTATTTTTTGTAACATATAACATTATACTAAATTTACACGTCGACACAAATATACACTTTACACTCTACTCATACATGCCACATCTCCCAAAACACACCAATAACTTTTTAAGGTTTTATTACTGCTTTATATTTTCCCAGAACTATAATTCCGACTTAAAATTACAGTACGATATGACTTTTATTACATATATAGTGCCAATCATGCTAGGACTTGCGTGCTATATATTGTAATCTTAAACTCACACGGACCAACATATTCTATTACTTACTTTGTTGTACTTATATACATAAACGACAGTTATACTCATTACATATCCCAAAGGAGAACGGTCTCAATCTACAACTTATGCACTCGTACATTAGTTACTGAAATCTATAAACATATTGTTCTCATTAAAACATATATTTACGTATTCATAAACTCTTTTATAAATTACCTATACTGTATTACAATATGCAATGGGTTTACATACAATAATCATAGCCAATATACAAATTTAATAGTGATACATATAACTACACACAATTCATGTACTTCGTTTAACAAACATTAACATTCAATTCCAATCAGGATTTAATTAATAATATAGATAGTGTTTCAGTTTCATATGCACGTACCTGTGACCCGGGAAATGTTCGTAGCATACTCTCTCAAACCAAGAAGCCTCTAAAAATCATAACACAAAATATTCGGAGTATATCTCATAATATTTCAACTTTTAGTGTACTATTAAATGATTTAGACACCCAACTTGACATAATTATATTTACAGAATGCTGGCTTCAACATAACCCTTCTATTCCTAATCTAACCGGCTTCTCCTATTATTCAACTACTAACCCCACAAACCAAAATGATGGAGTAATTATTTACATTAATGATACTCTTTCCGGTGTAATCGTTTCAGAACCTAATATGATTGACGCATATGCTTGATGATCAAAATTAATACAGAAACTGCAATACTGGCTATATATAGACCTTGTGCTTTTCGTGACCGTCAAAATTTTATTCAATCCTTACACAATATTCTAGATACGCTCAGCAGTTTCAAAAATGTCATTATCATGGGTGATATAAATATCGACATCGCTCCACTAACCTTAAACCAAGAGGCAGAACAATATCTAAATACGTTGGCACATCACGGACTGCTACCTGCACACACTCTTCCCACTCGTAATTATTCCTGCCTGGACCACGTGATCATGAAAACCTCGTACAATGCTCAAGCTCTTGTCATTAACTCTTCAGTTACTGACCACGATGCTGTATTACTTGTCATTAATTTACAAGCGCATAAATACCCTCCCAAAGAAATTAATAAAGTTAACTACAGCGATATATCAGAGACAATAAAAAATACCGACTTCTCTATAGTACTAAACTCTACTGACCCCAACACTGCAACCAATCGCTTTATTAAAATACTGCAAGCAGTTATTTCATCTCACACTATAATTATCACCCTGACCCGACGTAAAAAAACTCTTAAGCCATGGATATCGCAAGGACTTATATATGCATCAAAAACAGAGACAAAATGAACAAGAAACTTAAAAAAGATCCTAACAATGAAACTCTTCGAATTACATATAAGAGATATCGTAACTTCTGTAACTCTATAATAAAAAAGGCTAAAATAAAATATGAGCGGGAGTTGATCTGTAAAGCTGGTAACAACTCAAAAACATTATGGAACGCCATTAAAGAAGTAACAAATTCAAAAATACATCTTCCTCTTGTATACCTCTCTTACATTGCAAGACCACCCCTAAGGAATCTGTTAATCACGTGAACTCATATTTTGCAAGTATGGGAAAGTCACTGGCTCAAAATATTGTGGCTCAAAACTCGTACTCCCCTCTTCAAACCCACTAACACCATCTGAGACCTACACTCAACCCCCATGTCATTCTTTTGCCCTTTTCCACACTAATGATAAGGAGATAGATAATATCATAAGTTCTCTGCGAGGTGAGTGTGCGGTAGGCTGGGATAACATCTCAACTTCTTTCCTGAAACAGAACAAACAGTCTCTTATCCCGTCAATTACCCACATTTGTAATATAAGTATGTCCACTGGCATATTTCCCTCAGCATTTAAGAGAGCTATAATTCGCCCAATCTACAAAGCTGGAGAGCGGGACCAACCTAGCAATTATCGACCAATTGCAATTTTACCTGCTCTATCTAAGATCCTTGAAAAGATGGTCAATAAGCGACTAACGGACTTCCTTGAAAAAAACAATGTCCTATCACCTGGACAGTACGGTTTTAGAGCTGGTAGGTCGACGGCAGATGCAGTTCATGAGCTTACCGATCACGTGGTGCGGCTCCTGGATAGGGGTAGGAAATGTTTATGCGTCTTCCTCGACCTCGCACGTGCATTTGACACAATTTCGATACCAATCTTATTAAAAAAGCTGGAAATAATTGGAGTACGTGGTACCCCACTATCTCTGTTCACCAGTTACTTCTCGGAGCGTACTCAATGTGTAGGGATAGATGATGTAAAAAGTACTGACGTCTCCATTGAATACGGAACTCCTCAGGGAAGTATCTTAGGACCCACCCTTTTCTTGATTTATATCAATGACCTCTGCTCACTCGAAGTCCCGAAATGTAAAATTATTTCCTATGCAGATGACACAGCCTTACTGTTTTCTGCAGACACATGGCAGGAAACATACAATTATGCCCAATCTGGTTTTGACCGTGTTTCCAACTGGCTGCGCCTAATCTCCTAACACTAAATGCCCAAAAGACCCAATACTTAACTTTCTCCATAAATTCTGCATCCCAAAACATTACATCAACCCTCTCAATTAGAGCCCATTCCCACCCAATAGAATCCACTCCCTCCTACTGTAACTGTCCTCTTCTAGTTCGCACTGATACAATAAAATACCTAGGTGTATATTTGGATTATAGACTTAACTTCCACCACCATCTGAGTATCACTGCCGGGAGGATTCGTAAACTTATGTACGTCTTT